TTGCATGGAAAACTTTGAGGAGAATTGGTATAAGCTGCACTGAGGCCATCTAGACCTGGGTTTTTTGTTTGTTTGTTTGTTTGTTTGTTTGTTTTGGTTGGGAGTCTCTTGACGACTGCTTCTGTTTCCTTAGGAGTTATAGGTCTATTTAAATTGCTTATCTGTTCTTGATTTAATTTTGGCAAGTGATGTCTATCCAGAAAATTGTCTATTTCCTTTAAATTTTCAAATTTTGTGGAGTACAGGTTTTCAAAGTATGACCTGATAATTCTCTGGATTTCCTCAGTGTCCGTTGGTATGTCCCCTTTTTCATTTCTGATTTTGTTAATTTGCATGTTCACACTCTTTTGTTTGGTAAGTTTGGATAAAGGTTTGTCTATCTTGTTGATTTTCTCAAAGAACCAACTCTTCATTATATTGATTCTTTGTATTGTTTTTCTAGTTTCTAGTTTATTGATTTCAGCCCTCAATTTGATTATTTCCTGGCATATACTCCTCTGGGGTGAGTTTGCTTCTTTGTGTTCTAGAGCTTTCAGTTGTGCTGTTAATTCTCTAGTATAACTATCCTCCAGTTTCTTCATGTGAGCACTTTCCTCTTAGCACTGCTTTCAAAGTGTCCCATAAGTTTGGGTATGTTGTATCTTCATTCTTATTGAATTCTAGGAAGTTTTTAATTTCTTTTTTATTTCTTCATTGACCCAGGAATGATGTAAATATGCATTATTCCATTTCCATGAGTTTGTAAGGTCTCTGCAATTTGTGTTGTTGTTGAATTCCAACTTTTACACATAGTGGTTTGATAAGATACATGGAGCTATTCCAATTTTTTGTTTGTTTGTTTGTTTTGGTTTTTCGAGACAAGGTTTCTCTGAACTGCTTTGGAGCCTGTCCTGGAACTCACTTAGTAGACCAGGCTGGCCTCGAACTCACAGAGATCTGCCTACCTCTGCCTCCCTCGTGCTGGGATTAAAGGCATGTGCCACCACAGCCCGGCCACCAATTTTTTTATACCTGTTGAGGTTTGATATGTTGCTGAGTATGTGATTGATTTTTGAGAAGGTTCCATCTGACAGAGGGCTGATCTCCAAAATTTACAAAGAACTCAAGAAGCAAGTCTCCAAAACACCTAAGGATCCAATTAAAAAGTGGGGTAAAGAACTAGAGAATTCTCAATAGAGGAGTCTAAAATGGCTGAGAGACACTTAAGAAAGTGCTCAACATCCCTAGTCATCCAGGAAATGCAAATCTAAACAATTCTGAGATATCATCTTATTCCTGTCAGAATGGCCAAAATCAAAAACACCAATGACAGTTTATGCTGGAGAGGATGTGGAGAAAGGGGAACACTCCTCCACTGCTGGTGGGAGTGCCAACTTGTACAGCCACTTTGGAAATCAGTATGGAGATTCCTCAGGAAAATGGGAATCAGTCTACCACAAGACCCAGCAATTCCACTCTTAGGCATATGCCCAAAGATGCACATTCATACAACAAAGAGGTCTGTTCCACTATATTCATAGCAGCATTATTTGTAATAGCCAGAACCTGGAAGCAACCTAGATGCCCCTCAACTGAAGAGTGGATAGAGAAAATGTGGTACATTTACACAATGGAGTACTATTCAGTGGGGAAAAAAGCAGTGGAATCTTGAAATTTGCAGGCAAATGGATGGCACTAGAAGAAACCTTCCTGAGTGAGGTAACCCAGTCACAAAAAGACAAACATGGTAGGTACTCATTCATATATGGATTTCGACATGGATCAAGGGAGTGTCAGCCTACAATCCCACTGACAGAGAGTCTGGGAAACAGAACCTTCATCCAGTGACTGATGGAAGCAGAGGTAGACCCCCACAGCTAAACACTGAACTGAACTCCTGGAGTCCAGTGACAGAGAGGAAGGACTAATGAGCAAAAGGGTCAAGACTGGGCTGGTTTAACCCCAGAAACAGCTGACCTGAACAAGGGGGGGGCTCTTGGACCCCAGACTGATGACTGGGAGGACAGCATGGGACTGATCCAGACCCCCTGAATGTGGGTGTCAGAGAGGCCTAGGCAATCTATGGGACCTTGGGTAGTAGATTAGCATTTATCCCTAGCATACAAATGGACTTTGGGTGTCCAACCCACAATGAGGTATGCTCTCTCAGCCTGGACTCTTGGGGAAGGGCCTAGGCCCTGCCCTGAAAGAAATGACAGACTCTGAAGATCCTTCATGGAGGGCCTCACCCTCCCTGGGGAATGAAGTGGAGATTGGGTGGGAGGTTGGGAGACCTGGTGGGGGAGAACTGGGGGGGGGGGAGAGCGAGGGAAGGGAGAGGAAGCTGGGATTGACATGTGAAGCAATCTTCTTTCTAATTTAAATAAAAAAAAAAGAAAAAAGATACCTGTGGCTCTCAATCTGATTATCAGTCTATTGAAACAATGGATCCCAAATAAATGAGAATTTCTCCCCCAGGAATCGCATGCCGGGGGAAGGAAAAGGCACTAGCCAGAAGAGGAACTTATCTCCCTGAGAGAGATTTCACAAGGTTCTAACAGTGAGACTGAAGCCCAGACAAGGATGAGTCAGTGATTCTCAGGGTCACACCTTTACTGGAACTAGTTAAATGTGTACATCTTTAGCCTCCTAATTCTCTCTTTAGGACCCTTAAGAAGGACTTAGGTCCCTGGATCTCTTTGTCCTCCTTTCCAGTGTGACCACATTACATCCTCTTTTCTTCTTCCCTCTAGTAATTTGTTTCTTTTAATTGGCTTCTTGAGGATAGAAGGCTGACTCTGACTTGAGACAGAGACTTTGGCCCCCAAATTCAATACCTCTCCTGCCTTGGCCTCCCAATTTCTCAGATTACAGATGTGTGTCCCTCCATCTGGTTCTTTGATAAACCTAACATCTCAAGGTTGGCATGAGACACTGGGCAGCGTGATAATCCTCTATATTCACCACTCGTCACCTCAACCATCTTGTTCAGTGTTGTCATGTAGAACAATGGAAACAGAGGTCTGATAACCATGTTGATCTATCTTTTTCTGTGTGAATAAAGTGAATCTATTTGGGATTGTTAATTTCTTGTGAACCACTCTGTGGAAGTGTGGCAAAGCCAGTAGTATTCAGTGATCCTTGTGACTTTTCAAAATGCTATACAGCTTCTTGGGGACTGCCTGACTGACAAATTAATGTTTAATGACTAAATAAATAAAAGGAAAATAAGACTGAAATCTTGGCTATGACAAGGTATTCAAAGATAGAACAGTAATGTTTGATTAGCCAATTAAGATTGCCATAGTAACTGAAAATTTTTTCTAAAGACTAATACTGGGAATATTTGAAAACTTAGCCAAGGTACGTGGGATGTCTCCTGCAGGCATCACAACCAGCAGCAAAACAATCTGCAAAGAGGTGAGAAAGAAAACTTGGTGCATCCCAACTTAGCCAGGATGGATCAAACTTCGGGAGTCCAGTGCCAGGCAGTTTATTGCCAGCATATTTAAATGTGGCACAATTTGGAGGAAATTTCCCTGGTGTAATGCAATCCCAAGTACTCAAGGAGGCATAATTACATCAAAACTCAACTCAAACTACACGTGATTTTTTCCAAGAAGATGGGTTCTAAAGATAGGCTATCTGTATTTGTTAAAAGATCTAGGGAAGGATATGGCCTGGTCTCAATCATACAGATAGCACAGAGGTCATTTGTCTCTGGTCCTTATTGTGGGAGCTTCAAGGAGCCTCTGGCTATACAGATAACGTAAGGGTTATTTAGGCTATTAGCCACCTCCAGACCTGGTTGTGGGAGCTTGATATGGTCTGCTCCTTCAGATAATGCAGATCACTAGTCTGTCAATCACCTCCAGTTCCCAGCCTTTTGGATAGAAAAACAGGTTATACATCCTTTTCTTTGAGAATACAATCCAGCATGCTTAACATTCCTGGTTTCCCTGGAAATCTGTGGGTGCAAGGTATTATCATTTTCTCTAATTATACAATGGCATATAGGCATTATGGCTATATCACATTTGAGCAGGATTGCAGAATATGGCCATTATCAATAATGGTTTCTCTATAGCCCGTAAAGTCAGATACATCTTAACTCACAAGCCCATTATCTAGGACTTATGGTTTTTCAGACCCTGTGACCTCTATCATAAGTTTCTAGCTCTGATACTATACTATAAAACAAAAGCTGACAATCAAGCAGATTGTGTCCCAGTGCATATGAACACCACAACTTTAGTAATTTTTATGAGACACACATGTTTTCTTTTGTAGTTTGCAACTACCTAAAAGGCAACTCTGAGATTATAAATGGTAAAAATAAAAGGTTCTGAACTGGATGTGACCCCTGAACCATAGTTTGTCAAGCTCTGAATTGAGGGAAAGAGCATGATTTCCTGTTAGAGAATCCCTCATATCCAAGATTTGTATATCGAAGTGCCATGTAGGTAGGGCACAATTGCAGAACGCAGACTTTATAGTACAAGGAATTTGTGTATGAATTAATAGAATATGGTTTGATAATACATACTACTTCTTTGCTATTTCCATATCCTTATGATTATTTTGTGTTTAGATCCATCTATTTCTTCCCCTCTACTAATTAATAAAATATATTCTAGGTTCTTTGAGCTGTAGGCCCTCACTGTTCCTTAGGACACAGGAACTTACTTTTGTTTGCATGTGGACACCTACTAGCTAATCTCCAAATATCCCTTCACTTTCTACCTATCAGATATTCTAGAAATCACTCGTCTTAGATTCTTATTGGCTTTTCTAAACAAAAACAAAACAAGAAACAGCACACATTTGAGGATGAGGGTAAGGGGTGGGCTGTTGAACTTTTATTTCTGCTGCTGATTAACTTCATTTAGCATTATGTCTTCCGGATTCATCTATTTGGTTGAACTGAGGGAATAGCATTCTTTAACATTCCATTGTGCTAAATCATCTTATTTTTTTAACCTTTACTTACAGCTAATGGGAAGGTTGAACTTACTACGTTGATGGACCAAGTGGAAGCTCTCACAGGTAATAAACTAATATAAATCAAATTATAAATTATATTTAGTTTGTCTTACCACTTTATCTTTTATCTGACTTTTCTAATGTCCTAAAAATACGTTTTTTTATTATCTTTGGTTTGTTATAAATTTTTAGTTTTGTGTCTTGGTAGAAAGTTACTTGATATTTATATACAACATGAAAATATTCCAATATGGAGGAAAAAGCAAATTCTAGACAAAATCATTGAATGATATAGTAAAGTTATGATATAGAGGTAGCTGATTTTATTATATAAAATGTTCAGAAACCTGACATAACTTTCTTACTTGGATAATAAAGTCCCAATTCAGTACGCAATATATATATATATATATCTTTTGCATTGGTAGTCCACACCAGGTTTTAACTGTGTTGTCTTACTTTTATAATATGAAATGAAGCATTTCACTAGCTTTAAGCAAAAATATTTACTCACAAATCCAATTGTGTGTATGAGAGAGTTAGTGTGTGTGTGTGTGTTAGTGTATGTGTGTATGTATATGTGTGTGTTACACTGTCCTTACTCCTTATCAAGCAGTAAAATTAACATGGAATAGGGTTTTATATGTGTTGTAGAAGTAGGATATATTTAAATTATTTTATTTTGTGTTTTGAAGGAGGAGAGACTGATATAAATGATGTGAAACATGTTCTGGAAAAAATGGGGATTGACCTGAAGGAAAAAGAAATGTTGAAGCTGCTAAAAAATTTGCCAGTCAATGGTGAGAATTTTGAATATTAGCATTAGTTCTTTAAAAGAACTGAGTGCTAAGAGAGAGTTCATGTCATCATAGTAAGACCCTGTCTGAAAAAAGACAGAAAGAAAGGAGGGAGGAAGAAAAGAGAATGGAGTATTATATGTTTGTGTGTGTGTGTGTGTGTGAGAGAGAGAGAGAGAGAGAGAGAGAGAGAGAGAGAGAGAGAGAGAGAGAGAGAGAGAGAGAGCGAGAGAGCAGGGTTGTGGTGTGGGAGAGGGGAAATCGTCCAGCTTGTTGTTTAGGCTTATGTGGCTGGCCAGGGAGCCCCAGATATCCTCCTGTTTCCTCATGGGTTTTGGGTTCAGATCCACTCGGTAAACACTTTACCAACTGAGATATCTCTGTAGTCCCTGATGGTGGCAAGCTTGAAAATGACTTTTATTTGATTATGGAAGAAAGAGCCCAGAATTATGTTGCAACCATGAGTAGAAAGACTAAACATTAAGTTATGATTGAGAAACAGACTGGGACATGTATAATAGAGAAATAGATTAATGACAAAGCTGTAGAAAAGAAAGCAAGTTAGCTAGAACGAATTGCCACTCTGCTCATGAGGAGGAAGAGGTTGCTAAAAGCTGTCTCTGCTCCTTGACCTTGTGTATCTATATAGTCAAATAACTGTTTTTCAAATTATAGCTTTTATAGTTTACCTTAGTGAGTTTTCCTGTGTGTCTGTGACCTGAAATGTGCATTTCTTACAGAGGACGGAAAGGTCTATCAAAATAGGTTGATGGACAGCCTGAAGTCCCTTAAAGGTGAGTTAGAGCCCTGTTGACATGCGATAGATCTGTAATTGCTGTTTCTGTCACTGTATCATGGGTGCTGTAATTATTACACTCAGAATTCTCTTGTGGGCTTCTTGCCATTTGCTCTCTTTGATTTTGTTGTTCTTAGAAAGAAACCCATGCCCTGGTAAGTGTGGTACTGAAGGAAAAACAAATGAAGTAGACCTCACTTGAAGTTTTTTTTTTAAGGGAAAAAATAAAGATTGATTTATGAGGGGCATTTGGTCTTTAGTAGAAACAATCTGAAGCTTTAGAAAACAAAAAGCAAATTGTACATAACTGGCAAAAATGAAACAAAACGGCAAGACTTGTCACCACCTCTGCTGAACTGACAATGCAATTGATGTGAATCTTTTCAAACTGTGTGCTGTGTAGACTGGTGCTTGAGGCCAGGTTCACTTGGAAAGCTAAGTCCGTTATGGATTCTCTTAGCTGTTACTGTTTGTTGAGCTGTGGGTCTTGTGTGTCTGCTGAAGATGATACTTTTGAAGCTTTGGGTTCCTTCAATCTTGTTCATGTGCCTATGTCTTTTACAAGGAGGGACCATTAGTGCCAATAAACTGGATTCACTCCTGGGGAGCATGGGCATAAGACTCGAAGAAAAGGAACTTGAAGACCTGATTCAGAGTCTGCAGCAGGATGGTAAGAATGAGCTTCTTGGGAGCAGAGGGGTCTCCCTACAAATACAAACACCTGCACTCATCAGTTCGCTCTTACATGGCATGGCAGCATTGTTCTCCTGTATAGTTAGGCAGGGAAAAAGATCTGTGAGACATGTGGTGTGTGTGTGTGTGTGTGTGTGTGTGTGTGTGTGTGTGTGTGATTCATGTGTTTTGCTTGCATTTGTGTTATATCTGTGCACCACATGTGTGCTTGAGAAGGCATGCTGCCATTTCTTAATACCCCATACAAGTTTTTGTGCTGTGCATTACTATGTACCTATTGTTTAAGAAACAATGCCAACTGGAGAAGTAGCATAGGACTGAACTAGGACCCCTGAATACATGTGACAATGGTGTCGCTTGGACAGTATATGAAGCCACTGGCAATGGGACCAAAATCTAACTCTAATGCATAAACTAACTTTGTGGAGTCTATTCTCTATGGAGAGACACCTTGCTCAGCCTAGACATGGTCCTGCCTCATCAAGGTGATAGGACAGACTTAGCTGACACCCTAGGAAAGGCTTTACCCTCCCTGAGGAGCAGAGGGAAATGGGATGGGAAAAGTAGGGGAAGGGGGAGGGGAGGAAGGAGGTAGAGCTGGGATTGGAATGTAAAAAAACACCAAATACATAAAAAGTTAAAACCAAACCAACTACAAAGGAAGTACTCAATAACTGTTGCATTTAATTGAATTTAGTAAGTTTCTACAATATTCAAAGTTGATTGCTAAGTAATATAATTAAGTATAATATATTAAAATTTTTATATCAATATTTACTGTCAAATAGCAAGTCAAATTAAAATGAAAATATTAGTAATCATATGTAAATTGGACAGTCTCCCTAATCCAGTTGCATCACACACCAATGTGATATGAACCAGTTTTAGGTTTTGCTTCATTCATGTATTAAAGAGGAAGGTATACTCTACAGTTTCCAAGCAAGGAAATTAGTTCCAAAGAAGACTCAAAATTCAATTTTTTTGTATCCAGAGTCAGTCAAAAGATAGAATACACAGAGGAACATGATTGTTACAGGATTTTTAACATGTAGGGCAACATGTCCCTTTCAACCTTGAAAAAAATTAGAATTATAAAGACGATTCTAGAGCAAGTCTTAGAAGGTTCATTCTTTGGTACCTTTTATCAAAATTTTAATCTATGTTGGTGACTTGGCTTTCTGTTATTTTGTAGCTGATGGGAATGTTGATCTTAAAAAGATAATGGATGAAGTAAAAAACATATCTGGTGAGTAGTCATGAAGTTGCCACCCTTGAGCTTTACACTGCTTCTTACTAAATTTTCTCCCTACCAGTCACTGACTTTGAAAATGTGTGGGGTTTTATTGTTGCTGAGATTGTTTTACTACGGCAGGATATTATATAATTCAGGTTTTTAAAGTAGACCAATGGGTTGTATATTCATAGCATATTGTTTCACTCTGTAGTTTTGTTTCTAAAAATACCAATTGCTGTAAAGCATTGTTTATTCAAAATTCAGATAGACATAGTAAATACATAAAATCATTGTCCTTGTTACTGCAACCACTTAACCACATAAATCAAATCAAAAAGTATGTAGCTAGAGTGTGAATGTTTAAATCACTCATCTATGTTGTTCTGATCACTAGACAGTTATGCAGCCAAAATTCAGTGTTAAGAGAGCTGCTTCAATAAGTTAATGATTTTAATGATTCCTTCATTAAAATTAATCCTCTTCCTCATCCTCCATCCTTCTCCTTCTTCTTCCTCTCCCCCCTCCTCTTTCTTTTCCCTCTCCTTTTCCCTTTCCAGAAAAAGGGATATTTTCATTTTTCCCTTGCTTAATCTCAAGTTGTAGGTGACTCTTTAGGAGGCACGAGTATTGCATTATTTGAACTCATTAAATGGTCCTTAAATTCTCAAATAGTTGAATTCTCATTTTTTAAAGGAAACAAGGTTTATGAAAGCGATCTTCAAAATTATCTCAGAAATCTGGGAATTGAGCTAACAGATGCAGAATGCTCAGAGCTCAAGAAAACTCTGCCTACTGATGGTAAGCCATATAGTTACCTCTTCAGCCTTATGAAGGGATTCGCTTTATGGCTACTTATGAGCACTTGTAAGAACTTTTTATGCCATTCTCACTAATAATTCTAGAACTCTATTAACTAATTAATTAGATTCTAGGTTATATGAAAGCCATGTAGTTATTAATTAAATTTTACCCCTTAAATCATTAAAACCTTGATTAATAAGTCAGTGCTATAGCCTGGTATTTCCCCCAAACTATGAAGCTTAGTTATGATCAGAGAAAGAAAGAAAAATGAGGAGAGTGAAGAGTTAGTACAGAACTAGAGAGGAGAAATCAAGTGGAAATAAAATGGAAGCAATGATAGAGTGAAGTGAAGAGTCCCAAGTCTGAGTCCATAGGTTCAAATCCTGGTTCCATTACCTGTCACTGTGTTATCTTGTGTTAAGAGAAGCTTTATCTTGCTAGCTGCTTTGGTTTATCTCCCACCATCCGCCTGGGCTCTGCCACGCCAGCCTGGTTCCAGATCCGCATCAGTCCCAAATAAACACACAAGAGGCTATATTCATTATGAAGCTGTTGGCCTTGCTTATTTCTTACTGGCTAGCTCTGACTTAAGTAATTACCCCATAATTGTTAATCTAAGTATGTTTCTTACCGGAGAATAGTCCCGGGCTTCCTACCCCATGCGGTTACATGTCGACTCTCCGTGTTTCTCCTACCCAGAGTCCTTCTGGACTCCTAGTCCCTCCTATCTAGATTCCCTATTGGCCAGACAGTGCTTTATTCTTTATTGACAAATGCACAGGACTTCCCCAATAATCTTGGACAAGCTACTTCTAACCACTCTGCATCCTGAGTCCCACATCTTCAAAATGAGAATTAGAATTGGATAAAGCACCTTGAAAAGTGATTGGTCTACAGTTAAACACCAACAAACGTTAATGACTGAGTTGCTGTGATGGGATGCTGTGATGATGGCCATCTTGATGGTGGTAGAAGCAGCAATGGTGAATCTTGAGAGTGGCCATAGTACACAGTGACATAGGTAACAAAACTCATAGAGATTTGTCACTTTTTCAAGGTTTGCCATTCCAACTCGCATTTTTTATTTAAATTAGAAACAAGCTTGCTTCAAATGTTAATCCCAGCTCCCTCTCCCCTCCCTCTCCTCCTCCCCTGTGAGGCCACTGGCCACTAACTTCCCAACCCCTCCACCCCACTCCCCCTCCTCCCCACCAGGGAGGGTGAAACCCTCCATGGGGGAATCTCCAAAGTCTGTCATATCATCTGGGGCAGGGTCTAGGCCCTCCCCCATGTGTTCAGGCTGAGAGAGCCTCTCTCCATGTGGAATGGGCTCCCCAAGTCCATTCATATGCCAGGGATAAATACTGATCTTCTACCTGAGGCCCCATAGATTGCCCAGGCCTCCTCACTGACACCCACATTCAAGGGCTCTGAATCAGTCACAAGTTGACCTCTCAGCCATCAGTCTGGAGTCCATGAGCTCCCCCTTATTCAGGTCAGCTGTCTCTGTGGGTTTCACCAGCCCAGTGTTGACCCTGTTGCTCATCACTCCTCCCTCTCTGCAACTGGGTTCCAGGAGTTCAGTTCAGTGTTTAGCTGTGGGTGTCTGCTTCTGTTTCCATTAGCCACGGGATGAAAGCTCTAGGATGGCATATAAGGCAGTCATCAATCCCATTATCAGGGAAGGGCATTTAAGGTAGCCTCCCCACTATTGCTTACCAACTTGCAATTTAGAGTAAATTTCTAGAGTCACAAATAACGTTACCTACATGATTGTCATTCTGATATAAATTTCCTTTTTCTCATAGCTGCTGGAAAGGTATATCAAAATAGGGTGCTGGATGCTGTAAAGTCTCTTAAAGGTAACAATTTAAATATTAAATTCCTATCTGTATTTATAAGTATTAGACACTAATTACTTATGCTTTCTTACAAATTGGTTTTATGAGGAAATACTCTTATTTGTATTTCTGCATATAACCTTGAGTTTTCCCAAACTCTACCAGAAGGGAAAAGGTAAGTTTAAAATTATTTTATTTAATAAAGAGTTATTTTATAACTGTGTCAAATAGTCTAAGCGTTCAAGTAATAACCTCTATTACTTCTGAAACAAAGGTAAATTGCTTCTGCTTTAGTTCCAAGAGTTCTTCTTTTTTATATGGCCCCTTTTTTCTTCCATTCAATGTTTAGTGAAACAAGTTCCATTCCTCTACTAACTTTATATCATTGGTATAACTTATTGTATCATTGTCTTTCCATCACACCTCTTAGGTAATAACATCTATTAAGTAACATGTAGCTGTGGTAATATCTTGAATGCACTGAAGCCATTTACCTGTCTCCTTTTCTTTTTCTAAGTAGGGAGGGTTAATCTCAGTGACCTGGACAAAGCTCTTGGAAACATGGGAATTGAACTTACAGAGAAAGAACGTAAAAATCTAAGAGATAAGCTTGTAGTCAAAGGTGAGCAGGAAATTATAATATCTCAGTGTTTTTGAAGTTCAAAGAATTATCTCCAGATATCTGTAATATATGGCATACTTAGATTGTCCTGAAACTATGAAATTCCAGCAGGGCCAAGAAATAATTCATTGTAGTTCATCATGTTGAGATATGCGCTCTCTATCCCTTTATTTTCAGGATTTTTATCATGAAGGGATGTTAGGTTTTCTCAAAGGCCTTTTCTGCTTCTCTTGAGTTGTCATGTGATTCATGTACTTGTATTCAGCTGTGTGATGTATTACATTTATTGAGTTGTATGTATTGAACCATGTCTTCATCTCTAGATTGAAAGCAGGCTGATGATGGTGAATGATCTTGTGTGTTCTTAAATGAGGTTTATAAGTATTTTACTGAGAGTTTTCATGTTTGTGTTTATGTTCATTCTCTTTATCTGAGTTTGGTGTTGGAATAACACTGACTTTTAAACAAAAGTTGGAAAACATTCATTTTACTGAAAGTTTTTATGTTTATGTTCAACAGAGAGATTGGCCTGTCGTTCTCTTTATCTGAGTTTGGTGCTGGAATAGCACTGGTTTTTTTTTTGTTTGTTTGTTTGTTTGTTTGTTTTGTTTGGTTTGGTTTGGTTTTGGTTTTTCAAGACAGAGTTTCTCTGTATTGTTTTGGAGGCTATCGGTCCAGCCGGGCCTCGAACTCACAGAGATCCACCTGCCTCTGCCTCCCGAGTGCTGGGATTAAAGGTGTGCGCCACCACCGCCCGGCAGCACTGGTTCTTAATCAAGTGTTGGAAAGCATCCTTCTCATTCCTACTTTATGGTGCTGGCTAAAGATTTGCCAATTTTATTGAATTTTTCTAAGAACCGACTTTTCTCTCAATTCTATGGTTCTATTACTTATTTAATTTCTCTCCATCTAAGCTTTGGCCTTAGTGTGACACACTTCACTTTCTGTGGTTTATGAAGTACTGAGCTGCTTGAGCGCATGAGAGAGAATTAGCAACTTTGACTTCTCTTAGTCATGAATGATTTGTAGATCCTATCAATGTCTCGCATATATCCCCAAACCAATTATTATATAGACTAATTCATATTAATGCTTTGTATATCCAATAAATGAATTATCAAATATTTTAATAAGGAAGTATATGGAGAACAGTAAAACATTTTAGCAGTTGTCTTATATAGAGAGAAATAAATATCCAGAAAGCCACAGTAATTGAAAATATAACATCTGGGTGTTGGTGGCACACACCTTTAATCCCACCACTTAGGAGGCAGAGGCAGGCGGATCTCTGTGAATTCGAGGCCAGATTGGTCTACAGAGTTCCAGGACAGCCTCCAAAACAATACAGAGAAACCCTGTCTGGAAAAACCAAAAAAAGAAAGAAAGAAAATATAACAGAGAAATATTTTAAGCAAAAGATGAAAATTTTCCATTTGTGATAACCACTGATGGAACTTTATGACTAGTGTAAGCCAAATTTTACACTCTTTCTAAGGCAAAATAGTATCTTAGGACACGAGAGGCCATATGACCCAGGGCATAGATGATCTTATTTTGTTGGAAAATTTGTTCAATTCTATTAACTATAAATTAAATATAAAATTTGAAAAATATAACAAAAAAGATTAGATTTTACTAAAGTTAAAAATAAGCATGTCCTGTATTTAAAATATGCATCATCTAGTCATTTGTGTCTTTTATCATAGATGGGGGGAAGATTGATCTCCATAAGCTTCTAGATGCAGTAAAAGCAATAAAGGGTAAGTATTAACTGCTGAGAATAAACCTAAGAACATAAATATTCTACTAGATCACATTATGATACTTTTGTCATAGTTACTGTCATTATTCAGATATTTTATTACTGAGTTTAAATGACTCATGATTAATAAATAAAGTAAAGCTTTAACTAGGGATATAGAGCATCACAAAAAGACTAACATAAATTTTACTGGTTAACATATGAATATAGACCACCTAAAATACTCTGATTTATAGAATGTCTTACTCCCTACACAAGCATATACCATGCTATACTTTCCCCATAATTATGAGAAGATAACTTTTTGCCTGTGTTTATAAGTTTTGCTCTTGATACAATTGTTGAGAGCAATGCTGAGAATATTTAAGTAATCTTTAAAATTCTTACTTATAGAAGAGTTTATTGATATGGGTGATTTAGAAGATGTTTTGGAAAACACTGACCTAGAACTTACAGATAAGCAGTGGAAGCTGGTGGAAAAGTTGCAACCTGATGGTAAGTGTTTAAAATGGACACAACTGCTTCAGCAGGAACGTTTTGTTTTTCCTTGTAGACACCGGCAACATCTAGAGACAGTTTTTTTGGTGTTGCAGCTGGCAGGGGCAGGTTGGTGGTAACACTAATAAATAGTGGATGAAGCCATGGATTACTAACACGGAGAGAGTGATATACAAGTTTCAGAGAATGAGACAGCCCCACACACGAGAATCATCCAGCCTAAAACATGTAATTCTGCTATTAAAAGTGCCCTCTGTGTAACCTTTTGGGAAGCTTAGATTTGTGAGCTTCTATACAAATACTGCCCTGTTTTATTCTCAGTGAAAAAGCCTGCCAAAAACAATAGCGCTTAGTCCTACCTGTAGACGACATACTTAATTGTGCAGTTCTTCATTTGGAAATAAACGTGTCGTCACTATGATTTGATGCCATGAAATGCCTACTGCTAATCTTAATTTTACGGGAATGCTTAACATTAAGCAAAGAGACGAGGAAATGAACTGGGTTGGTGTACTTGGCATCAAAATATAAAAAACAAATAAAGAGATGATGGACTACATGCTTCAGCATCACGGTGGCTTTACAGAGTGTAGTGGCTAATCATCCTTGTTGTTTGGAGAAGTGCCTGAGAGATTACTAGAGCAGACATGGGGGTGGTGTGCCTGTGAGTATTTCCAGAAATGATTAACCAAGGAGCCAAGGAGGAAACCAACCCTGAGTGTGGCACCCACCCAGTCATCTGAGCCACCCGGTCATCTGAGGTCACAGATGGAGCAAAGTGTGGTGGTGGGGGTGCAAGCTCTTGAACAGGCATACGCTCTCTCTCTCTGTCTCTCTCTCTCTGTCTCTCTCTCTCTCTGTCTCTCTCTCTCTGTCTCTCTCTGTCTCTCTCTCTGTCTCTCTCTCTGTCTTTCTCTGTCTCTCTGTCTCTCTGTCTCTGTCTCTGTCTCTGTCTCTCTCTCTCTCTCTCTCTCTCTCTCTCTCTCTCTCTCTCTCTCTCTCTCTCTCTCTCTCTCTCTTTCAGCATCCCTGAGAGCATCCCAGCTAGGAGAGCAACGTAGCTGTGTCAGGCAGCTCTTCTGTCGTGCTCTCTCTCATGTGTTACAGAAACATGGGGCTATGATCTACAACCCCTGAAACATGAACTGGAATAAATATTTGCTTCCTTAAATTGCTTTTTCAGGTTAATCTAACAGCAGCAAAAAGTCTGCCAAACACAAAAAAAATGCTCACCTTTTTAGAAGTTCTCTGCCATAAAATGTTGCTATACACTTTTTAACATTGGAAGATAATGGAACCCGAGCCTAGAGACATACTTCTGAAATGATTTTATGCAGTCATAATAATTTATTTCTACTTAGCCTGATTGTCTGTTCTTACAGCTACTAGAAAACCCTATCAGAAGAGGTTTCTGGAGGATATGAAGACACTTAGAGGTAAAAGTGTTGTTATAGAAAAGCAGTTGTACAAGGAAGGCTTATAGTTGGCATTAATTTCTCTCCTGGAAATTAAACTCATTCAGACATGAACCCCCTTCTGGCAGGCACAGTGCTTTGTCTCTGTCACTAAAATTTTCTATAGAGGGCCTGGAGAGATGGCTCAGTGGTTAAGAGCAATGACAGCTCTCCCAGAGGCCCTGGGTTCAATTCTCAGCACCCACACAACAACTCACAACTGTCTGTAACTCCGGTTCTAGAGGACTCAACACCCTCACCCAGACATACATGCAGGCAAACACCAATACACATTAAATAAATAAATAAATAAATAAATAGATTTCTGTAGAACCCCCTGTAATCTACCACTTTTACTGCAGAAAGATACCCATAGCACAGTCTACCATTTTAAATGTACAACCCAGTAAGACTGGAAATGTTTGCAGTGTTGTGCAGCCATGACCTTCACTCCCTCCAAAGTCTTTCTGTCATTAGGAGCAGAAACTCTGTATCTGTTAGGCAATCACTACTATTTCCTCCTTTCTCCAGCTCCCGGTAGCCTCTGCTCTGCTCTCTATGAATTTACCTCTTCTGGAAACCTAGACGTGCCAATAAATGGACTGCATTTCATTTTATATTTTGAATCGTAGTGAGATTTTTCCCCCATTCCTTGGGAAATTCCCGAAAGTTTATCAGACTCCCAAGTGAACTTTAAATATTTACAATTTTAAAAAGACTTGCCTTTATTCAGAAAATCTAATAGACAACGAAGTTGATTGATTTGAAAGTTCTATCAACAGCAATCAACTAATTATCCAAATAACAAAGAATAGGATTATCTGTTTTTGTCACATTTTAAAGCTAGTATATTTTACGCATACCTGTATCTCTTTTTAAGAAGGGAAAATCAAGGCTGGAAAAGTGGACACGTTTCTGAAGAACAAGGGGATAAACATCTCAGAAAAAGAGCTTAAAGACCTAACACAAAGCCTGCCCATGACTGGTAAGCATCTACCATTCAGCATCAGAATGACAAGGCTGTGAAAGCACAGACTCTGGAGCCAGGCTCCCTGATCTGAGTCCTGGCTCTTCTGTTTAATGCTCATATAATGTTAATGTTCTCTCTGTACCTCACTTTCTTCATCTATGAAAGGGCATATGAAGCCCAATTATAAAGTTTTGTGAGGACCAAATCGTACCAGTTTTGTTGTTGTTATTAGTATTATCGTATTATGACCTTGTGGGATTAAACATACAAAACTCAGAATCTTGACATTGAGCCATTTGCAAAAAACTTTGAAAAAAATTCAAGCCTTGGGTTAGGATGATAGCTCAGTAGGTAAAGTACCTGCCACACAAGCACGAAGAGTTGCGTTGGTTTTTTCTGTTTTATTTTGTTTTGTTTTGAGATAGGGTTTCTCTGTATTGCTTTGAAGCCTGTCCTGGAACTAGCTCTTGTAGACCAAGCTGGTCTCGAACTCACAGAGATCCGTCTGCCTCTGCCTCTGTCTCCCCATTGCTGGGATTAAAGGTGTGTGCCACCACCGCCCAGCATATGTATGTATTTTTAAATTTTGTCTTTTACTACCAGGTAGATGGTAGGTAAATAGTCATTAAAAACAAACTTCTAAATAATTGGTATAGAAGGTTATGTCACTAATCTGTGACATTAATAACTATGTGTAGTTCAAAACCTGTTCAATTTAATTATAACATTGCATAGATTGTGGATATGAGCAAACTCCCTATGAATGGAAATCTTCCAGACTTAAAAGTGTTGAAAGGTGGCATAAACTCCTTTTAAAGTTTGCTCTTGTAGTCTAGCTAAGTAATAGGAATTCACCTGTGATTAAAGTTCTGAAAAGCCACTAAGAACAGAAAGCACTTCCTCTCTGTCTCATTCTTTTGTGGCTAGAAGTTTTAGTAACTTAAAGCTATGTTGTTAATATAACTTCATTGTGAAATCGAAACCTTTTTTGTTTCACACTAATAAAGAAAAATGCAATAATAATTTTTCCAAAACCTTGCTCGTTTCTGATCTTTATCCTGATTGTCATCTTGCAGCTGATGGGAAAGTTGATATAAAAACTTTGATGAATGAAGCAAAAGTTTTCACAGGTTAGTGATGAATTCCTGCCAAACTAAAGCCTTCATACTGTTATAATAGTGTTTTTCTGTTTTTTTCCACACTGCCATGAAATTAGAAAAAAAACTTCTAATAAAAGTTTTCCAATAAGAGAAATCTTCTTTGAGAACATAAATTTGGCAAAATATGACAAAAAAAGCACAAAAATGCCTATAGGGTTGTATCTTAGTAAGAAACCCTGCATTCTATACACGCTGCCCTCCTAATCTCTCTGAAATGCACAGGCTCTGTACACAGCACTCTGAATATTTATGATATCGTTACCGCTGCTGACAATTACAGCATTAATGAAAGCAAGAAATTCTTCCTTAAGGATTATTTACATTAATCACCCTGTGTATATGACCACTAAAGGGGCATTTGGCATTCCAATTTCCTTCAAGCCAAGGCATTATGGAAGGATGGTGTTCTTCTGTTATTCAATCTAAAATTTAAGGTAGTTAATATATTCACCCCTCACTATTCCTAACTTTTTAGGTGAAAAGGTTGATGTCAATAATCTGGAAAATCTGCTGAGAAACGTGGGAATTGAGCTTAATGATCCAGAGTACATGAAGCTAGTGAAAACACTTCCAGTGGATGGTAAGCCTTAAAAAACTGCGAAAGTTTCCGGACTGTGATTTAATAAGCCAGAGAGGGATGTAGAAAACTTTAGAATTTGGTGTTCGAAAGGCTTGGGAAGTTTAACGCCTCTCACCCCAAACTGAAGTAAATGACTTGTAAAAATGATGAGATAGAGACTGAGGTGACAGCTTATGACAAAAAAATGAGTCCTTTACTGCTGTCAGTGACAGCAAGGGAGTGATGATGGTATTTCAATGAGTTTGTGTAGGTTTGTGTGCGCACTAAGACCGATACAGGTTCGGGTGGATAACAAAGCAAATGCAGTAAGATGAAAGAATTAGGAGAATTCTTCACACTCCATTTCCCAGTTTCTGTAATTCTGACAATGCATCAAAATAAAAGGCTAAAATAGAAAATCCTGGCACCACACAGACACTTGGTTTGGGGTCAACTGAACTCTTCTGTGGACACCTGCCATGCTGAGATAATGGTTTTACCCTAATCACAGCACAATCCACAGCACCCGTCAGTCTCCTGAACCATTGTGTGTGAACACATAACACATTAAGTGAACTGTCTGAGTTCTCTATTAGTTTCTCCCACCAGTTTTATATTTTACATTTTCTAAGGGCTAAGTAGCTCTCTGGTAGAGTGCTTGCCTTGCTTGTATGAGGCCATAGGTTCAATTCCCAGCACTGCCGGGGGGAAAAAAATAACACTTTTTTCCTGGAACTTCAGCCAATCCATGCATAGAACCTGGAAAATATTTTCACATAATTGGAAAAATATACAGTCTATCCTTAGCCATTTTTATTTGCTGTTGCCTTTGTCTTCTTCTTATTCCTTATAGCTTATTGGTGGTGTTGTTTACATTTTGCTTTCCTCCAAAAAGAAAAGACTTTTAAACTTACTGTTTTTTGTCTTTTGTTTAGTGCTTTTCTTTCCTATCTCGATTTCTGTTGACACCTTTCTTTTCATTTTGAGGACTCTCTCAATGCCCTGTTCTTGAGCATGAATGGTTGGGTCTATTTTCATCCTTTGTTGTTTTAGCATTCTGTTCTCCTCTCACCGGTTTCCTTGTGTGATGTAAAAAGCCCTCTTCATCCCTTTTTTCTCCCCCACACAGATAATGGGATGGTGCATTGGGCTAGAGTACTGAAGGGTGTGAAGTCCCTCAAAGGTGAGTTCAAACTCATCCTAATGTGCCCATCTGAAATCGTTCGGGCTTTGCAAAGTATTTTCGTTGCTGTTGTTTCTCTCCTCTTTGGAGGAAACATCACAGTTGGAGTCTTCCTACTTTTATTACCAAAAATAAAAAGGCTTTGTCATCTAAATATGCACAGTAAAATTGGAGTGAAAGGATACAGTCGTTCTGCCAGTTTTAGGAATGTCGTTCATTAATAGACGACACCAATCTGGAGCTCTGGCAATGGAATGAAAATGAGTACTTTTTACTCTTTTTTAGAAGTGTTGGAAGTGATGTAGCAGTGAGTTGACTCCAGGTCCAAGGTCATTAAGCCAAATGGTTTTCTAAAGAACTATGTTCTAATTGGTCTGTCACCAGGATAGAGTTTAAAAAAAAACAGACAAACAACAACAACAAAAACAGGTTGCATTTACCTTGTCACTCTTGACCTTCTCTGTCTTATTGAAAAAGTCAAGTGGAAAGTATAGGGGTTTTGTAATTAATACTAATGACAATACAAAAATGCAAAATATAGTTTTTTATATTTTTTCTTAAAGTAGTTGCACATAGTCATTAAAAACACAAATATTATTATCATATTTTACATCTTTCATTTACTCTCTTGTTCCTGTGTGTGTGTGTGTGTGTGTGTGTGTGTGTGTGTGTGTGTGTGTGTGTGTGTGTTTGCTTTTTCTTAAGGAGGAAAAGTTGATGTCAAAAGCCTGAACTCTTTCCTGGAAAGCATGGGTATTGCACTTGATAAAAAGGAAGTGAAACAGCTAAGGGAAACCCTGCCTGTTGATGGTAAGCCTGCTAGACAGCACTTTGAAACAGCTAAGGGAAACCCTTCCCGTTGATGGTAAGCCTGCTAGACAGCACTTTGAAACAGCTAAGGGAAACCCTGCCCATTGATGGTATGCCTGCTAGACAGCACTATGTGTCCCTAAAGGAAATTTTTTTTGTAATAGCTAAGAATTTAAATACTAGCCGGGCGTTGGTGGCACACGCCTTTAATCCCAGCACTCGGGAGGCAGAGGCAGGCGGATCTCTGTGAGTTCGAGACCAGCCTGGACTACCAAGCGAGTTCCAGGACAGCCTCCAAAGCCACAGAGAAACCCTGTCTCGAAAAACCAAAAAAAAAAAAAAAAAAAAAAAAAAGAATTTAAATACTAGATTTAGCTGGTATTAAGATAAATATTCAAAAGATTAGGGAACCCTAACATTACAAATAACACTTTAAGTACCAACTATAAAACTTGTAACTACTTCAGTGAGAAAATTAAGTGAGATAATTTTGGGAAAGAGACATCATTATCCATAGTTTCTGATTTTATTTTTGTGTGTTTTTGAAATCTAGGAAACAAACCAGAAGTCTTTTGAAATCATTGAATTTTGACATGCCACTTTGTTCATGGGCTTTTGTGCAAGATTAGAAATCAAAAGTTCAGGTGATTTCCCTAGCTAGAAATTATCCAATGGAAATAGAAGTAGGAAATATTCAAATTAAAGCAACAAAACACATACATAAAATAATCTAGAAATAGATTTTACATTTTAAACCCTTCCTATGTCACCTAGAGATTTTACCCACCATCAAGGTATTTGGGTTTTTTTTTTCCAGTTCCAAAAGTCAAATAGAAATCTAAGAATTACAGGACAGCTTTTTAGGTCCTGTCTTCCCATATCTGGTTCTATTAAGGCCACAGGCTTACCTCCCAACAGCAAAAGCTTTTAAAATATTGAAACAAACAGAAACCAATTAGCAAAATATAAGAAAATTCCTTACCTATTGACAACTACATCGAATGTTAATAGATTATGCAATCAAAAGACAAGATATATGAATAGATAAAGAAATAAAATCCAACCATTTGACTCAATTCAGTTTTAAGGTCATAGAGAGACCCAAAGTGAAAAAACAGGAGGTAAGCAGGATTTCATGCAAAGAAAAGCCAAAAGAGAGAAGGGTAACCATATCAGAACACAGACATTAGGAATAATAAATAAAATAAAACCCAAGATTTGTAAGATGCATCAAAAACAGTTCTAAAGGGAAAACTTAGAATGAAGGACCAACATCAACAGACATCTAAAATAACCTAATGGTATACTTCAAGGAATTAGAAAAAGAAAAACATACTAAAATCAAATATAGCAGAAGGTAAAAATAGTAAAAGTTGAAGTAGGAATAAACAAAGACTAGGAAAACAATAGAAAAAGTCAACCAAACTTGGATTTTCTTTAAGTGTAAATGAAATCAACAAACCTTTTGCTAGACTAAGAAAAATAATTGAGACTACTCGCAGGAAACCAGAAATTAAAGAGAAGACATTACAACTGAGATCACAGACTTCTAGACAACCTACCAACTCTGAATCACTAAGAAATAGAAAATTTGAGCAGGCCAAAAAAGAATAAGGAGATCAAATATATTAGTCCACTTGCCACTACTACATCAAAATACTTAAGGCTGGTTAATGTATAATGAAGGAGATTTATTTAGCTCTCGTGTTGCATGTGAGACATTAAAGACCATCCCAGATAGGAAGCCAACATAGAACAAAGTAATTTCAGTATACAGGTAGGGAAAACTAATACTACTATAGTATCCATATTATATAAATCAATCTTCATTCAATGTAATAAATTTCAGTTTTTCACAGAGATATAAAAGCAGTTCTGTAATTCATATGGAACAACAAAGACCTTGGAAACCCAAGGCCATCTTTAGTAAGACATCCCACTACCCACTTCAAGGTGCACTAGAAATGGGCTAGTTTCTCCACTGTGTATACTTTGCATATGACTTCTGAACTTAGCACATTAATTGCTTGTCTCCTTTGACTCATTCATAGCTAATGGAAAAGTTGACCTAATTAAGGTGATGGATGGAGCAAAAACCTTTACAGGTAAGTGAGGGTTAATGTAAATATTGGATTTTTACAGTAATTATTTTTAATTTTTTGAAGTATTTTTGTTTATGTGTGTGTGAGTATATGCCAAATGTGTACACGGGCCCACAAAGGCAAGAAGATGATTCTGGATCTCTAGAGCTGAAGTTACAGGCTGTTATTAGCCAGATTCAGATCTTTTAGAAAAGCAGAAGTGCTTTTAACCACTGAAATATCTCTCCAGCCCCAATATGTTTTTATGCCTTTATTGCTATGTTAATTCTATGATTTGTGACACCTATTTGTTTAACTTTTTTTCTATCCAATGACTAGAAATTACAATGTCTTCTAGTGTGGTTTTTTTATTTGTTTGGTTGTTTTTGTCTGTTTCTGTTTTGTTTATTTTTTCTAGACAGGGCTTTGCTGTGTACCAGCCCTGCCTGTCCTGGAACTACTTTGTAGACCTTGAACTCATAGAGATCCACCTGCCTCTACCTCCTGAGTGCAGAGATTAAAGGCATGCACCACCACGCCTAGCTTTAGTATGTTTTCCTATAATACATTTTATTTTCCTTATTATAATACAGTGACATTCAACAATAAAATGAAATTAATCTTTTTTTAAAGACTGTAGGACACATTGATAGGCCTAGGATAAGCCATTTGCAGCCTTATAGTTGACTTGAGAGATACACAATACCTGCTCATCGTTGCCATTGTGAGTTCCATGTTCTTCAAGAACCATACACCAAAATGGGATTAAATGTGAAAGAGGCATTATAAAGAGAATATTTATGTAAGGAAAATATAAGGCATCTGGTCAAGACTAGAAGCTTCAAGTCTGATTCCAAGTGAAACAGAGAGAGATAAAAGGTTGGGTAGAAGCACATATCAGAATTCTTAGACTGCTCTTTGGCCATACTGCTTTGAACTTACTCAACTTATGTTATTTGATGTCATAAACTAAGCAGGGTCAGCCCTGGTTACACTTGGATGGGAGAATTCTTACCTGATAGCCACTGATCCAGTCCTTACAAGGGCCAGCAGGGATGTCTAGGCATCTTCCAGCAAAGTCAGCTTTGTAGAAACGGGTTTTCCTTTGCATTTTTTTCCACTCAGTAATTGATCTCAAGAATTGTAAGAGAGATGAAACAGATACGGGGGAATTTCAAAGCAGTAGCTTTGGCAATTTATGTTCTCAGTATTTCCTACTGCCATGTTCTCACTACCAAGATTGACAGTAACCTCTCATCCCTTGATGGTCTCTACAAATCATGTTCCTTTGAATAATCTTGTTTTGAGATACTCAGTGGCCATGGTTTTCCCCAACCTGTACTTAAATTGTGTGGTTTAATTATTTACAATTGTGCTAAATTCCATATATGTCACTATTTTAATTTTTGTTATTAAGGAGAAAAAATTGGTATTGATGATGTAAAAACTGTTCTGGAAAACATGGGGATAGAGTACAAAGATCAAGAATTTTCTAAACTGATGGAAACTCTGCAATTTGATGGTAAGCGTCTCAACTATTCATGTAATAAAGAGGGTTTAAAATTTCTCTGTGATGAAGCTATCCTCATTTCATAACACTCTATTAAGTAGAAATTAAAAAGTTAGGTTTTCCCTGACCGCTGACATGAGTCCTCTCTCCACAGGCTCCTATTTTAGATCAGATGTCCCTCTCCATTATGCTGCCTACACCAAAGAATATATGTATATACCAAAGAGTAATGCAGGATTTGTATAAAGAGAAAGGAATAGCTTAGGAGTGAGCAAATACAGGATTGGGGAAGAATAAAAGAGGTGTGTGTGTTATATAGAGTCTGATGTACTAAATTCCCCCACTTTGTCTCACATTTTTGTTCATTTATTAATTGTGTGTGTGTCTATGTGTATGTGCATACCTGCGTATAATATGTACATGTATGTGTGTAGGTATGCCCATGCCACAGTACATGTGTGGAGGTCAGGGGACAACTTGTAGGAATAGGTTCTCCCTTTCCACCATATGAGTCCAGGAGATTTAACTTGAGTTCTAAAGCTTGAAAGCAAGCACCTTTACCCACTGAGCTATCCCATTGGCTCTCACATTTTTTATAAGAAAAAATATATATAGTGAAGGTCCTAAGAGTTAGTTTTCCTGAGCAAATGCTAATGATCACCCACATTTCTGTAACCTGAATCATGTGTTTCTTACAGATGACGGAAAGATCTTTCAAAACAGGCTACTGGACAAAGTGAAGTCCCTGAAAAGTAAGTGACATGACCCTCACATCTACAGTTCTGAAAACATCCATGCATGCCACCAAAACTCACTTATGCCTGTGTGGAATCTGTGCTCCATTTATGTGGCAGCCTTCGCTGCAGCTATGGAGCCTCTATCTTAGACCTAAGGGAAAGCTCCTCCACTTTAAACAAAATAAATAGAGTAGGATTTCACATTTATAGAGAAAAAAAGGTACATTGGAAACAGTATTAGTCACTCAAGGGGTTTAATCAGGAGGAAATAAAAACTAGACTTGGAGTTCAGCCATCTTAAATCAACCCCAGATATTGTTCAGAAGCAAGAAATAATTACCTCCAGAACTAGAGTTCTTCCATATTTGTTTTAGTTTAAAATGAAACTCTATATATGATGTGGAATATTAGTTTAAGATGTGTTACATTTCATTTATGCTCTGGGATACTTGTTAAATGATGGAAAGATGTATTACATTCTTTTTTTAATTTTTTGTTTTAACTTTAAATAGCTTGTTTTACATGTCAATCCCAGTTCCCTCTCCCTCCCCTCCTCCCACACACCCCACCATCCCCCCATTCTCCCACCCTATTGCCAGTTCCTTCCACATAGGGGATATCTAGAGTCTGTCATTTCACTCAAGGTAGGGTCCAGGCACTCCTCTAAGAGTCCAGGCTGAGAGAGCATCCCTCTTTGTGTTATGGACACACGACCTGTCTGTTAGTATTCCAGGGATAGACACTGATCCACTGCTCAGGACCCCATTGGTTGCCCAGGCCTCCTCACTGACACTCACATTCAAGGGGTCTGGATCAGTCCCATGCTGGCCTCCCAGCTGTCGGTCTGGGGTCCAAGAGCTCTCTCCTGTTCGGATCAGCTGTCTCTGCTGGTTTTGCCAGCCCATTCTTTGCCAATTTGCTCATTGCTCCTCTCTCTCTGTTGCTGGGTTCCTTGGGTTCAGTTCAGTGTTTAACTGTGGGTGTTTGCCTCTGCTTCCATCAGTCACTGGATGAAGGCTCCAGGATGGTTATAGATATCAAGTTCATTATCAGGAATGGGCATTCGGGGTGGTCTCTACACTATTGCTTAGCTTGCCAATTGGTGTCATCCCTTTAGATCACTAGAGGTCACAATGGTGCCTGATCTGTCTTCTAACCTGTGATTCCCTCTTTCCCCTATCCTACCCCCCAGTCAACCTTCCTGTTCCCCCATGACCTACTCTCTCTTCCTCTTCTCCCCATCTCTATTTCCCAGCTCCCCCTCCCCTCCACCCCTCGCCATGTTCCCCATCTGTTCAGAGGATCTTGCCTCATTTCTCTTCTCTTGGGTACCATGCATATCTTTTATGTTCTTTCCTGTTTCTCAGACTCTCTGTCATTGGAAGTGCAGACTGACACTATCCTGATCCATGTCTAAAATCCATACATGAGTGAGTACATACCATGTTTGTCTTTTTGCGACTGGGTTACCTCACTCAGGATGGTTTCTTCCAGTGCTATCCATTTACCTGCAAATTTCTGCTGAGTAAAACTCCATTGTGAAAATGTACCCCATTTTGTCTATCCACTGTTCAGTTGAGGGGCATCTAGGTTGCTTCCAGGTTCTGGCTATTACAAATAATGCTGCTATGAACATAGTGGAGCAGATGCCCTTGTTGTATGAATTTGCCTCTTTTACATATATGCCTAATAGTGGAATTGCTGGGTCTTATGGTAGATTGATTCCCATTTTCCTGAGGAATCTCCATACTGATTTCCAAAGTGGCTGTACGAGTTGGCACTCCCACCAGCAGTGGAGGGGTGTTCCCCTCTCTCCACATCCTCTCCAGCATAAATTGTCTTCGGTGTTTTTGATTTTAGCCATTCTGACAGGAGTAAGATGGTATCTCAAAATTGTTTTGATTTGCATTTCCCTGATGGCTAAGGATGTTGAACACTTTCTTAAGTATCTCTTGGCCATTTTAGCCTCCTCTATTGAGAATTCTCTGTTTAGTTCTGTACCCCACCTTTTAATTGGATCCTTTGGTGTTTGGAAACTTACTTCTTGAGTTCTTTGTATATTTTGGAGATTAGCCCTCTGTCAGATGTGGGGTCAGTGAATATCTTTTCCCATTCTGTGGACTGCCTTTTTGTCTTGTTGACCGTGTCCTTTGCCTTACAGAAGCTTTTTAGTTTCATGAGGTCCCATTTGTTAATTGTCGATCTCAGTGTCTGTGCCACTGGTGTTATGTTCAGGAACTGGTCTCCTGTACCAACTCGTTGAAGAGTATCTCCCACTTTCTCTTCTAAAAGTTTCAGTGTGGCCGGATTTATATTGAGATCTTTGATCCATTTGGACTTAAGTTTTGTACAAGGTGATAAACATGGATCTATCTGCAGTCTTCTACATACCAGTACCCAGTTATGCCAGCACCATTTGTTGAATATGCTTTCTTTTTTCCATTATATAGTTTTAGCTTCTTTGTCAAAAATCAAGTGTTCATAGGTGTGTGGGTTAAAATCAGGGTTTTCAATTCAGTTCCATTGGTCAACCTGCCTATTTTTGTGCCAATACCAAGCTGTTTTCAGGACTATAGCTATATAATAGATCTTGAAGTCAGGTATGGTGATGCCTCCTGAAGTTCCTTTATTGTATAGGGTTGTTTTGACTGTCCTGGGCCTTTTGTTTTTCCATATAAAGTTGATTAATGTTCTTTCCAGGTCTGTGAAGAATTGTGCCAGAATTTTGATAGGGATTGCATTGAATCTGTAGACTGCTTTTGGCAAGATTGACACTTTTATTATGTTGATCCTACCAATCCAAGAGCATGGGAGATCTTTCCATTTTCTGGTATCCTCTTTGATTTCTTTTTTTAAAGACTCAAAGTTCTTGATATGCAGGTCTTTCACTTCCTTGGTTAACATTATCCCCAGATATTTCATGCTGTTTATGGCTATTGTAAAGGGTGAGGTTTCTCTGATTTCTTTCTCAGTCACTTCATCGTCTGTATATAATAGGGCCACTGGTTTTTTTTGAGTTTACCTTGTATCCTGCCACTTTGCTGAAGGTGTTTATCAGCTCTAGGAGTTCCCTTGCGGAGTTTCTTGGGTCACTTATATAAACTATCATATTATCTGCAAATAGTGAAAGCTTGACTTCTTCTTTTCCTATTTGTATCCCCTTGATCTCCTTTTGTTGTCTTATTGCTGTAGTTAGAACTTCAAGTACAATATTGAAGAGATATGGAGAGAGTGGACAGCCTTGTCTTGGTCCTGATTGCGTTGAGTTTCTCTCCATTTAGTTTGATGTTAGCCTTAGCTTGGCTTGTTTCTAGTCAGCTTTTCTAACTTAAATGGTTCAATTTCTCTTTAATTATGTTTTGCCTCTGGGCTTTTTACCTTTCTTTATTCTGTATTTCTTACTTTCTTTTTCACTTTCTTTCTTTCTCATTCCATGGCTGGCTGTGTCTGGGTGGCTGACCTGTGGTGTTCTTTTCTTCTCCATTTCTCATTCCTCACTCCTCCTGAGCTAGAGTTCTCCTTTTATTTATTCTGTCTGCCTGGAAGCCCTGCCTATCCTTCTCCTGCCTAGCTATTTGGCTAAGTGTCATAATATGTTATCTCATATGGAATAGTGTTGTGATGTTAACAGCCACGGTCCTGATTTCATTTCTGTTGCTGTGATAAAATGCCCTAACTGAAAGCAACTTTGGGGAGGAGAGTTTACTGATTGTTTACTGAGAGTTTACTCATTGTTGAGTTTTACACTTTCACTATGGAAACCTTAAGAATGTTTATAAGTAGAATCTGACAGTTTAAAATACTGTTAATATAAATAAAATCGGTTTTTTTCACATTTTAGACATTACTAGTAGATAACTGAAGAGAGCCTGTGATTAGGCATTGGAGAATGAAGGACCCCTTCCTAAAAGAATTGATAATTGCATTTCTGAGAACTGACAATGTGTGATTTTGCAGCAGAGTGTGTAGCTCCAAAAGCTCTAAGAAAGTGTCTTGGGAGCTTTGTGCTTTTCTTCATGGGTCTCTTGCTCTCCTCAGGTGGGAAGGTCAGCATCAGCAATCTGAAAACTCTGATGGACAACTTGGGGATCAGGCTCAAGGAAAACGAATTTAAGGATCTGGTAAAAAGTCTCCCTGCCGGTGGTGAGTGAGATTTCCGGGGATCCAACTTATACAGGAGAAACGCCTTTAAAAATAAAAGTCCTAGGATAAGGGACTTTAGGAACTGCAGTCTAATATAATATAACCAGAAAATTACACATATGGGCAAAGCATATAAGCAACCAGTTACCAAAATCAATATTGAAGCCTTGAATTTGAAAGCATATCTTTTGTATATCCTACCTATGTTACAGGCTCTTGAGATAAGGGTACTTCCGAATTTCTTCCCATCACTAACACACTTGAGTTTGGGATATTAGAACTGTGAATGCAACTTATATTGTTGAAATGGGACCTTTGTACTTTTAAGATTTTCTTCATGATAATCATGAAAGTGGTGAGACTGGATAAAATAATAACAGAAAGTGTTACCAGAATATTCCTTTTCTTTAAAAATAAGTATTTATTATTTTATGTGTATGAATGTTTTACCTGCATGTGTTTCTGTACACCACATGCATGCAGTGCTTATAGAGACCAGAAGTGGGCACTAAATTTCCTGGACTAGGAATAACACTTGAACCTGGGTAGTCTTGGAGAATGGCAAGGACTCCTAACCACTGAATCATTTCTCCAACCCCCACCAGCATATTTAAATAGATATATAAAGCATTTAGGTTAAGGTATTTGCAACAATAAATAATGATCTCTCATCTCCATTCTCTTGCTTTATTCCAGTTCTTAGGAAGGTTTCTTTAGATACACTGATGAAAAAGTTGAAAGCTTTTACAGGTGAGTGCTGTAATACTCATAGTGTAAATGTTTACATTAAATTTAACTAAATTAAAGGTAACTGAAAATATGGGCATTATTTAGGGATTCTAATCAGTAGCAGCTCATTTCTGTGGCATTTCTAGAATCCTATAAAATTAAAATGTTTCAAAATGAGATATGCACATCTGATGCCCCTCAGACTAACTTAAGAAGATGAGACATTTTGAACTGTCAGATTACAATAATATACCTTACTTCACAAATTCTTAAAACAATCTAAAACCTTATAGAAAATGGTACAGTAAAGCTTAGGAATAATGAAAACACCATTTTTACTGAAAGCATCTAGTGATCCTTGCCACACAAATATTTCTGAAGAGTAACTCATATAAGAATCAGTGTTGTAGTAATTTACTGATCAAATTTTATTCTGGAAGTTCTTTCTCCTCCTTTTAGTAAGAAAAAAATCACTCCTTAATATATGTAAAGCCAATAAATACCATGAAACATAACCAACTCTGCAACTGATTCTTCAACTTAACAGCTGACTCCACACAAAGCAAGTTTTATAACTTAAAATAAAATCTCACTGTATTCAAAATCCATGTGCTGTGACACTGTATTCAAGGTCCATGTGCTGTGACACTGTATTCAAAGTCCATGTGCTGTGACACTGTATTCAAAGTCCATGTGCCTGTGACACTGTATTCAAAGTCCATGTGCCTGTGACACTGTATTCAAAGTCCATGAGCTGTGACACTGTATTCAAAGTCCATGAGCTGTGACACTGTATTCAAAGTCCATGTGCTGTGACACTGTATTCAAAGTCCATGAGCTGTGACACTGTATACAAAGTCTATGTGCTATGAAACTGTATTCAAGGTCCATGTGCTATGACACTGTATTCAAAATCCATGTGTCTGTGACTCCCTCTTTTGAAAGGAGACAAGGTTGACTCCAGTGACCTGAGAAACGTCTTAAAGAACCTGGGTGTTGAACTCACAGAGAAGGAACAAGAAAGGTTGCTGAAGACACTGCCAGCTGATGGTGAGCCAGGGGAAGATCCATGGGATGCCCAGGGGCCTTTGCATTTTTGTAGAGTTTTATTTTGTTTTGTTTTTGTGGTTGTTTTGTGTGTAGATCTACGTAAAACTTTCTAACTCTACTGCTGCTTATTTTCCTCTAAAAGTACAAAAAAGAAGAAAGAAAATGAGGGAGGAAGAGAGGGAGGGAGAGAGGGGGAGGGAGGGAAGAAGGAAGGAAGGAAGGAAGGAAGGAAGGAAGGAAGGAAGGAAGGAAGGAAGGAAGGAAAGAAGGAAGGAAGGACAGTGAATTGTTAAGAGAATAATTTTGCCCCGTTGTCTTTGATGCTTTATATTGAAAGTGCCAGAAACCTGAAGACAAAAGTTGACATCAACCATAAAGCATGTCATCTTTAGGCCACTAATTTGGTTACATCACAAAATGAGGGGGAAAAAGGAGAGGGAAATGTCCTATCTATAGCAAAAAGTAAAGATCAGAAGCAACATTTAGCATGTGAAGTCCCTCAGGCACTAGAGTAGAGAGGTTTGTCACAGTGAAGGTGTCTTTGCCACAGCTTCACTGTCTCAAATTAAACAGCATCAAAAGTAGAGATGGTTCTTTTAATTTTGTTTTAATTTTATGATTATTGTGTATATGATATAGGTGTGCTAGTGCATGTGTCATGGATGCATGTGGAAGCCAAACGTGCTCTTGTGAAGTCAATTCTCTCCTGTCATCTGGACATAGGTGCTGAGTTGGAACTTGCCATCAGACTCTAGAGCAAATGCCTTTATCCTCTCAGCCATCTTGCCAGCCCAAGACAGCTCTTTTTAAAATGTTGATTTTTAAATGATTTGTATTATGCTATTTTATGATATCAAATCAGTTTCCCATTAAGTGAACTATGGTTTTGCCTTAGATGCTGGGAAGGTATATTACAATAGGCTGATTAAAGCTGTGAAATCCTTCAATGGTAAGTAACTCAATTAAAAGACATATGTTGGCAGTCGCTGTTCATTAAATCATCAATTGTGAATTCTTGCTTCAACATAACTCCTTATTTCTGATTCTTTATATCTATCTACACTATAGTCAACAGCATATATTTTATCTTAGAACAGTGTTTCTCAACTTTCATAATGCTGTAACCCTTTAATACAGTTCCTCATGCTGTGGTGACCCCAACCACAAAATTATTTCGTTGCTACTTCATAACTCTAATTTTGCTACTGTTATGGATCATAAAGTAAATATCTGACATGCAGGATATCTGGTATGTTACCCCTGTGAAAGGGCTGCTTGACACTCCCCCCAAGGGGGTTATAACCCATGAGAACCACTGTCTTAGAGGGAGTTCTATAGCATCTTGCATATTTTTTTACCTTTGTACAGTCCCCCTTATGTTGCAACTGAGATGAAACTTATTTTTAACTACTTTGTTGACATTATGTGTGTACTTGGACAAGACTATTTGGGGTTTCAACTTTGTTGAAAAAATTTCAAGGCCTAAGATACACCCATTTGTATTATTTGACTTTAACAGAATTTGTGGCCATTGTATCACTCAGAATTTGATTGAGGAAGCATAGTTACTAGGAGCAACATAGGCCAACAGCTTTGTTACAAGAGTGGGATTGTGAGATATGATGGACTCTGGGGGCTGCTGCCTTTGCTCCTGGTAATGGGCCTGGAATCACTTCACTTGTGACTTCCAAATATCATGCAGAAGTTATCATGGAATTACAAAGGAAAGGAATCTGCAGAAATAGAGCAGTAAGAATATTATGCTTCTAAGCCAGCCGTCCCACTGCATGGGAAGCAACCAGATAGCCTCATGCGAACACTCTTTACCCCTAAATGTAAACAGGAAGCTTGACCTGGCCCCATGTACTACCTCACACAGTATAGTGACTACAACCTCATTTCTGCTTTGCAACTATTATACAAATACTGTCTCAAAACTATACAGAAAGGCTGTGGGTGTGACTCAATGGAACTGCTTCCTTAGCATGTGTGAGTTCAAGTCAAAACACAGAAGAAAGAGTAAAAACCTGTACAGAAAATGGAATTCTTGGAAACATGGTTTCAATTTAGTAACTTGGTGCAGTTAAAATCATTAAAGGTACTAATAATGAGTTTGCATATGGAAGGTGTTGGTAAAGTTTACCTTTTTATTACCATATTATCTTTTTCCCAAGAGGGAAAGGTTTATGTAAATAACCTGGACAGTCTCCTAAAAAGACTGGGAATCAAACTCAATGAAGATGAATTTGCAAAACTGTTAGAAGATCTACCAGTGGATGGTAAGTGCTACAGATCCCCCAGGCATCTTCTTGTATCTGTGTTATATCTAATATATTTTAAAATAGGTGTAATTGGTGGCAGATACATGTTAGAAAAATGGGAGAAGCCAATATTAAAGTAACAGTAAAATGGATCTTTATTACAATTAAACAAATCGGCATTATCTATCTGTTTCTGAAAGAATTGCTAATATGCCTCTAATCCCAGCACTCAGGAAGCTGAGACAGGCAAATTTCTGTGAGTTCAAGACCAGCCTCATCTACATAGTGAGTTTCAGGCCAGCCAGAGCTACATAGTAAGACCCTGTCATACAGGCGCACACACACATTATAGCGATATGAAAAACTGTAGAGAAGTCATCAGGTCCATTCTTCCACCCATTGCTCAGTCAGTGAATCTGAATCTAGGGTTCTGATGATGGTGCAGGGTACTTTCCAGCTCCTTCTGCTCCCCTGACAGCATAGCTTGTTCTGTTTTCTTCTCCTTAAGCTGTATGGTTTCACATCTTTATATTCCTTGGTTTTTCTCTTTATTTAACTTCTCCTCAATATGAAATCTCTTCTGTCTTTCTGAATCTCTCCCCACCTGTAACAATACATCAAATAGTTCAGGCATTTGTTCCTACAGGAAGGAATCCTAGAACATATGGGGCTAGGTTAATAGCCCCTACCTCAGTTGCTTATTAATACATGGAGTTAAATTACTGGAAACCTAGGTCAAATCCAGTAGTATCATCAAAAATCATTTATAATGGCTTCCAAGACACCATGGAGAATACACTTGTCCTGACTCAGTTTCTTAGGTATAAGTGACCTTCCCATTTAGTGGAGACCACATTAATTCTTTGAGGTCCAGGAATTTAATAAATAAATGGAAAATTCAGATGGTGGAGATATTTATTGGATATTTTTACCACAAATGTATCTTGTTTCTTTTTCTATGTTTATGTTGTTCATACCATTGTACCTTTTTTCATAGCTAATGGGAAGGCTGATCTGAAAAAAGTGATGAATAAAGTTAAAGCTATTACAGGTGAGTGGGCAATTGTGAATCCAAATACACAGTGTTTATAGTAACTATATTTTATCAGCCCATTCTCATGTGAATTATGGCATTGGCCTAATTTGTTAAATCTTTAAAATCAAATCAGTGGCATTTTGCTTGTTTTATGGTGTAGTTTTTCATTTCAACATATTTTCCCTTTTTATTTTAGAGTAGCCAATTTCTAAGTTAGTACGATAATAGCTGCCACAAGCGTTTGGTAAATAGCTCAGATAACATAACTTCTAACAATGGGACTGGCAGATGTCACTTTAGTGTGTGCAACTATATGCATGTATTATAGCTGGAGAAAGGGATGCATGGTGTGGATATCTTTTGTTAGTTGTTTTTTACTCTTTGGCTCTTTGTGTGGCCCACCACCCAACCCCCACATAAAGTCTTATTATTACTTATGAATGTTCAACCATAGTTTGGCTTGTTTATAGTCTATTTCCCTTTTGTCTCTGGGATTTTTTCCTTTTCTTACTTCTAAATATCTTAATTTCACTTTTAATCCATGGCTGGCTGGGTGGATAGGTGGCTGGGTGGCTGGGTGGTTGGCACCTAGCATCCTCCTCTCCTTGTTCTTGCTCCTTCTTTATCCTCCCAGATTTCTCCTCCCATTTATTCTCTCTGGCTGCCAGCCCCGCCCATCCTTTCCTAACAGCTCTTCATTAAACCAATCAGGTATTTTGGACAGGCAAAGTAACATGGCTTCACAGAGTTAAACAAATGCAACATAAAAGAATGCAACACATATTTGCATCATTAAACAAATGTTCCACAACATAAACAAATGTAACACATCTTAAAATAATATTCCACAACAGATATCTCTACATTCAGAGTTGCCTTGACACATAAAAAAAAATGTGTATGTCTGCACACCTCAATGTGGGTGTGTGTTCCAGAGTTTAGGTACCCAAGGAAGTTAAGAGGCATCAGATACCCCTAGAGCTGAGTTACAGGTGGTTTTAGGTTGAGAATAGAACTCTGGGCCTCTACAAAAACAGAAACTGCTGAGTCATCTTTCCAGCCCCGTGTGCCTTCTTTTATTAGCACTTAGGGATCAAATTTCTTTTATCTCATACAATCTAGTCATTGATTATTTCCCCATTTAGAATTATTAGGTGAAACTTTAAATTCATGTATGTAGTGATGCATATTTATTTGTAGGAGGAGAAGTGGATAGCAAAAATGTGAAAACTGTTCTATCAAAAATGGGAATAGATCTTTCAAACAATGAATTCTCAAAACTGATGGAAAATCTGCCTTTTGATGGTAAGTATTTCAAATACTAATATGACTTTAAAACATTTTTGGCTTTTTAATACTTAAAATTATCCCCATTTCCTAAGATTAAAGAAATGTAAACCTATCTCATAAAAATTAAAATGTTAACTTATTCTTGAGGGAAATTCTCACCTATGAAATTCTCAGCTTTTAATTTGGGAATAAGTATCCCCACCATGTTGAACTATGATGTCCAAAGGAAGGAGTCTCTGATGATAGCCTTACTACATAGAGACAGACCTACTGGTGAAAGGGTTATGTTAACCTTGAGGGGGATTTTTTAAAAGGAGAGATGGAACACACACACTCATACAAGCTGTATGTATACTAAATTTTCCAGTAACTCCACCATGTTCTAAAGTTTCCCTAATAGTGTCTCAAGTTATATTTTAATGGAGTTCTTTCTAAGGCAAATAATAAGATTTTAGTTGTACTGAGGTAATTTTAGTGAATTGCCATATTATTTTTCTCTACTACCTGAAATTTGCCCTTTCTTGTAGATGATAACAAGGTCTTTAAGAACAGGTTACTAGAAGTCGTGAAGTCTCTCAAAGGTGAGTGAGAAACCTGATGAGAATGCAAGTCAGATTGTGATCCTCACATTTATGAGTCAGCATGACAATGAGCTCTGGATGCTGACATCTTTGACTACCAGTTGGCAAATGTTCCACATGGGAAAGGAAATATCACACACATTTCAATTTTGCATAGCAAAAATTATAGAAATGATTACCAGTGACTAAGAAGATTTGATTAGCAGCAAATATAAGTAAAACTGGAATTTCAGTCATTAGCAGTCAGCCCTATGTATTATTCAGAGTAAAGAACATTTCCTGCTCACATACCAAAATTCCCTGAATATTTGCATTTTAAACTTTGTTCTGTGTAGGTTCCTCAAGCCAAGACTCAAAGGAAGCAGCATGTGTTCTAACTGAATGATAGACTTTGGATAGGTCTCACTGGATAGATAATGAATAGTTCTCACTGGGTAGATAGTGACCCCAAAATAGTATCCAAGCTGTTAGTAATGACATGCTGCTCAAAACATTCACAAGGTGGTATCTGAATCAAGAAAATCTAAAAAGTCCTCTTTGAGTGTCATTGAATCTTCTCTATGCTGCATTCCTTAGGTGGTAAAGTCGATGTCAACAACCTGGATACAGTTCTGAGCAACATGGGAGTCGAACTTTCAAATATGGAGCTTAGAGATCTGAGTCAAAGCATACATGTTGGTGGTGAGCATCTGATCAGATGTCACATGTCACAGTCCCTTCGTGTCACTGTACTATACTTGCATAGACTTATAGTTTATAAAGAAGCAAGTCTTATTTTCTCAGTTGGGGAGGGTGTGGAGTCCTAGATTAAGGTGCCTGCATCCACTGAGTACTTCTTACTTTAACACTCCACAGTAGAATCCTCATGGGCTGATCTATTAAAATCTATTAAAAATCCTACTTTCAATCCTCCTACCTACCTCTGTGGGTAAAGCGCTTGCCATGCAGGCATGAGGCCCTTGGTTCAAATTCCCAGATTCTGTTTAAAAGGGGCACAGCAGCATGTCTGTAATCCCAGCACTTCGAAAGTGACATGGGAAGCACAGACAAGAATCCCCAGAAGCCCCAGGGCCAGGTATGAGCAGTAACTAAAACAGAGATCCTGTCTCAAACCAGGTAGGTGAGGACCAATACCCAGGGCTGTCCACTGACCACCCCATGTGCACCATAGCATGTCCAGGCACATGCACATGTGTGTGCATACACACACATACACACACACACATAAGATTTTTTAATCCCACCTTTAACAGTATTAAAATGGCAAAGAAATTCCTTATGAGTTTTAAAGAGGACATACACTCAAATAATGGTACCATAGTTTAGTTCAAAGAACCTTTGAATGTTTATATAGTTTTGTTTGTTTTATATATTCTTTTCAAAGGAGAAGGGAGAACCAAAAAGAGAACCACCCCCAGGTGTGGGGGTGGGGGCACCATGCAAAACAACTGACTATATTTTAGCACGAGCAGCCAGTTTTCTATCACAAGTACGATATAATATAAAAGTCTTCCACACTGTGACTATGAGCTCAAACTCCAATAATAGTCCTACACCTCAGGCAACTTTCCTCTCAACAGAGACAAATCCAATCCACTACAAGTCAGAAATTGCATCGCTAAAATTTTTAATTTTTTAAGACCTTTAGTATTTTAAGTGACAAGAAATTGAGTAAATAGTTTACAGTGTGTTCTTTTGAATGTGCATGTACATTGTGGAATGGCTAACATCCAGCTGATTAACATATTTATTACTTCATTTTGTGATAAGTACATATAAAATCTGCTCTTACTAAACATTCAAATATATTTCGATTAAGTTTTTTTTTTCGAGACAGGGTTTCTCTGTGGCTTTGGAGGTTGTCCTGGAACTCGCTTGGTAGTCCAGGCTGGTCTCGAACTCACAGAGATCCGCCTGCCTCTGCCTCCCGAGTGCTGGGATTAAAGGCGTGCGCCACCAACGCCCGGCCCTCAAATATATTATACACCTACATTAACCATTGTATGGAAAATCTTTTAAACCATTCCTCCTGTCTAGCTGAACTTTTCATCCTTTGACCAACAGCTTCCCAATATCACTCCTGTTCCAGCCCCTGTTAGCCAGCATTCTGCTTATTTCCCAAGTTCAACTGTTTGACCCTCCAAGTGTATTTGTAAACTCTCCCTCCCAATGTAGATGCCTCTCATTTATTTTCTTGTCTGCTCTTACTAGCATTTCAGTACTGTGTTGAGTAGAAATGATGAGAGTGAATACAGATATGTTGGGATAAATCTTGATGGAAAAGCTTTCATTTCCCCATTAGTTGCAACATTAGATTGTGGGATTTTCATGAATGCCCTTGAATATATTGAGAATCATGGGTTGTTGGGTTTTCTTATCCATTTAGTTATTCTATGCATGTTGATTGAAAAATGTGGCCATTATAATTCTACCACAGTAACAAAATACCTAGTACAAGTTATTTTTTAATTAAACAGATGTCTGTATGACTTAAGAGTTTTGGGGAATCAGAGTATAATATTGGCATAGACACATATGAATAATTTGATAAAGGTGGCTGTGTGTGTGGAAACAAGCAACTGATTTCTTCTTAAACTAGGAGCAGAAAGAAAGGATGGTGCCAAACTCAGGCTTTTTTTTTTTTTTTTTTTTTTTTTGGTTTTTACGAGACAGGGTTTCTCTGTATTGTTTTGGAGGCTATCGGTCCAGCCCGGCCTCGAACTCACAGAGATCCACCTGCCTCTGCCTCCCGAGTGCTGGGATTAAAGGCATGCGCCACCACCGCCCGGCCAAACTCAGGCTTTCTAATGGAAATCTGCTAATGAGCACTACCAATTACTCCATAGGAACCTTCTGAGGTCATGTCTCAAGAGACTCTGGAATCTGTGGTAGTAACGGGACTGCAGGAGGCCTGATTGTCATTTCACCTTTGAGCTCCACACTAATTGCAACCAGGGAGATAGAATGACATTCAGTATGCTTTCTTCCTTTCCCAATACATGCAGCCTGAGATTTCCACCACCCCCTTGCTGGACACCAGGGCTCCCCTTTAGAAACCAGTCAAAATACAGTTTGGGTCCTTTTTGAGGAAACAACAAGAAACAGTAGTAGTCCTTTCAAGCTGACCATCTTGCTGATGCCACCCCAGAATCTTCCTTTTTGATGATGCTTGTCAAAGGAGAAAAGACCAAGGGGTAACCTAGAAAGTCTGTTCTGTAGCTCTTTCTGAAGTATGTGAACAATGAAGATGGTGCCCAAAGAATAGTGATACATGTCATCCCCTTGCATGTACAGAGTCCCATAGTCTCTGTTACATCGTAATGTGGTTTTAATCCTCTCCTATAGTGGATGAGAAAATTCCTCTACAAACACTGCTGAAAAAACTGAATGACTTTAAAGGTGAGTAGAAAAATTATAAAATTGCAGTTTGAGTTATCCACATTAATGTTTTATATTCAGTAATATTTCTCAATACTTGATGCTTGACTTATAAATTATGGGGTTTTTATATACTTGTTAATGATATTTGACTCTGGAACTCCATCTTTTAAAATGCTCTGTAGTTCTGGGATGAGAGTCTATAATCTGTTGTTTATGATGCTATAGTTTACTTCAGTGGTACTTTGTAAACACAGTAGAGAAAGGCACTGCAAACCTGAATGATGTTTCCCACTGATCAAGCCAATGTCCTTGTTGTATTCATTGTAATTCTTCTTTTAAGAATCTAAATGATTTTTTGGCTAAATGATTTTAAGCATAGCATCTCATACCTGTAAACCCCAAATTCTGGAGACTGAGGCAGGAGGATCCTGGATTCAAAGCCAGTCTCAGCTATGTAATAACTTTGAAGCCAATATGGGACACATAGAGAGACCCTGTCTCAAAACTAAAGAAGAAAATAAATTAACATAATAACTATTTTTGAGGAAAACTTTACATAAGTCTATTTTTATAAATTAAATTAGGCCTGATGAGATGGCACCATAGGTAAAGGCACGTGCCACCGAGCCTAATGATCTGAGTTCAAGTCCTAGGACCTACCTACATGGTAGAAAAGAGAGAACTGACTCCTGAAAGTTCTCCTCTGGCCTCCACACCTGTACCATGCTATGTGTATACCACATTTGCGTGTGCAAATGTGTGTGCACATACACTAAAACAATAAATGTAATAAATTCATCTAATTTCATCCTGGGAGGTATTGTTCACTCACTGTAAAAGCATATTTATGTCGGAGATAAATTTGGCCTAACAAGGTTATTGATGGTATAGTTTTAATTTCTTCCTTTTTACTTTAATCTTTGACCTGAAAACTAGGGTACTTTTAATTATAAAGAAACTCTTCTTGTTAGACATCAAGCAAGGTCTGAACAACTGTGATGTTTAGCCAATCCCTGTTGACCGGAGTTTCTGTCCCTCCCAGTCCTGCTGCCATTCAGTCCCAAATAAACACACAGACTCTTATATTAATTATAAACTGTTTAGCCTATTGCTTGGGTTTATTACTAACAAACTCTTTTAACTTAACCCATAATTCTTATCTGTGTTCAGCCACATTGCTTGGTCCTTTTTCTCAGTAGGGCATTCTCATCTTGCTTCCTCTGTGTCTGGCTCGCGACTGTCTCTGCCTTTCCTCTTCCCATAATTATCCTAATCTGGTAGCCTCGCTTATACTTCCTGCCTGGCTACTGGCCAATCATTTTTTTAAAACTAATATGTGTGATCAATCTTTACAGTGAACAAGAGCATCATCCTATATCGACTCTCTTTGACAGGTGAGCAGATTGGGCCTCATGATGTACAAAGTGTCCTGGCAAACCTTGACATTGAACTCACAGACAAGGAACTGGAGGACCTGATGAAAACACTGCCCCTCAGCAGTGATCCAGTGGGAGCTTCTGGTGAGGCTGGGGTTCATTTATCAGCATGGCATTTTCAATCGTTCAGAAAAAGATTTGTTGTTGTTGTTGGTTTTTGTTTTTCGAGACATGATCTCTCCATATTGCTTTGGAGCCTGTCCTGAAACTCGCTCTGTAGACTAGGCTGGCTTCAAACTCAGAAATCTGCCTGCCTCTGCCTCCTGAGTGCTGGGATTAAAGGTATGTGCCACCAATGCCCGGCTAAAAAGAGTAATTTTCAAAACTAAAATTGAAGATACATAAGAAAGTTCTCAGTGTCAGGGTTTGTTTTAGAAATGAAGAAGTTCTTGGTAAATGTTTGCTGCTCCTGCCCCCACACCACTACTGAGCTCACATCATAAAGAGAGAGAGAGAGACTAAGGGGGAAATTTAAGAAAATAAAAACAGCAGAATTTAAACGAAAAGAAAGGTATGTTTATGTGTTGGCATAATATACTCATTAGAGAACCACATTTATCACGCTCAACACAATGGTTAGAGATGAAAAGTTATATAACTAATCCAATGAAAGTGTATGATGGAGCTGGAGAGATGGCTCAGTGCTTAAAAACACTGACTGCTCTTCCAGAGGACCTGGGCTTAGTTCCCAGCACCTACATGGTGGCTCACAAAGTCTGTAACTTCAGTTTTGAAGGCTCTAACACCCTCCTCTGACCTCTTTGGACATCAGGCATGCATATGGTGAACAGACACACAGGTAGATGAAACACCCACACACATACATTAAAAATAAATTATAGCGTTTAACGGTGTCTCATATAGCCACAGACTGTGTACTCTTCACCACTGTCAATTTAGAGTATTTTTGTTGTCACAAACAAACACCACGCCCATTGCCAATCATTCCTCATCCCCAATTCCTCTACACTGCTTGGACAGCCTCTCATCCATCTTCATCAATTTGCCTCTTCCAAGCAGTCCATAGAAATGGGATTGTGTGATATATGGTCATCTGCGAAAGTTCACCCATGTCCTATTATGTACCATTACTTCACTTCTTTTGTTACAGAATAATCTTATGTATTAGAAATATCGCATTTTACTTATTAATTATATGTTCATGCATAAATGAGCTTTTAGTATTTCCACATTTGGGCTAGTATGAATGTTCTTGTAACCGTTCACATACATGTATTTGTGTGGATGTATGTTTTAACTTTTCCAGGGTGTATCTAGAAGCAAAATTGCTGGGTCATGTAGTAACTTTATATCTAATGGTTTAAAAAAGCCAGGATAGGCGCTGAAGAAATGACTCAGTAGTTAAGACTTCTCTTCAAGAAGATCAGAGTTCAGTTCCCAGCACCCATATCCTGTGGTTCAAAACTACATGTAACTCCTTCTCCAGAGCATCTGATTCCTTCTTACTTGCATGCACATGTACACACACACACATGCGCACACACTAAATAAACAAATAAATAATAAAATGAATCTTTTTATAAAAAGAAAGCCAGACTGTCTTCCAAAGTGGCTGCGCTACTTTACACTCCCACTAGCAGACTATGAGGGTTCTACTCTTTCCACAGCTCTTGTTCCTACCTGTCCTGTAGCGAGTTGAGGTGGTATCTCAGGCTGTTCCTTTGTTTTCTCGTAATACTAATGCTAAGCATCTTTTCATGTATACATGGGCCATTTGTGTATCGTCTTTGGAGAAATGTCTATCCCTTACCTGTGTCCAGTTTTTATGTTGTTTTTGTTTTTGTTTTATTTGTCAAGACAAGGTTTCTCTGCCCTGACTGTTCTGAACTCTCTCTGTAGACCAGGCTGGCCTTGAACTCATAGAGATCTGCCTGCCTCTGCTTCCTGAGTGCTGGGATTAAAGGTGTGTGCCACCACACAAGCCCTTTGTCCAGTTTTAAGATGTGTTTTCCTTCTCAGCGTAGGAAGTTCTTTATAGTTGTAGAAAAAGCTCCTACCATAAGTCCCATGCAGAAAGTTTGCTCTAATTTTGTGGACTGGTTTTATTGATGGTGTCCTCTGATACAGAAAAGGGTTTTATTTTGGCTATACCCAGTTAATTAATTCTTCTGTTGTTTTCGGTGTCGAATCTAAAAATATTGTTACCTAATCTAAAGATACTGATGCTTATACCTAAGTTTTCTCTGTGAATTTCAGCTCTAATGTTTAAGTGTTTGGTCCATGTGGGAAATATTTTGTGTCAGGGGATAAAATTAGAATCCTAACTAATGATCTTCTCTTACATGTGAATAGCCAGTTCTCCTAGCACCATTTGTTAAAAATGTTGTCTTTCTCCCTTGGAATGATGTTGGCACCCTTATTAAAAGTGAACATGATACTTCTGTGAATTTTCTTCTATGGTTTCCATGATTCATGTTATCCCAGAACCCACTGCATTGATTATTGTTGCTTTGTAGTAAGTCTTAAAGTTTTAAATTGTGAGTCTTCCTCCTTTGTCCTTCACTTTCAGGATTATTTGGGGTCCCTTTGCCAAATGAATCCTAGTTTTAGCTCCTAGTTTGCACAAATTAGTATGGGTTTTGATAGATTGCTTTGAATCTGTCGATCAGTTTGAGGGAGAACATTATGTTCACAATATTAAGTTTAGTAATGAACTTTGGATACAGTTTATTGAGTCTTTGAAACTTTCCTTCTATCATGTTTGTCATTTTCAGAGTATAAGTTTTTCCTGTTTTGTTAAATTTATTCTAAAGCATTTTATTCTTCTAGATGTTGTTATAATTGGAACCACTTCTATTTATGTTTATTAATTATATACAAAATGGGATTGATGTTTTTAAGCAAGTTATCACTTTTAAACATTTGGAGTGTTATTGTTAAATTCATATTATTTTGCTAATATCAAATTTATCATTACATCATTTATGGCTTTTCTTACAGATACTGGGAAGTTACATAGTAACAGGCTGCTGAAGGGTATAAAGGATTTCAAAGGTGAGTGGTTCATGCCACCCAGTTATGGACCGGGGCCTATATATGCAGTTATGGTTCATTGAGTATACATTTTATCTGCTATTGCAATGAACTTTTTGTGACATGAAGTCTATTATGTTTTTACATTTGTTCCACTTTTTCTCTAAATGAAGAGTGAAACAAAGAGCTATCCATTTTTAAGTGTACCAAAACAATCCTGCTTTCTGCACTATGCAATGAAGTTGGTATTGAAAGTTTGCTTAGCTCCACCCTTTAACCCTGTCTAAACATGTCAGTTTATCAATAATAATTAAAAACACACTACATCTGGCTTTCCTGTTCTGTTGAGGCATTTGAATGGACAGATTTATTTGAGACTTCAGCCTTATTGAAATTTAATATTATAAAAACCATAAAATTTTAGATTTTTAAAATCTATTTTGTTTAAAAATTTTTAAGTTTAATGCTGAAGAAAGATGTCTTTCTTCTTTTGCTATCATGTGACTTCTTTTCAAATGTTGTTTTACTGCCTCTTTTCTAAGGGGGGAAGATCAAAAAGGATAACCTCTACAATTCTTTGGAAAATATGGGGATCAAACTCTCAATGGATGAATTTGCTGAAGTGATAGAAAACCTTGACACTGATGGTGAGCAATAATTATCTGTTGATATTTTCTCCCTATATGATGAAATATTTTAAATTGTAATCAATATTGAACAGATATTCAAAAACTTAAAGGAGATCCCAATGTTAAGGTAAGAAATCAATTTAAAATTTAAAAAATTAGTAAATTTCTACATGGATTATAAAAATTGCTTGGAGCTAGCAGAATTAGTAAGACATCAGTGAGGGCTGAGCATACAGTGCGGTGGTTCAGCACTTGTCTGGCATGCATGAAGCCCTACATTCAGTCCTCAGTACAAGAAAGAAGGGGAGTGGAGGAGGGAAGAAAGGAGAAAAAGAGAGAGGAAGGAGAGAGAGGGAGAGAGAGGGCGGGAGAGAGAGAGAGAGAGAGAGAGAGAGAGAGAGAGAGAGAGAGAGAGAGAGAGAGAGAGAGAGAGAGAGAGGAAGGAAGGAAGAGGAGGGAAGGAAGAAAGGAAGACAGGTAAGGAGAAAAGAAGGGAGGAAAAATAAAATAAAGAGGAGATGGAGAAGTGTAGCACTAGACTAGTAACGAAGCAAACAGGGATGAAGTGTGCAGTAGACACTCGAGAACCAGGTAACCTCATCTTATTTGTCCCACTGCCCATTTCAACCTGCTGTTATTACTCCTTTTGTTCAGTGCACCACATAAACAAGACAGTGATAGAGTTGTAAAGCCCTGTGCACAGTCCTGTCTTTTTAACTGTTGTCCTGCTCACTCCTGAGGGATTCTTTATTATTGAAAGTATCCCCTCTGTTGTCTGACTCTTCTGCTTCCAGATGGTCTACTCTGACCTTCTCCATTCCCGTCTTGATTTCTTTCTGCTTGAACAATTTCTGTCTTTCAACAACAACTTGAAAGCTTAGATTCTCATGGTTAGGTCAACATTGATTGCCTTTTTGTATTTATTTATTTTGTTTGTTTATGTATTTATTTTGTTTTTGGGGGGGACAGGGTTTCTCTGTGTAGCCCTGGCTTGGGGTCCTGGAACTCCCTCTGTAGACCAGGCTGGCCTTGAACTCACAGACATCTGCCTCCCTCTGCCTCCCCAAGTGCTGGGATTAAAGGCATGGGCCACCACCGCCCAGCTGCTTTTTGCTTTTTAAAACAATATGTTTATTACAGAAATATTTTCATATATGTATCTTTTGTTTGGTTGGGTTTTTTTTGTTTTGTTTTTCGAGACAGGGTTTCTCTGTATTGTTTTGGAGGCTGTCTTGGAACTCTCTGTAGACCAGGCTGACCTCAAACTCACAGAGATCCGCCTGCCTCTGCCTCCCAAGTGCTGGGATTAAAGGCGTGGGCCACCATTGCCCGCCTATTTTCATGTATGTGTATAATGTATCTGATTATATTCATCCCTCCATTGCCCCCCTCTCGTTCTCTGTGGTGTTTTAATTTCTGCCTAAAACGACACATTTGTCTTAGTCTAGTGTATTTCAATTATCATGATTATCCTAGTCCCATTCACTGTCCTGCAAATGATGTACTTTTACTCTTTTGTCTGAATTAAAACTTCATTGTGCATTAAAACCAACTTCATTCATTCAGCCTGGTCACCCAGGCTGATTCCCTAACTTATCTGTTATGAATAATTCTGCAGTAAACACTGTGCAGATAGTTCTGTGGCATGGATTCCTTCTGGAGTATATCCAGGAGTAGTGCTAGTTTTGGTGTCTTGAGAAATATCCATACTAATTTCCATGCCACCAGCAGTTTACAAGTGGTCCTTGTACATCTTTCCCCCACATCCTCACCAGCACTTGTTTTTGTTTTCTTGATGACAGCCAGTCGGATTGAACGACATAAAATTTCCATGATGTTTTTATTTGCGTTGCCCTGATGGCTGAGGATGCTGAACTCTCTTGCATGTGTCAACTTACAGATTGTGCTTCTTTGGAGAACTGTCTCCTCACTCATTTGCCCAACTATCAGTTGTGTGTTTTTTCTTTTTTAATTCTTTATGCACCCAGGATGCAAATGAATAGCTGACAGTGATCATCTTCATACTGGAGACTCTATCTTGATTCTGTTAGTTGTTTCCTCCACTCCACAAAAGCTTTTTAATGCAATAAAATCCCACTTGCTGGGTCTTGCTATTGTTCACGTGGCTACTAGAGTCCAACTGAGAAAGCTATGCCCTATGACAATATCTTGAAATGTTTCCCCCAGTAGTTTCAAACATTCAGATGTTAAGTTAGCTTGAGTTGGTTATTTCATAGGGAGAGAAAAGGGGTTCTACATTTTCATCTCTGTGTGACTATCCAGTGCCCAGAACATTTGTCAAAGAGGCTGTCATTTTTCCAGAGTATGGTTTTTTTTTAAACGTTTGTCAAAATCAGGTGGCTGTGGCTGTGCAAGTTTGTTTGTTCCATTGATTTATACATCTATTTTTCTACCAGTAACTAGCTGTTTTGTTGCTATGGCACTGTAGTATAAATTAAAATCAGATACTGTGGCAACTACTTTTTTGTTCAGTATTACTGTGGCTATTTGTGGGTCTTTTGTGTGTCCATATGGATTCTAGGATTATAACTCTATTTCTGTTAATGATGTCATTGGAATTTTGTTAGTGATTACATTGAACTAAAAGGTCGCTTTCAGTAGTGTAGTATTTTTCAGTCTTAGTTCTGCTCCTATGTAAATATGAGAAGACTTTCCATCTTCAAGTCTCTTCAGTTTTTTCTTTATTGTTATGTGGTTTTTAGTGTAAAGATCTTTCATCTCATTCTTCTGCATTTTGGGGATACAGTAGATAGGGATGCTGGATAGGATTGTTCCCTGATTTTTTTCTCAGAAACATTCATTATTGACTTATGGAAAAGTGCTTGGTTTTGCGTGATGCTTTTGTACCCTGTACTTTTTTTCTCAGATCTAAGAGTCTTCTGGTGGCACTTTAGCATCTAACTTAAGGACACGTTCTTAGCATCTGCCAGACCAATAATGGAGCCTTTTCCCTTGTCTTTTCATATTCTCTTCATGTCTTTCTATAGCCTTATTGCTGTCCCTGCCTGGGGCAGGTTGAAAATTGGTGCTTATATCCTCCCTACTATTTAAGTGCAAATACCACCCAGGGCTCAAGTAGGACTGGGTCCGAACAGGAGCTGGGCAGTTCCTCTCAGATGGTTCAGGGACTCATCCTAGCAGAGCACTGTACATGAGGTCCTGGACTTTATCTCCAAGACTTAAAATTAAGTTCCTAACTTATTCGTTAATTAGACAATTAAAATTATAAGGTGTTTTTAAAATCAGGGGAAGAGCCGGGCGGTGGTGGCACACGCCTTTAATCTCAGCACTCGGGAGGCAGAGGCAGGCGGATCTCTGTGAGTTCGAGGCCAGGCTGGACCGACAGCCTCCAAAACAATACAGAGAAACCCTGTCTTGTAAAAACCAAAAAAAAAAAAAATCAGGGGAAGGATTGAGCACACATATGAGGTCTGTCTCTATCAGTGGGGACTGGAGGTAGAACTTTGGCGAGTGCCTTTACCTGCTGAGTCGCCTCACTGGCCCCTGATTACAGTGTTTTAAAGAGAATGAACAAGTTTCCAACAGAGATTCTTAATATGCAATGAATTCCCAAAAGTCAAAAAAAAGCTTAAGAAGTGTCAGAATAACAGTAAGAGCTGAACTTAGCTGGATTTCATTATGGATGCACAAGCCATATTTGTTTTCTGAGCTCACACCGTTGATTATGTGTTTCTGTTGGACATTTACAGCGAAGGGAAATGTTGATCTGCAGAAAGTGATGGAAAGAGTGAAAGCCATCACAGGTGAGTGCAAAGTCCTCCACCTAAGGCTTTTTACTGGGTCTGTTCTTGTGCTTCACCGTTGGCCGTGATTGCTGTGGTAATTCTGTTACTTTACTGCTTTATAAACATCCGCCTAAATTAGACTTTAAAATTAGACTCTTGGTAGTAAATTTTTAGTGTTATATCTTAGTAGCAATACACTTATTTTCTGAAATAATTTTGGCAGATGTTTTTTCTTGGCTAACACAATAAAGGTAAACAGAAATATTATTTGAAATCCACATAATTGAAGCTGAATATAGTGGCACTTTCTTGTAATCTCAGCACTCGGGGAAGCAGAAGCAGAAGGATTGTAAGTTTGATACCAACCTGGACTACACAGCAAGACCCTGTCTCAAAAAGAAATTAAGACTCCATTTCCCCCAGAATTTCTGGTTTGTGAAAGTGGATGGTTTCTCAGGAGGATAGATAGATACTAACTATTAGAGGATAGATACTTAGTTCCTTTCCCATAGACCATACAGAAGCCTCAGTTGGGGCCGACTGCCTTGAAAGACTCTTTCCTGTCTAGCTTCCAGACACACAGTCCAATGTCAACTTCAACCAACTAGGAAAGTGCTAGCCCTGCTAAGGAGGGAAGCTATTATTCCCTGAAGAACTTCAAGATGTGGTCAGTGTGTACTGGCCTGAACTGGAACATGGTAGGACAGGATCTTGACAGAGCTATAGCAAAGTGGCGTGTGGCATGTAAGGGAGTTTACTGATACAAGTACATGCTCTTGTAGCTCAGATTTCAACGTGTAGTGTGTGGTCAAATGTATTGCTAGGATGGCTCCTAGAAACTTGGAAAACCATGTTCCATGTTAAAGTACTTGGAAATTCCACAAATACTTTAGAGGTATATTGAGACCGAACAAAAATGTTAAAGAAATTGAGTGTGGAGTCTGTTACATAAGGGAAAGAGACATGATGGGGTCACTATAATGCACTGACCAATACAACAAGAAGGGACCATTCCTGCTTCCAGTCTCAGGATCCCACTTTTTTTCAGTGAGGGGACTTTGGTGAGGGGACTTGGAAACTGCAAATTCAACTGTCTCTGACAATCTCTTGTTCTTCTGTAGTCTTTTCTTGATCCTGGGTTCAGTGAGGTTTCCTTATCAAACAGGAAATGTGGACACCTTTCAAGGCTGCCATTGAGGCTTTTGAGCTTTACTATACCAAGTCGCTAAGCATCAGTCATCCAACTCTACATTCCCAGACAGTCCAATAAGGAGTTTGTTAATGGTTATTTATGTAATTATATGTGAGTTCCATGGTATATTGTTACTTTATAAAAAGCAAAGTGTGGAATAATCATTGTAGATTGATACAAGTCATAAAATAGCAGAATAAAATAAATTTGAAATACTTGATAAATGGCATAAAGTAGAATTATCTTAGATCCCAACTTATTTTGTACCCTATATAATAACTATACTCTATTTATTTTATTCAGTGAATTGTGAATGTGCAAAGCAAAATCATGATTCAGAACATTTCTTTCAATGTGAAGCAGATGTTTTCAAAATGAATTTTGTGAGACCAATTGTTGGGCTTCACCCAGTCCTCTAAGATCTTAATGCAATCTATAAACAGAAGTCTGTGGAGGTGTGAGATCAGATCCATAGCTTCCCTCCCTCAGGTTTTCAAAGAGAGTGCATCACAAAAAACAAATACCTTTGAAACTCATAATTTCTGAGTTAATGATTTTCTTCTCATGGCTCTGTCTTTTCTGAGTAGAAAATGTCAACATAAAAGATCTGGAAAGTGTTCTAGGCAACATGAGCATCACGCTAACTGACAAAGAACTTGAAGATCTGACAAAAAGCCTGCCCATCAGTGGTGAGTGTGTTAGATGCCATTGACTTTATTATGATTTCTGGTTTTAGAGATATGATCTTGCTATATAACTCAGGTTTCTATTACTGTGATAAAACACTATGACCAAAAGCAATTTGGGAAGGAAAGGATTTACTTCCTCTTGTAGCCTACAGTCCATTACAAAGGGAAGTGAAGGTAGAAACTCAAGACAGAAACCATGGAAGCAAAGGCCATGGAGGAACACTGCCCACTCGCTTACTCCTCATGGCCGGCTCTTCCTGTCACCCAGGATGACTTGGCCAGGGGTGTCACCATTCCCAGTAGGCTGGGCCCTCCCACATCAATCATTAAGAAAGAAAATACCCTACAGACTCGCCTACAAGCAATCTAATAGAGACATTTTTTTCAATTGAGCTTCCTCTTCCCAGAAACTCTAGCTTGTTTCAAGTAGACAAAAAGCTAACCAGGACACTATGCAATCCAGACTTCCTAAGAACTCTTCCTGCCCCCACCTCCTGAGTGTAGGGAATACAGCCGTGTGCCACGGTGTACGGATCCACTGACTTCTGAGCTTTTGGTTCCATAGACATTTAGCTTCAGAACAAATAAATGAACTTTTCCTGGGGAAAAATAACACAGTGCCAGTAACAAAGCTCTTGAGAAGGTGTGTCATGGGTATTAGTGGCATGGTCAAGGAGAGTCTTCTAAATTTGGGGACAGGAAAGCTGGCCTCTAGGAAATAATCACTTTTCAGTCCTACCTTTTCATTATCAAATCTGAGGATTGCTCTTTCATGTGGTAAATGACAAACACACATTTTTTTGAGGAAAATTTTAATTTTTACTAATAGTTGATAATATGACAAAATTAATGTTAAGTTATATGCAGTATTCTTTAGAAGGTAGAATCATGAAATTATATAATATTTTATTTTCAAATAATTACTAATCTAATCATCTCTAAATTTAGAATACAAAATAAAAATGAGAAACTATAAAATAAAATAATTCTGCATATAAAAAGAAACAAGTTTCATATTATGCACAGACAATATTAACAAATAAGAGAAAACTAAAATTCTTGCCTCAAGTAAAGAGCTACTGTTCCTTAGTAATAGAATTGTACATACCAAAACAAAGTTCAAAGTACAACTAATATACTTTGTCACAAAAAGAAGAAAAAGTGCTATAAATATTGGGACGGATACCTAGCAATATTAATAAATCTGAACACACACAGAGCTTCCAATAATCTAAAATTCTTATATTACTTATGTGAATTCTACTTGAGGGTAGGAAGCTGAAATCACTGAACCTAACCAAAACTGTGTTCTTTGAGTCAATCACTATTCTGTATATGAATGAGAATATGCTTAATATCAAACTACTGTTCCTCTATTTCTGTACAGTAAAGTTGATATGAACCATTCTGTAGTTGGATTTATATGATTCTGCTTTTTTAGTCTGTTCATCTCTTGCCTTCTCTTCCAAAGCATTAAACTAGCATACCCATCAATAGAACATGTTTTGAAAATTCTTATTAATGTCAGTCCTTTGAAGACATTATTTATTATTGTTATCAATTGTATTTTTTAAAATCAATTCACAACTTATTCGTTTACTTAGTTTCAATGAACAAGGGTAGATGACCACAAAACAATCTTTTTTTCACCAAGAGCAAGGATTTGTATTTCTGCTTTATATTTATACCTATACTGTGTATCTAACTATGTAGGAAAACTTAGATATTTTCTCTCAAAATGTAAATATTAAACACACATTTTTGAAACAAGATTATTTTCTATTTAAATTTTTCTGTATTTCATGCTTTTTATATATTATGAGTAAATATTTGGGTGACTACTTAAAGTGCTTAATAAGAGCCCCACTGTAATTTACAAGGCCATGACTTTAGGGTATTCTATTAAGAGAATGGAAATTATTCATTAGTTAGCTATTTTGTATCCTATTTTGAGATTAAGTTGTGTTTTTTTATTTATAGTTGATAATAAAGTATCTCTGAGAACTTTGCAAGATGAAGCAAAAGCTTTTACTGGTAAGAATTTGTCATGATTTTTAAGCAAATTATGATTTATACTTAATTTTGTTTTGGTTTTTACAAGACAGGGTTTCTCTGTATTGTTTTGGAGGCTGTCGGTCCAGCCTGGCCTTGAACTTACAGAGATCTGCCTGCCTCTGCCTCCCGAGTGCTGGGATTAAAGGTGTGCGTCACCACCGCCCAGTTTATACTTAATCTTTTAATAATATTTTCTGAAATATAGTAATAGCTTGTAGATTCACATATTTCCAGTATTCCTCTTGATAAAATGTTTACATCACTGGCTCACAGATTTATTTACTTTATTTATTTACTTGTTATCTTATAAGTAAAACAACAATGTCTGTATTTTGATAATGTCTTACTTTCTTTGCTACTGTTTTCCAGTAAAAGGCATCCTTATTTACCAACATCTGAACTAGTTACAATAAGAGAATAAAGCATTTAAAAAGATATAGATAATGTCTTGTAAACAGCATAAGGTTTTGACAAAATAGAGGAACTATATCACATTTTAATTATGTATTTTATTATGATAACTATTATTATTCTAAATATCCAAATAGTTATATAGCCATTCTGTACTACCTGGTGCTATTTATATGCACTAGTACCTACAAATATAAAGTGCTATATTTTGTTTTAAAGTTACAACAAACTCTTTCTATTGGGAAGTTTTACATCTCCTTCCTCTTTGCTCTTGTAGCAGAAGCATATTTGTAGGTGATTCAAAATAGTTCAGTTATTCCCTAATGTCTTATGAATATCCATCTTTTTTAAGGTGAAAAAATTGACTCTAGTAACCTCCAAAATACACTTAAGACTATGGGGATTGAGCTTTCTGATAAGGACTTGAAGCAACTCCTGAAAACACTGCCCATTGATGGTAAGTCACGCCACATGTGTCATGCCACGTGGCAGACTCCTTCCAGGGAATTTGGCTTAGTGTGTTTTAGAGTTCTCAGTCTTTCCAGTGCAAAGGCACTTCTGACTTGAAAGCAAATTGTCATTACCTCCTCAGACACCATTGAAGAGTCATCAGCACATTGTCATCTGAGGACTAGAACAGCTACAGACTAACAAGAAAATATGTTTTATATATCTTCCTGTGTTGCATCATGGAAGAATTAAGCTCATAACTGACTATAAAGCCAAAGCATGGATAAGTTTTATGACAATTAAAATTACTTGCATTTCAATGTCAATGTTTTGATGACAATTCACTGAAATGCATCCTGCTACAGTCATACCATTTGTCAAGTTTTGATGAGTCTCTATGTCAGTGTTCCAGAGATCTGAATTCTGCCTCTTTTTACAGATCATGGAAAGGTGTTTCAGAGCAGACTGCTGAAAGATGTCAAGAGTAATAAACGTGAGTAGCAACAATGAGAAGGCATTTGAACTACCCTCTGCTGTTGAATTTGCATGAATGCAATACAAAGATTTAAGTTGCAGTGGGGCAGTGGTGGCACACGCCTTTAATCCCAGCACTCGGGAGACAGAGGCCAGCGAATCTCTGTGAGTTGGAGGCCGGGCTGGTCCAACAGCCTCCAAAACAATACAGAAAACCCCTGTTTATAAAAAAAAAAGATTTAAGTTGCTTCTTGAAGAATATTTATTTTTCCTGGTAATAATCTATTTTATATAAGGAAGCTTTCTGCTGTCTTGTATTTTACAAACTTTCCTGAAAAAAATTGTATGACTAGAAATGCATTTAGAAAGCAGCTGTGGTAATTTATGCCTATAATCCTAGCACTCATGAGGCTGAAGCAGGAGAATCACTGTGCATTTCAGGTCAGTCTGAATTACATATTGAAGTAGAGCTGTCCAGATTACACGGGGATATTCTGTTTCAGAACAAAACAAGCTGGGAGGATGGGAGAAGAGGGGAAAAGAGGGAGGCAAATGGATAGAAAGGAAATTTCAGACAGAAAGGAGGCCAGCAAGATGGCTGAGTGGTAGGCAAAGGTACCTGCTGCCAAACCTAACAACTTGAGTTCAATGCCTCAGAAACACATGATGGAAAGATGGAAAGAGGCATCTGATTCTCACAAATTGTCCTCTGATTTCTACATGCACGCCATGGTACACATAAATATTCCATACATTCTCATGTGTAGATACATTTAAATTTTGAGGAAATAGATTAATACGTTAACCCTACTCCTAATGTTTTAGTGGACTAGATGAAAATCTATTACTGCTTTGTTCTTTGGTTCTTAAACATTGGCAGTTAAGCCAGACTACGGAAGCGTCTCTTTCCAGTACATAGTAAGTGGTTAAATCAGTTAAGCACAGTAACACATGTGCACTTAGAATACGTTCTACTCTCAATGCTTTAGAGCGTCCTACTTTTCTCCATTTCCTTTCATGTTCCCTAGGAGGCAAGGTTGATGTAAATAACCTGGATGCTGCTTTAGGAGCCCTCAACATCAAGCTCACAGAAAAGGAACTTGAGCAGACAAAGGAAATCCTGAGCGGTGAGTGGTTTAAATAGAAGTTGAGTTTGCAGGATTAGTTACAAGTGATTTAAGGTTTAGTTTACTTTCAGCCCAAGAGAGATTTTATCTTTTTAATCTTAATATTTTTTATTCATTTTACATGCCAACCACAGTTCCCCCTCCTCCCACTCTCCCCAATATCTCCTCCCCAACCCACCCCTCATCTACTCCTCAGAAAGGTGAGGCCTCCCATGACCTGGCACATCAAGTTGAAAAAGTACTGAGCTCCTCCCTGCTACATCAAGGTTGAGCAAGGCGTCCTGCCATAGGGAATGAGCTCCAAAAAGCCTGCTCATGAGCCAGGAGCAGATCCTGGTCCCACTGCTAGGGACCCTCAAACAGACTAAGCTACAAAACTGTCACCCACATGCAGAGGGCCTAGTTAGGTCCCATGCAGGCTCCCCAGCCTGCCCAAGAAAGATTTTAATAGCTTTCAGAACTTTTTTTCTTCCAAGGCAGGGTTTCTCTGTATTGCTTTGGGGCCTGTCCTGGCACTCACTCTGTAGACCAGGCTGACCTCGTACTCAAAGAGATCTACTTGCCTCTGCCTCCTGAATGCTGGAATTAAAGACGTGCACCACCAATGCCCGGCAGCTTTCAGAACTTTTAATGAAACAAATGAGACACTTCATTTTTTTTGTCCCTTTAAAAGCTATGTAGTCTGAGTAGGCATGAAGGCTTAGCAGATAAGGGCACTTGTCATTAAGTCTGATGATGTGAGCAGCCTCTGGGGCCCACGTAGTAGAAAGAGGGAATAAATCCTACAAGTTGTCCTTTGACCACAGCACATCCAGCCACACACACAAAATAAATAAAAAATATAATTTTTTAAAGTTGAAAATCCTATAATTTTTTCTCTATACATCCCAGAGTAGGGGTATTATACTAGTGATGAAGTTAAGAGTTATTGTTTAATTTTACAAAAATAGGATCTGCAGCCTGATTTTCTCAGTGACATATCTCATTGACATTAACCCAATGTGTTCAAATTGCTCAACAATTCTTCATTCTTCTATTTATGGATTTTGAAACTTTCCATCCTTCCATCTATCATTTCTTCCTTTCTATTCCTGTTTTTGGAAATTTTGTTGCTATTAACTTTTAAGTTGCAAGAAAATATTATACTACTGATTTTTGAGATGCACACTAATTGGGAATGATAGTGCACATCTGTAATCACAGAACCTGGGAACCTGAGGGAGGAGAATTGTGAGTTTGAGGTCAGTCTTGGCTACGTAATCAAGACCCTTTCTTGAAACACAAAAATGATGGGTTATAGGTGGCTCAGTAGTCTAGAGCACTTGCTCTCAGGGGGGTCCCAGGTTCAATTCCAAACACCCACATGGCTGCCTCAAACCATACCTCACTCCAGTCCCAGGGGACCCAACATCCTCTTCTATTCTCTGCAGGTACTAGCACGTATGTGCTGTGCATACATACATGCTAGCAAAGCACTCATAACATAGAAAATAAATAAGAAAATCTTAAAATAAAAAAACCTAGGGGCTACAGAGATGGCTCAGTGAGTAAAGCCTGAACTTGGATCCACAGCACCCCGTAAGAACCAGCCGCAGTAACAGCTTGCTTCTGTGGCCTGTAAGTGAAGGATGACAGAGGAAGACATGGGGCATTGATTGCTATTACTACTATTAATGTAATAATAATAAATTTGAAAAGTTAGAATATACATAACATGCTGTCTTAGACCCAAGCACATTCTCAAAGGCTATGTACTAACCCATTATTAGTGGACCATAGTAACTCACATGAGAAGAGGAAGAAAGAGAAGCATCTTTTTAATTTTGTACAAAGTGCTATTATAATTTTAACTTGATCTATTTTAACTTAAAGTGGATACAAAATGATATAGCGAGTTGATAGCTAACCTGATACCAACCAGTTGGTTCAAGGAGTCACTAACCTGGCGGCTCGGGTCATTTCTGTTGCCACCTATCAAACACACATTGCTTAGGGCTTTGCATCAGTCCCTCCATTGCTGTCAGCACCTGACAATCCAAGATCACAGTCTTGGCAAATGTTGAGAAAATCATGACTTTGAGAAGTAAAGTTGGAGGACTGCTCAATCCCAAGCAAAGCCACTTAAAATATGTTCATGACATACTTCTATTAATAATTGAAGAATGCTACTTTCTATATTTTCAGTTCCAAAGCTCCAAAGGATACTGTAGTACAAAGCAATAGAATTTTGCCAGAAAGTTACAAGCCAACACTTTCAAAAGCCAATATTGGTTAACTTTTTTACTGAAGATTATGGAGTAGCTACAATTATAACTTGAATTTTCTCAAATATAAGAAAATAAGCTTATTTCACAATTTGCCTTTTGTTCAGACATTTTTAGAATATCTTCACTATGTTAAATGTTGGTCTTCATTTTAGTTAGATTTACTTTATTGGTTTATTTAGTACATACTTAATCTTGAATGTAAAGGTTCTCTTGAGATACAAAGCTTTTTCTGAGTCTATGTTATTATCCCCTCTGCTTAACTTAGTAGGACATAAGAAAGTTGGCCTGGGAAAGCTGTTGGATACAATACAATCTGTTACAGGTAAGAAGGAAACTAGCAAATCGACGTGGCTGTAATTTCCTTTGTAGTAAACTGATTTTCGTTTTCTTGAATTAGACATTGTTGAGAGGACTGGGGCCTTTTAAAATCTGAGGCTGAAAAGTATGCTACAGTGAGAGAGGCAGCTATACTGGCCGGCTGCTCACTCCTGTTTGTGTAACGCCAAAGTTTCCCTCTTTATGACTGAATGAAGCATAGTTTCTCTGTTCATGTGTCGAGGCCCCCGAGTCTATGATTTTATTGTTGTGAATAGGTAAACAGATGGGTTTGTTACTCTGGGAAACTGGGGGCTTGTGATTTCAATTTTGTGCAGTTAACTCATAATGCAACTATGAAAAAGGCATCTGCCCAGTTTATTTGCACATTTATTAGTTGAATGATTTGCTCTGTTGATGTTTAAGCTCCTCTTATATTCTAGATGCTAATAACCTGTGGGTTGAATACCTGGCAGAGATCCCTGCCCCCCTTCTGTAATCTTATCATTTTACTATAATTTGCACAGAATTTGTTAACTTAGTGAGATCCAACTTATCATCTCTTGCTCTTACTTTCAAAGTAAGTAGAGCCTAACTCAGACACTCATTACTTAGGCCTAGATCTGCAAATATTGTCCATTTACATTTGAAAGTCTCAAAGTTCCAGGTCTTACATTAAGGTCCTTGATCCCTTCTGAGTTGATTTTTAAACAGGGGAGAAGTGAGGATCTAGTTTCCATCTTCTACAGGTGCATGTCCAGTTTCCCCCACATTCCTTGTTGAGAGGCTGTCTTTACCAGTACCTCTTATTGGCACCCTGTAAATAATATGAGGGCTGTCTGTGTGCGCTCATCTCTGGGTCTTTTGTTCTAGCCCATTCGTCATGTATCTGTTGTTGTGCCACTGCCAGGGTGTCTTATTCTAACATGGCTCTACAGTAGTTGCTTTTTTTTTTTTTTTGCTCTGGTGTTTGGGAGTCTTTGACTTATCTATATGAATTTTTACTTTTTTCTAGTTTTGTGAAAAGCAACATGTGTACATCACTTTTAGCAATATAGCCTGTGGCTATTCCTTACCATCTATAGATTAGTTCCTCTGAGGTGATTGTGTCCCTATGTTTGATTTTAAAATTACTATTTGACTTGCTGCCTTGAGTTTCTTTCTTTTTTTAATATAAACCCATTTTTTATTTAAGTTAGAAACAAGCTTGTTTCACATGTCAATTCCAGCTCCCTCTCCCTTCCCTCCTCCACCGCCCTCCCTAACAGGCCCCCCAACCCCCCACCCAATCTCCACTCTGATCCCCAGGGAAGGGTGAGGCCCTCCATGGTGGATCTCCAGAGTCTGTCATTTCTTTCAGGGCAAATGCCTAGTCCCTCTCTCAAGAGTCCAGGCTGAGAGAGCATCCCTCACTTTGGGATGGGTACTCAAAATCTATTTGTACACCAGGGATAAATACTACCCAAGGCCCCCTAGATTACCTAGGCCTCCTAACTGACACCAACATTCAGGGGTCTCAGTCAGTCCCATGCTTTCCACACAGCCATCAATCTGGGGACCAAGAGCTCTCCTTGTTCAGGTCAACTGTTTCTGTGGGTTAAATCAACCCAGTCTTAATTCCTTTGCTCATCATTTCTCCCTTTCTCACTGGGACAGTTTTTATTTTATTTTATTGTCTAGGGTAGTTTAAGGCCCCTGGTATAGAACCTTCTTTAAAGACCTGATATAAATCATGAGTTGGCCGGGGCGTTGGTGGCACACACCTTTAATCCCAGCACTCAGGAGGCAGAGGCAGGCAGATCTCTGTGAGTTTAAGGCCACACTGGTCTCCATAGCGAGTTCCAGGACAGCCTCCAAAGCAATACAGAGAAACCCTGTCTTGAAAAACCAAAAAAAAAAAATAGAAAGAAAGAAAGAAAGAAAAGAAAAGAAGAAAAAAAGAATTCATGAGCTGACCCGTTTGGCCATGGAGTTTCCTTGTGAGAACTCTTAGTTATTGTTTCAGTCTTGCTGCTTGCTCCTTACTGATCTACTTCAGTTGTTTAAATTCTTAGGTCAACTCTAGTAGGTCATATGCTCTAGAAACTTCTCCTGTTCTTCTAAGTTTTCCTACTTCCTGCAGTGCAATTTTTCTCTACATTCCCTAATGATCACCAAGATTCCTGTAGTGGTTTTGTTATATACCCATTTTCATTCCTGTTTTCATTGATTTAGACCTTCTCTCTATGCTTTTTTCAGTTTGACTAAGAGTTTTTAAATATTGTTTATTTGTTTCACTGGCTCATGTATTGTCTTTTAAGTTTCTATTTCATTAGTTTCTGCCCTGATATTTGTTCACTTGTTCTGACCATCAGTTTGGTAACAGATGTTAGTTGGATGACCTATTTATTGTTGATAATGAGGTATTATTGCATTATTGTATATTGACCTCTTAGTTCCTTTATATCCAGTATTACTTCCTTTATAAAATTTATAATGTATTTACAATCGTTACATGTTACTAATGGATTATCAGAATATAGTCAACTTCTTTTTTTTCTAATTTTGTCTTGAAGCCTTTGTCAGATTTGAGCATTGCCTTTAGATTCCCTTGTTTTATAAATTTTCAGCCTGTATCTTTCTGACTAGAAGAGTATGTTTCTTCCAGACAATAACAGCTTTTATTCTGTGGCCATTCAGACAGTTTGCATCTTTTAATTGAAGAGTTCTGAGCACTTACACATAGGGTTAGGGTTATTGTTGAGAGGCTTCTGTTAACCCTGTGACTCTGTTGAATGGTTGATTGGTATTACTCTTCATTCTTCCCTTTCTCTTAAAGATTTGCTGATTACCAGAGCAGAACATGTCTGATTCTTTGTTAATTCTCATTTGTTCGTCTCTTCTGTCATTAAATGTATTTTTGCCAAGATTTTAGGATTGTTACTGTCTTCCCTTCCAAAATAACTATTGTTTCTTTTACAAGTCTGGACTGCACCTAGTCACTCTCCACTGTTTATTCTTGCACACTGTACCTTTCCATGCCATTTAACCCTGCCTCCAGCCACATACCTGATACTTTGTTTGACTCATAAAACAATACCATTAGTGGGTATTCTAAGACATCAACTTCACTCATTCCCTCCAATTTTAATTTTATTGAATTTTATGTTGTGTTTATCCTTTGTGGTATATTTGTTTCTTCTTTGGTATTTATTTCTTTGTGATAATTTTGGGGTTTGTTTTCTTCTTTTTCTAGTTCCTTGAGGTATTTGAAATCTTTCTTTGTTTAATATAGACATTTGTTGCTACAAATTTCCCTCAGGACTCCATTTGTTGCAACCCATAAATTTGGATATGCTGTGCATTCATTTGTAAGAGAGTGCCAAGTGTACTCAAATCATGCTGTTCTTACATAGCTTTGGCCCAATTTCCTAAACCTTAACCTTAGTTTACCAATATTTTGGCAATGCTATGTAGTTCTATGCTTATAGCAAGTTATAATCTTGTGGGGGTGTTTTTATAAATTATTCAAAGTCATTAGGTAAAGAATACCTGTTACTATAATAAAAAAGATAAAGTCATATGACCTGCTAGCAACCTCTCAGAAGCAGAAATTATGATGATCTGTTACAATATACTTTGCTATTCTTGTCGTTGTAGCAGAATTGAAGCTAACACTTCCATTTTCTGCCATAGCTAGACATGCCCAGATAAGACTTACCTAACTTTATTATGTATCAAGTGGAGGGTGTCATTATCATCTATAATAATTAAACAGTTCTGTGAAATGGCATGTGTTGCCATTTTTATCTGTAGGAAAGGAAGTTGATGTCCATGATGTGGATAAAGTTCTTGGAGACATGGGAATAGAACTTACAGATGCCCAGCTCTCCAAAATAATGAACAACGTTCCAGTTGACGGTAAGCACTTCTGATCAGAATATAACCCCCAAGAGAGGCTTATTGTTAAACTGTCTCTGTCTGCTTGCTTGCCAAATAATAAGTGTCCTATGCTATATCATCTTAAATGATCCTCTCACAGCCCCATTCAGATATCTAACACTCAATATATGAAACTGTGACTTTACATGATAGATCATGATCAAACGCTAGACAACTGAAATGTTATGTAAAACCACTCGGAGCCTAGGCATATGAGCTAATTATGAAACATGAATTTCATTTTTAAATTTGGACCCCATCCTCAAGGCATCTTATTGTGTATATTCAAGCAACCCCAAATCAAGAAAAGGTCAAAGCACTTCTCCTAAACAGTTGGATAAGGGATGCTAATCTATATGTCTTAAGAGTACTAATGCCTTCTAATCCTTAGTTTGAAAATCAATAATTTTATCATCATTATGTAAATTCAGTTGTACTTTTATTAATTTTATTCCATTGAACCATCTAGCATTTAACCAAGAGTACATGAGAAAGAAGAAGGTAGAGGTGATATAATAGGAAACTAAGGAGATATCACAAAAGAGGGGAAAGGATATGTTGTGACATGTTAGTAAATTTGAGCATTCCACACATTCTGTATAATCTCAGTATCTGTGGTAAATCAGAAAAGCCCTCGACAATTTACAAGGAAGCTCTCTAAAATTACTGGTTTGTGAAGCTCCACATTGCTCCCCTGCGATCTAAACAGTTATTTTTTCTTACAGATGGGAAAGTCTATCTGAGAAGGATGCTGGACAGTATGCAGTTTTTTAAAGGTAAGAGGGACACTTAGTTGAGTGAGCGCATCTGAGACTACTGTGTTTGTCATTTCCTTATGATTAAAGTGTGGATCCTGCCATCTGATACTCAGATTACCAGATACAGTTGGGCTGTTTCACACATCCACACATATTTTACCCAGAAGTTTCCTTTAATGTGACTTGGAAAGAGTCTGTGTCCTCATGCAGTTTTTTCAGACTATGGGAGGAAGAAAATATCAGAACCCAGGTTTCATAGTGATTAAAAAATAGGGAGAATTACCATATCTTGAGTTAATTTAGTCAGTGGCAGAGACTTTTAATCTGGTATTTGTGCCAAGAGTGAAAACATTATAGAAGCCCAGTGAAAGTTGGGGGACATAGATAATGAGACAGCTGGGAAGCTATGCAGGGGACCTACCAGCACAGGTCATAAGCATATCCACCAGAGCCACACACCATCTGAACTGCCACTAACAGTTTTACTTGAGTTGACCTACTTTTAAGTAAAATGCTTCCTAAGTGACTTGAAACTGAGTCGTTAATATACTAAAAAGCTAATTATAAATACAACAAAAGCAAAACAAAATTAATTAGAAACATCGGGCATATTGTCACCTTGCTGTAACTTTGTGAGGTATCACTTTGTCACCTCTATCTTTCTCTGAAGATTACAATGGCAAGCACTGGTTCTATGTTAGATTCTTCCAGGAGCAAAGCTCTCGTTAGGCCCTGGTCTTTTGAATGAAAATGGCAAACATAACCCTCAGTAATTGTAAGTTTTCTCCACAGTTGACGAACACTAACTTTTGTCTCTCTGTGTCTCTCTGTCTCTTTGTCTCTCTGTCTCTGTGTCTCTCTGTCTTTCTCTCTGTCTCTCTCTGACTCTCTGTCTCTGTCTCTCTGTCTGTCTGTCTGTCTGTCTGTCTGTCTGTCTCTCTCTCCCTCTTCCTCCCTCCCCACCCATAGGAGGGAAGGTTGATTCCAGTAGAGTGGACACGGTTTTGGGAAATATGGGAATTACTCTCTCTCAAAACGAGCTTGAAGATCTAATAAAAAATCTGAACATTGATGGTAAGAATTTTGACTATTATTGAGCTCTCACAAAAATTAATCATAAAAGCCTATTCTTTCCTTTTTATTTAAATTAGAAACAAACTTGTTTTACATGTCAATCCCAGTTTCCTCTCCCTCCCCTCCTTCCCTGCCACCCACTGACCCCTTATCCCATCCTCTTTCTGTTCCCCAGGGAGGGTGAGGCCTCCCATGGGGGATCTTCAAACTCTGTCATATCATTTGGAGCAGGGCCTAGGCTCTCCTCCGTATGTCTAATAAAAGACTATTTTAGTAAGCACTTATTTGACATCAAAACAGCATCCTGAAACCTTGGGTCCAAAGGAAGAACATACCCTGTCTCTGGCCAACTTCAAGCGCATTTTAGAGAAAGATTTTAAGCAACATCACCCCCTCTGCCATTTCTCCCAATTCTGGCTCATTTCTACGCTACCTTTTTTTTTTTTTTTTTTGAGCCTGAGTCTTACTCTGTAGATCAGGCTGGCCTCAAACTCACAGCGATCCACCTGTCTCTGCCTCCTCAGTGTTGGAATTTAAAGGTGTGTGCCAGCACACCTATCTTCAATCTTTCCATATATAGAGCACGTAGAGAGATTATGATAGGTGCTGTTCAAATTTCAATCCACCTCCTTGGCTATCTTCATGAGTGGGTGGCCTCAGTATTTATTTTTAAAGGGAGAAACACTGATTTTTATGTTCTTTTAGTGTAACTAAAGTGAGCCCACTCCACACAGGAGCCTTCTAACTCAGTGTCCATCTGCCTGTCTCTCTCTTTTACATGGGACCGGTGGAGAAAAGTCTTGAACTACGGCTTCCTAAACTGTAGGTCATGACCTATTAGAAATGATGTAAATGAGTGTAGGGGTTGAAAAAAAAAGGTAACTAAAAAAAGGTTTTTGAAAGCTAGGTGGCCAAAAATCAGTTCCCAATCCAAGCCATAATGAGTCTGAGGTATTGTAATAGTGTTCATTCGCAGTGTGTTGAGAAGCTTCATTCAGCCTTGGTTGTGAGCACGCAGAGGCGCTCTGCACCTTGTGTGCTCGCACAGCAGCAGCGGAAGCTGCCTGAAGTGCCATGTGGTAAGCTGCAGTATGTGCGGTCCATCCCGTTTTCAACCTAAGTGGATCTCAGACCCGCGACATCCAGCTTCACACTGTGCGTGTGCTTCCATTCTGTGTGTGAAAGCTTTTAATACATGTGAATTGAGAATTTCACATTTCATTCCATCAATCCATTTGTCATTATGAAGTTGTTGTTTTTTTTACTTCTAGTAATATGTTTTGCTTTAAAGACTACTTTGTCCAGTGTTACCTACGTTACCAGGTGCTTTTGTCCCGCTTGCACGGCCTATCTTTATCTTTCTTTTTCTACATGTTTAAAGGGTACACTTTATGAATGGCATATAGTTGGAATGTTTTTTAATGAGTCTGATGGTTCTGCCTTTCTACTGAAGCTTTTATTACATTGAATATGATTACTGATACAAACTCTCCAGCACAGTTGCACAGTTTGACTGAGTGCTCACATCTGTAACCTTTCTAACCCCTATCAAGACAGAACATTGCCACTCCTCCATGAGCTTTCCTCATGCCCTATCTTAAACCATCTCCATCCCAACCCAAAAGCAACCAATACTCTGTTTTTTCTCAAATTAGTTCTGCCCACAAAGGATGCTATGTAGTGAAACCACTGTGTGTGTTCCTTTATAAAGTCTGTCTTTCTTCTACGACTGCACAATAATTACCTCGAGAATTAGTGGCACAAAGAAGCCATATTTTGTGATTACAAATTCTACAGGTGGGACTCAGCTGTGACTTGGTGGGTTTGGCTCCTTTCTGATCTGTGACATCTGAGGCTGGCTTTGGAACCATCAGAAGGCTCCGTCTCTCATGTGTTGATGGCAGCCATTGAATTAGGATAAAATTATTAAAAATAAGTAAATAAAAATAAAGAGGTTTTCTCAACTGTCCTATTCATAAACACCAGAAAACTACGTCAGGTTACATTTAGGGTTTGATCATTTATATGTGTGTATATTTAACTGGTAAATAGCAGTAATTGTTACAGCTTTATTTGAAGTCCGAAATTCTCTGTGTAACCCTTATTTAATAAGGTTTCTGGTTAAACTTGTTTAACTGCCTTAAGATTTCCTATGCAACAAGCCAGTCTCATCTCAGTGTTGGCTCATTATCACCAGTTGGACTTTGTTTTCTTCCTTCAGCAAATAAATTCAACTCCTTAGCTCCAACACCACTTTCATAGTCTCATTGTCATGCTCTGTCCAATTTGTTTTGTGTCTGACAGAAAACGGTAAAGCTGAACTGAGAAGGGTTATGAGTGAAGCGAAACCTTTTACAGGTAGGACATTACCAAAATGTTGTTGCTGTTGTGTTTTGCTTGGATTTTCCCGATGTAGCATCATAGGTTTATTAATGTTCATATTTTAAATATTTATAATGACACTTTTTACATGCAACTTTTCTTCTGCCTGTGACCTTGAATTAGAGTTCACCAATACAAGGAATGGTGTTATTTAATAAATAAATTACATTTTTGGTGATTTCTGACAAAAGGGTGCTCATCTTCACTAGTGTTATAATGGGGAGTGTCTCAGATCAGCTGCTCATGAGTTGAAAGGTCATTCCCTCTCTCCATTTTAGTTGTTTTGAGACAGGACCTTGCTATGTAACCCAGGATGACCTTGAAGTTACTGTATAGTGGTAGGGTGATCTCGAGCTTGAGATCTTTGTACCTCAGTCTCCCAATGCTGGAATTGCAAGCATGAAGATCCATACCCATTCTTTTTCCCTCCTGTCCTAACCATCTTTTGACAAAGTTTGTACTCTCCACCTCCTCACAGCCAACTCTACTCATTGCTTCATCCACCCTTTTAGGCTTTGTGAGCTTTTAAGTTGATTGACTCTTGTTTATAATCTAGGCAAATACCAAAATAATAATAATAATAATAATAATAATAATAATAATAATAAATCAGAGAATTAAAGTGAATCCAGCTGCTTTAGTTATAATCACATCTTGCAGCGTTAGGGGTGACTAGGCAAGCCTGACACAGGGGCCCATTTTAGATTTATGGTCAAAAGACCACACTCCCTTTTTATCAAAAATCAAGGAATATGTTTGCCTTTCTAGGTAGGGAATGTGTAAGAAGGTGATTGTAAGGGAGACATTGTGTGGGCCAGCATTTTCGATATTTCAGATCTGAACAGGAGCTGGGCAGTTCCTCTCAGATGGTTCAGGGACTCATCCTAGCAGAGCACTGTACATGAGGTCCTGGACTTTATCTCCAAGACTTAAAATTAAGTTCCTAACTTATTCGTTAATTAGACAATTAAAATTATAAGGTGTTTTTAAAATCAGGGGAAGAGCTGGGTGGTGGTGGCACACTAGCACTCAGGAGGCAGAGGTAGGCGGATCTCTGTGAGTTCGAGGCCAGGCTGGACCGACAGCCTCCAAAACAATACAGAGAAACTCTGACTCGTAAAAACCAAAAAAAAATTATCATATACCAACAATTTTTCTTTTTCTTTCAAAGGCCAGACAGTTGATACAAATAGACGGCAAAATGTTTTGGATCGCTTTGATATTGAACTTAATCCTTATGAATACTCAAGGTTGCTGAATATGTTGCCAGTTAATGGTAAGTGGCATGGGTACTATCTGGGCTTGTTGGGTAGTTGGGTTTTGTCTCTGTGTAAAGGAATTCCCAGACAAACTAAAAATGCTTGAAAACTATTAAAACCTAGTGATGATGCAAATAAAATCTCATCACTTAGATTTTAATTTAAAAATCATCAAACCTCTTAGCAATAAGTTTGCCACCAAAGTTCTTAACTGGGTTTGTTTTTAGAGAGAGGGGGCAGGGACGGAGGGAAGAAGGGAAGGAGGACAAGACAGTAGAGGTGGGTTAGAAAGGATGAGAACAGAGGGACAAAAACAGCTAAGTGACGTAGCTGCATTATTTTGCTGCATGTTTTTCAGGAGTACAATATATACTTTACCAAAAAAGGTGATATTTATATATTGAAAAAGGCTGAATTTTTAAAAGTTATATATGTGCATGTATGTCAGACACATATGGGTACATGTATAGGTGGAAAACAGAGAAGACACCCCCAGACTTCATCCTCAGACTCTCACTGGTCTGAGGTTCACTGGCATTCCTAGTGGGGCTGTTCCTCCTGATCTCCACCCCACATGGAATTACAAGCTCGCCACACTATCACACAGATTCTGAAGATGCAACTCATGCCAGTGTTTGCAAGGCCAGCACATTACTGACTGACCCACCCCACCCCAGACCAAAAAAAGATGGATTTCTCCACTTCATTATTAAATGAAACAAAGCTAAAAACAAGTCAGGGAAACAAAAAATGCATTCAATTCCGTAACTCAAAGACAAACCCACTGTCGGAATTTTCATGGATTTGCTCTTTGGTGCTTTTAAGACATGAAATGATTAAAATACACATACTATTTTATTTGTATTGTATTAACTTTTTATAACTTTTCATGGCATTGATATGTGTGCTGACCATAGAAAACCTTGGTGATATAAATAAGCAAAAGTAAAACTATATCTAGTCCTTCCTTAAAACTGTGCCTGCTGTCAAAATTGTGATACATGTACTCCAGCACCCTGTCTGTAAATGTCTTCTTTTAGCTTCATACTCTTACAGATAAATCTGCACAAACAGCCTTAGGTCTCTTGAGACTTTGTTGTGAAATGGAAGGTATTTGTTAATGTATCAAATTTCCTTTTCAAAGAAGCTTTTATAATTTGAACACCATGAACAATGGCTAAGGTCATTATTCCCCTCACATTTTTAATACAAGGAAAGGGGGAATTTTAGACATCTCATTATTGTTTTAATTTTATTCGTGTACCACTGAGACACTGAACATTTTGGTTTCTAAATTATCTGTGTAGATTTGAAATGCTTGGTTCATGTATTACCTGTGTAGATTTGAAATACTCTTTAGGCAAAGAGCATTTGCCTTTTCTCTGAGACAGGAGTTGTGTACTATCTTTTGACTCTTATTTCCAAAATGCCCCCCCTTTTTTATAGATAATGGAAAAGTTTTTCAGAAAAGGTTGGCGAAGGGCATGAAGTCTCTTAATGGTAAGGAGCAAAATCAAAAGGCCTTTCAGGCTGTTCCCTGTACTGTGGGAAGAAGTATCTCCATTCTTCTACCACTGTGTCCTTGCTTACCAAGTACTTTCCCGTGCTGAAACTGTTAGACTTCATTGGATTTTCGGGCCCTAAGGGGGAGTTGTTTTAACTAGAAAACAAGCAGAAATGAAGGGTGAGGCCTCTCACCTAAAGACTTAAGTTAAAAGTAGAGACCAATCATTTGCAGGCTCATGCAACAAAAATAGTTCTTGTTCTAAAAAATGCTGGTCAACTTTACCTTTGACTTCCATAGATTAAGACATTTTGCTCCATAGACTTGTGCCCAGCAGAAAAATCAGGGCAATTTTTCTCTCCTGCTAATTGAGCAACACTGAAAGTTTAGTATTTATCTTGAAATCATAACAATAATACCAAGAACCAAGTGGGGTTTTTAAATTATACCCAGCTGCACGGTCCAGCTAAAATTGTTCTGTTTTATTGCATTTGTTTCCTGTTCCCTACTTAGAAGGCAGTGTTGATATCAATACCCTGGATACGTTTTTAGAAAACATGGGGATTGAGATCACAGAGAAAGAATTCATGGATCTAACAAAAAGACTGCCCGGAACCGGTGAGTGCTGTAGGCATTTGGGGGAAAGGGAGAGTACACATTCTCTAATCTTGAAAATGAGAATTTCCCCAGCCAGACTTTGAAAACATCATAGATTTCTCAAAAGCTCAGGAAAACATGCTGAATTTGAAGGTCAGAAGAAAAAGTCTTTAACTTTATTGCCAGTAATCTAAAATCCAGTTTCTTCCCCTATGGATACAAAGTGCTGCACTTTAAGTCAGAGAATGATCAGGGCATAGAAACCAGACTGAAGGATTTGCAAGAGGAGCGTCAAGCCCATCTGTTTCTCGGATGGTCTGCTTCTCCTAGCATGTCCAGTTCCCATCCTGCAGCTCTGCTGAAAGCTACTGTTCCTCCGTCATGCACTGCAGTATTCCCATAGCCAAATCCAAAGCATGCAACTCTGCAACCCTTAATGTTTCCTCCTTTTATTGCCACTCTGTACTCTCGGGAGAGAACTCCCAGAGTTGTTTCTCTTTCTGCCTTTCCTGTGGCTCAGCTGTTCCTTCCCAAAAACCAATTCTTAACAGAACTGAATAAATATGTTGATTGACAACTATCTAACTCCAGTTCTAGGTAACCCAGTGCCCTCTTCTGGCCTTTGCAGGCTCCTGTCACACATTGTGCTGCACAGGCATGCATGTAGGCAAAACACACATACACATAATTAAAAAATCAAGACGCTTTTAAGTAAGAGAGTAATGGAGGAATGAATATGATCAAAGTATATTATATACATATAAAATGTCAAATTGAATCCCGTTGTTTTGTAAAGTTAATATATGCCCATTTAAAAACTTAAAACTTTCAAATACCCCCCATAGCTTATAGACATTTAGTTTAACAAAATTTCAGGACAGTGCAGAATATTTTCATCAGTTATTCAATTAATTTATTCATGTTATCCATTAATGCTTATATTTATTGACACAAGGTTCTTTGTAATGTATCCCAGTTTCTGTCGTAGTGGTAAAGCCACAAAGGAAACATGTTAATGTCAACTTCATGGACTCAGGATTTTTTTCAGTTGCTGTGTTCCCAGGCACAAGCAATGAAGAGTCCTAAGTGCCAGCCATTGCAGAGTACCGTGCAAGCCCCAATCATCTGCTTTGGCGCATCTTTCTGATCCTCCTGCAGCAGTTTACATTCAAGCTGGATTGGAATGCTTTAGTTTATAATGCACTGTGTACTTGGTAGTTCCTAGTTCACTCACTGTCACTCTCTAATTATAAAGAGTGACATAATGCGACTAGCAGTTTTTTTTCAGTGTGTATCAGAATGTACGATCAACATTTCCAACAGAAATGTAAAATTAGAAATAGGATACATCCAAAAAACTTGAGAGATCCTATGTACAAGAGAATATGGTCCAAACAATCTTAGTTCTTTTTGTTAATGGAACTGTCCATTGAAGCCCAAGATTATATATTATAAAGGGACAATTTAGTTAATAACTCCATCAACGCTGTACTTCATAAGTTAAGTACTAATGGTTTTGACTTTTTCTGAGTTTTGTTTTATCAATATCCTGAATTTCTCCTGTCTTATAGCTGATGGGAAGGTGAAATTAAATGACTTAATGGAAGAACTGAATGTTGTTTTAGGTGAGTATGAAATTACTTATATTTTACACTGCTTTCATAATATCTCCTACTGTGTCTTCGTCTTCTTGTTAATTTTACCACTTTAACCTTTTGTTAATTAAACATTTTCTTCTACTTGCTTTGACTCACCTATGCTTTTGCAACAAACACATGCCAAAACCTCAGATATTTCAAAAGTTGAACAATGACTAAGATGTTATCTACAGATGTAATTATTTGAGTGGGTTATAAACAGCAACATAATTTTCTTGGAAATGTATGAGCATTTGGGTTATTTGAAGTATATTCCCTATAAGGACATAAACTTTGTTAAAAGGAAGAGACCATTTTATGTTTCTAAACCTGATGCTTATCCTGCATGACAGTCCAAGTGTCCTCACATGGTGATGCTCATCCTGCATGACAGTCCAAGTGTCCTCACATGGTGATTGTTTATCTAGCAATGAAAGATGCTGGACATGTTTTGTTTTTCATAATTCAGATCCATTTGATGGTGCTCTGTAGCAATGACAACACATTTTTCTTACAAGGATGAGAATTCTTGAGTCCTAATTCTACCTTTTGGTACCTCTTCAACTCAAGCCATAGAAGACACTATCAGGGCTGCTCATATCTCCTTCACTAGTGCCGATTCTCACTAGAGGAGCTAATTCCTCGGTGTCAATCAGGATAATTTCATCCTGTTGTGTCTTTAAATCAACTGATGGGTATGTTTTGTAGTATAATGACTGTGTACAATAGTTCAAGACTCTCAAGAGCAGAATTCAAATAGCTATGAAACACACAAAAGAATTCAGTTAGGTATTGAAGAGTCTACAGACCACCTTGGTTTGGTTCACATTTCAATAACATTAATTTTTCTAGTCCATGAATGCAGGACTTCTAATTATTCTTATCTTGTTTCTTTCATCAGTTTTCCTTTTTTATTACTTTAATTTTAAATAGCTTGCTTCATATGTCAATCCCAACTCCCTCTCCCTCCCCCACTCCTGCACCCCCCCACTATATCCCCCAGCCTCCCACCCCATCTCTACTTCCTTCCACATAGGTGATATCCAGAGTTTGTCATTTCACTCAGGGCAGTTTTTCTTTTCAGCAAATTTCCTTAGTTCAATTTATTCCTAGATATTTTTAAATTTTATTATTATTTTTAAATGATGTGTGTCCGTATACATGAATGAAGAGGCCAGAGGCATGAATCTTCTAGAGCTGGAGTTACTGGTGGTTGTGAGTCACCTGACATGGCTGCTGGGAATGGAACTCAGGTCTTCTGAAAGAGCACTATGCACTCAACCTCTGGGCCATCTCTGCAGCCCCTTATTCCTAAGTATTTTTGACAGCTATTGTAAATACAATTTCTTTCTTCATTACTTGTCCTGATAGTTCATTGGCACTTCACAAAAACACTACTGATTTTCATATGTTAGTTTAGCATCTTACAACTTCAATGAGTCTATTAAATATTTTAACATGTTTGTGGTGGGTGACATTTATGTAAGACTGTGTCACTTGTAAGACAGCTTAACTTCTTCCTTGCACTAGATACATTGTTTCATCCTTTATCTTGCCCAATTCCTTTTGCTAAAGATTTCCACTGCTATGTTAATAGAAATGACAGGAGTGGCATTCTTAATCCCCTGTTATAAAATTTCCAGTTTTTACTATGAGGTATAATATGTTAGCTGTAGGATTAGCATTACTGGCCTGGTAAGGCACATTGCTTGCATAACTAATGTGTTTTAAAATGGAAATACATTTAACTGAATGAATATTCTGTACCTATTACAATGATCATATGGTTTTGTCCTTCATTCTACTGATATGACATAACATATATTATTTTCACATGTTGAACTATCACTTTACTGTGGTAAAAAAATCATTCTGGTGACACGTTAAATTTGGTTTGTTAATATTTGGTTTGTTAAACTTTGTGTCTGACTTTGTCAGAAGTAGTGGCTTTTAGTTATCTTTCTTGTGTTTTTCTAGCTTTGCTCTTAAGATAACAGAACCCAAGTCCATTTTTGAAACACTTTCTCACAAGCATTTACCAGCTGGAGAAGTGACTAAGTGGTTAAGACCACTTTATTGCTTCTCTAGAGGTCCTGAGTTCAATTCCCAGCAACCGCATAGTGGCTCACACCACCTGTAATGTAGTGGGATCAGATTCCTGTTTCTGGTGTGCATGAATATAAGCATTTGCCAAATGCATTTTGGTGCATTCTATTACTTAATAATTAAGTAATTAATATAATACATGTAATATATGTGCCTTTCGACATGCAATGTGTATGCATCATAATTTATAATTCCAAGTACAATCATTTCAAACTCCTTAAGTAAATATTTAAATTTTACTTCATACAGAAAAAAACACTCAATTATTTCTTGCTTTATGCTCATCTGTATAGATAATTAAGGTTCACAAATTTTGTAATTTTACAGGGTCAAGAATTACTGCTTTTATGCTCTTAGATTCTTTTCTTGTCACCATCTGTGTCTTTTCTAGGAGAATCAATAGATGTTAATGACCTAGAAGATACTCTGAAAGACATGAAAGTTGAGTTGACGGACAAAGATTATTTGCATCTGATGAGAGACCTTCCATTTGATGGTAAGCATATATATAGTGTATTGATATTGATATGTTTTGCTAAGGACTGATATGTATATAAATCCTTCAAAGGTTTTTGAGTACTTGATTGTGAGACTTTTCTAAGATGGTAGCAAATTGTTATCAGGGTTTTTTATTTCTTAATATTTTGTTATATTCATACATGCACATAATGTTTTTGTCAACTCCATCCCCATCCCCTTCTTTCCAACCCCTCCCTTAAGTACCCCTCTACTTTTCCCTCCCAAATTCATGTGACCAGAACTTTAAAATCATTTCTTAGAACTTCCAGAATATTTTTGCCCAAAAAATATCTGAATCATTTATTTCTCAATATAGTAGACAAAAGCCATTTCATTCATTCTTCCCAGTAAGATCTCTGTATTGGCCTTGTTTGCATTATCATGCCAGAGAGTACAAAGAAAAATATAAAAGGGGAAAAATAAGTGAACTTAGTCAGAAATCTAAAAACAAATCAAGCGGGAAGTTTGTTTTGGAATTTACAGCCAATGGTCATTGGTTTTTGTGCATGAGTGAATAGATTTGTCTCATCAAAGTCTTTCTCCAGGGCATGGAGAGATGGCTTAGTGGTTAAGAAAACTTGCTTCTCTTGCAGAGGACCCAAGTTCCTTTCCCAACATCTACATGGTAGCTCACAACTGCCTGTAACTCCCAGGAGATCCAATGCCCTCTTCTGGCCTCTCCAGTCGTAGGCACACAAATACTGCACATATGTGCCCCTGAAACACCCACATGCATAAAATTTAGGGGGGTTCCAAATTAAACAAAAACTAAAGTTTCTAAACAAACTTATTACAACAAGAGAATACAAATACATCTAGAAGGAAACCATTGTAAACTGATCTTTGTGAAATCCTGGGATTTTAGGAATTGTAGTTCATTGCTTGTTTGCTTAAGCAAATCTTCCTTATTAAAATTTCCTGACCTGGACTGTGTTTTCTTCTTACAGCTTCAGGAAAAGTATTTAAGAAAAGGATATTGGATGGTATAAAGCATCTTAAAGGTGAGTGAAAAGCATCATGAGAACAGATAAATACACATGATTCCAATACTGTTCATGTACATAAATTCATCATTATTAAACAGAAATATCATAAATGTATTTTCTCATAATTATATTTTAGATGATTATCTTTCCCAACATAACGTTGGGTTATTATGCTACAATTCCCTGGGAACTTACCTAGACCCATTTAGAATTGCATAATATTCAATATGAACAAAAGATGCCTCCATCAGAGAATGAGATACTGCAGCTAGTTTCAATGTTGTTTCTCCTTGCACCTATGACTGGGTTTCCTGAGACTTAGGTCCTCATGCATATAATGATGGCCATAGCTCACCTCAGTTAATAAAGGGTTTTCCACATTTTGATATCTTTTCAATGTTTTTCCTCTCCTAAGGAGGAAAAGTTGATGCAAATAACTTGAACCAATTTCTGGAAACCATGGAGCTCGAGCTCTCACAGAAAGAATTTGAAGACTTTGAAGAAAACCTGCCAGTTGATGGTAAGCTCTTAGGCTAAAGCATGTCCCTTTGGGGACACCTCAGGTTTAACAGAATCCCTAGATGGCATCAACTTGATGTCAAAATAGTGTTTTGAAAAGTTTATAGCAGAATCCAGATTAAAATACATGCTGTCTTTATTAGTTCAAATATTGCAAGTGTTCTCCACCATGGATAACAAAATTAGATGAGTCCCAAAAGACCATTCTCAGGTCAAGAATGAAGAAGAAAGGAAATCAAATGAGAGACATTTGGTAGGCACACTGAATATTGGGTGATTGCAAAGGAGCTTGACTACTAGGGATGTTTAAAACAGAGTAATGGGTCCAGGTTTTGGACAGGGGCAAGCATGGCATCACCTGTGAGATACTGCATCCCCGGTGAACATCTGTAACTTGGAGGAAGGCAGCCACGGTAGCAGCACCTACACCCTGCACAGCTGCATCTTTTCATCAATGGCGGGCTGCCTGGTGAAGACCAGTGAGAATGGCGCGCTTTCTGTGGTATCTGTGATGAAAGAAACAGAATCTTAGTTACTTCCAGATGTAGGAGCTGTTGTCACCTGTAAGGTCTCTAGCATCAACTCACGTTTTGCCAAAGTCCACATCTTGTATGTGGGGTCCACACCACTGAAAAATGCTTTTCGAGGAACTATCCACAAGGAAGATATCCAAGCAACTGAAAAAGACGTGGTTGAATATACAAGAGTTTCTGCCTGGGTTACACAGTTTTGGCCAAAGTTATCTCCCTGGGTGTTGCACAGTCCAATTATCTGCTGACCACTGCTGAAAATGAGTTAGGGGTAGTGGTGGCCCACAGTGAATCAGGGTCCAGGTGGTTCCCGTCAGCTGGTGTGAGATGCAGTGCCCTAAGACTCGAACTAAAGAATTCCGGAAAGTGGCCAGAGTGCAGCCCAAGTTCTTACAAACCTAAGCACGCTTTACCCCAAAGACAACTAGTTCCAAGAGTATTAAGATACCTCTAGTCAGCTAGCAGTTACCTCTTGAAAAACTGCCAGAAATACATTTGTGTGGTAATGAACACCCAAGGGCCATGCAGCTGAGACAGGAAGATTGTAGTTCCCAAGTTTGAGCCCAGCCTAGGCTACATAGTAAGACTCTTTCAACCAAAAATATAAAAAATAAAATGTACTCTATTTGAAACATTATTCTTGGGAAACCGATTTTTTATTCTCTTGGCTGGTGAATCTCATTTAAAGGCATTTAGCAAACAGAACCATGTAATATTGGAAATAGCTTATGCCTTCTTTATAAATGCATATATATGTATTTTGCTATGACTGGGAAAAAAACATGCTTTTCATTTGTTAAAAAAAAGAGTAATGACTGTGTCTACTATGAATGCCCTGCCTGTCATGAGTTAGAAAAGCAATGGCTAGAGAGAAACACAGGAATTTTTAAAGATATACAACTATGGATATATAATGAGAATAATTATAACACTATAATGAGATATAATGTGTAATATGAGTTTTGGATTTAAATACAATAAAGAATAAGAGTTTTTCCCAATTGAAAATAATTTACCAATATTAATTGAAGATGTGAAAAATAGCTAGATAATGGTAGTTGAAAAAAATAGTTAATTCTCTACCACTAACCATTATTCCAACAAGGTAGAGTAAGAGAAAACAGTTCTTTCCTTTGTCTTCTTGCTTTGTGGTGCTAGAGATTGAACCTAGGGCCTTGCACATGCTGATTGTGTTTTCTTTACCACTGGGTTGTATCACCAGTGCCAGCCCAGATTATTTTAATAAACGGATCCAGAAAACGCACTGGAAGTGGTAGCAGTCTCTTGAAACCCCAAGGCCTACCTCCAGTGACACACCCTCTCCAACAGAGCCACACATCCTAATCCTTCCCAAACAGTTCCACCAACTGGGCACCAAGTATTCAAACACATGAGCCATTCTCATTCAAACCACCATAATATACTAAACTAAATAGAATAAAAGGTGGGAGGTATTACTTCTGCTTCGTGTTAAATACCTAAAAATATAATGCAAGCCTCTAAAACTAACTTTTAGATGATGCTAGCATTGTAGCTTGGACAAGGGGAAAGATCCTAACTGTTGCTCTGTGGTTTTCTTACAGAGAATGGGAAGGTTGATCTGAAAAACATTGTACCAAAATTGAAAGATTTTGAGGGTGAGTTTCTCTAATACTGATATACAAATGCTGTAAATAATTACCTTAAATGTTTTCCCCAATATATTGTTGATATCAACACAGCCATTTTACTCAGTTATTTGTCAGATCAAATCTATTTAATAATTTATGAATTCAAAATATGTCACAAGACTTCTTTTTTATTGTTGTTTGTTTTGTTGGTTTTATGAGGAAGGGTCTCTCTATGTAGCCCTAGCTGTCCTGGAATTCACTGTGTGGAGCAGGCTGGCTGGAACTTACAGAGATCCTACTGTCTCTGCTTTCTGCATGCTGGGAGTAAAGACATAGGCCACAAGGCCAGAGCAAAAGTCCTGTGTTCCTTAGGGATACACAGTTTTTTCACTGTAAATTTTTCTTTGCTACATATAAATATATAAATATCAAGTAAGCAAATTAATAGGTAAAGTTTTGGAAAGCTCAAGATGCACTTCTGTATGATCAGTTTTATAAGTCAGTATAATTATTATCAGAATTATTTCTGCTGGCAACTCATTATCCCATTTGTATACTAGATCCCATTCTGCATGCCAGTCCCTAACATATCTGTTATGTCAATGTTCCAATATAGGTTTGTTTTGACCTCTATTGACACTTGGTCACTTTGTATTGCTTGTCCCATTTTGTCTTTTCTCCTTAACTCCAAATAATGTAACTATTATTTTTAAAGATATATCATAGATCATATTGATTAATAACATGTTCTTACAAATACCTTTTTAAAATTAAATTATCAGGCCAGCCCAGTGGAGAAAGCTATGTGCCAAGCAAGTCTGGTGACTTTAGTTCAGTCCCCGGGACCTCCTGTTGAAGGAAAGAACTGACATACAAAAGCTGTCCTCAGCCCTCCATATACCATAGCCTGAGTATTCTCATGCACATATCACAGAGAGAGAGAGAGAGAGAGAGAGAGAGAGAGAGAGAGAGAGAGAGAGAGAGAGAGAGAGAGAGAGAGAGAGAGAGAGAGAGAGAGAGAGAGAAGGGGTGGGGAATAAATGTTTTTAAATAAGTTACCAGTTCTTAAAATTTTTTCACCTGGAAACATTCTGCCTTTTCAAAGGAGAAAAGATTGCTGTAGGTGGCCTGAAAAACACTCTTGGAGAGATAGGCGTCGAGCTCAATGACCGAGAATATGTGGGCCTGCTGGAGACCCTGCCATTTGATGGTAAGTTGCATGCATGTTGCTGTGACCTCCAGAAACCAGTCTTCCAGGTCTAGTTGTTTTTTCTAAACATATAGAGATTTTCTTCTTTTTCCGCTTCCATATGTGTGTGTGGTGTGCGTGTCTGGTGGGCAGTGTTCTCGGTATGTGTAGGCACAGTGTGTGGGTAGGCATGTGTGTGGAGGCCCTGGTTGGTGTTGTGAGTCATCCTCAGTCTCACACATTGAGGCAGAGTCTCTCAGCCAAATTCAGGTCTCACAGGCATAACTGGCTCAATAGCCATCTTGCTGGGGGACCCCATCTCTGCTTCCTTAGACTAGAATGACATATACGTGGGTTCTGGGAACCCTAACTTCTATTCGTAGTGCATGAGGCGAGCACTTAACCACTGAGCCCTCTCCACAGCCTCTCAAGTATGTATTTTGAATGATGTGTGTTGAAATGTCCCCTGTACCCATCCTCCAGCCTTCCTTACCTACTACTCCTGTGATACTGCAGGCGTAGATCTCAATTCTCAAAAAAAATCCACTAAATCACTGTTGAGAAGAAAGAAAAAAACCATTCCTGATGATTTTCCAGTGCAGGGAGGGGAGGGTGCATCTTTGACACTGGTACCCGCCAGAGGCCCCCCTGAGAAACCCTGAGCTCTCTGAGGCACTTTTCTGTGTCCTCCTTTTCCTTACCATTTACCCCTCCCCCACACCCCTCCCCCACACTGAGCCCTCAAAGTTCTTGTTTTTGTTCTCAGCATTTGGGAGTAGGCCAAATTTCTCTCCCTTTTCCATCAATGTTGCTGCTTCTTAAAACAAAAAGGCTCCATGTGTTCCCAATGTAAGCCTATTTTAGTTTAGTTTTATCAGGTAAGTCACACACTCCAGCCAAGGTTAACCTGAAACTCAATATGTAGCCCAAGCTGGCCTCAAACTCACAGCAATCCACCTGCCTCCCAAAGTAAGCTTTAAAAAGCACCTTTTTAGCAGACATGGGACATATGTATGTGATCCCAGTACTAGAACTTTTAGCCAGACACAGTAGCACATGTGTGTAACTCCAATACTAGGGTGGCAAAGGGAGAGGAGAGGTGAGGGGTGGGTGAAGGGATTTAAAGACAGTCTCGGCTGCATAGAAAAAAAAACCCTGTCAGAAAGGAGTGGGACAGAAGGAAAAAAATTTAAGCTTCTTCTTGGACTGGAAAGGTAGCTCAGTGGTTAGGAGCACAGGCTGCTCTTGCAGAGGACCTGTGTTCCATTCCCAGCACCCACATGGTGGCTCACAACCATCTGTAACTCTAGTTCCAGAGGATCCAGGGACATCTTCTGCCCTCTACAGACACTTGGCACATAGGCACACACTGGGTACATAGCATATGCAAACAAATACTCATATATATATATATATGTACATATAATTAAAAATAAATTTTTTCAAAGTGCCTTCTCAACAAACACCTACTTCTGTAAGTAATTCTTGTGTCAGGTACTAAGAAACTAACTTTTTTCCATATTTTTACACCATTTTGGAAGTTACCAAAATCATCAAGTTTGAGACTTGCCATAAAGGACTAAGAAAAAAATACTTGCTGCTGCCTCTTAAGTCGCAGACATGTCACACTTTAATAGTGGAATAAGTGAAAACGAAAGAACAAATATGTGAATATGTGATAGAAAAGAGAGATGGGAGACTTCAAAAGTGGGAAATATGCCAGCACATGGGAGGCTGAAGTAGGAGAAGCCAGAGTTTGAGGCGAAAGTCTGGGATACACATCAAGACGCCAGCTAAAAAAGGAAAAGGGGCTAAGAGAACATCAAGGAAGCAGGAATAGCGAGATCATATGAACCAGAGAGTGGAGAGGAGTGAAGTGAAACATGTCTGAACATGCCAGGACCATTACACTCAGGAGCCCAGAGCAGCTGTGGTTACCTGCATGAGAGCAAGCCAATTCTCCAACATGAATGAGGAAGGGACACAACAGCCCCCACACCTGGCTGAGAAGCTATAGACACTTGATGGCTTTCTTTAGGAATGTGATCCCTGGTAGGTTGCTCCAGAGGGGGACCCTATCAGTTCATACATGGACAGCACTAATTGGATTCAGTGGACAACTTTTAAGGGGGGTGGGATTGGGAAATGTCTCTGTAGTTAAGACTAATCACTGTTCTTTCAGAAGACTTGAATTTGGTTCCCAGCACCCACATCAGACAGCCCACAGCTCCTGTAACTGCAGGTCCAAAGGATCCTACCCCATCTTCTTCAGGGACAGCCACAAAGCATGTGTATGTGCACGTGAGTGTACATGCATTGGTGCACACACAAAAATTAAAATAAATATTTTTAAGAGGACATGAAGTTGGGTAGAAAGCATTGGGGAGACCAAGGAGATGAATATGATTGAAACGCAATATAGACATATATTACATTTTCAAAGAAGATATTAAAATATTTAAAAACTAATTTAAGGAGCTGGAGAAAAGACTTGGTGGTTAAGAACACTGGCTGCTCTGGCAGACTCTCAGCACCCACCTGTCACTCTAACTGCAGGGAATCCAATGCCCTTTTCTGACCCCAGGTATACCAGCAAGCATGTATACAGACACACATGCAGGCCAACACTTGTATATAGTAAAGGTAAAATTAAATAAATCTTTTTTAAAAATAACATTTAAAGATGGAAAGGAAAGCAGATAAGAACACTGAGTGTGGGGGTTTCAGCTCTCATTTGTCTTGGAGGTGGATGTATTAATAGATCAGTTAATAACACATAGTGTTTGTTTAGTCCTTATGGTGTTCAGGGGCCATCGTCACCACACACAGTGATGACACCTTATCCCAGTGTTACAGTGGAGGAAACAGAGACATTGATCTGCTTAAGGCCACAAAGCCAATGAGGAGCAAAGCCCAAGCATTTAAACTTGAGCTCTCAGCTGTACACCAGACACTCACTCTGTCCCTCATGATGTTCATTCCTCCACCTCATCATGACTTGAAGGTAGGAGAGGATCCACTTCCTAAGATCTGTCACAGAAGGAAAAGTCTAACCCTACGTTCACTGGGACATTCTCAGTCCTGAACTGTAACTTTCTCCTTTTTTCTCTACAGAAAATAACAAAGTTTTTCTAAGTAGACTCCAGTCAGGTCTGAGGGCTTTCAGAGGTGAGTAATAGATGTTATGAAAAATGGCATACAAGGTTGGTTTGAGAGTCCCAGTCTTTGTCCTTTTTTCCTACTTTAGGGTCGTGATTCTTCTGGAACCTGTTCTATATATTGATCAATTTGGTCTTTGTTTATGTATGGTATGTAAATTAGGTCAGCAGCAAGTCCAAAGAAATCCATTTTGAATACACAGCTTTATTTCTGTGTGTCTTGGATGGGACTTATTACAGCCTGACCACCACTGTGCTGGAATATAGGGGTCACAATGCTTAATCAAGAACAGCCATTTAATAAAATGACCAATTTAGAAACTACTGCAATGCAGAGTCCGATTATCTTGTGATAACCACTCAATGTTTCCAAGCCACATGTACTTAAAATATCAACATTTGCACACATCACAACTGCTCTAAAACCCCATTGAAGCCTTGCACTGATGACACCAGAGTCCTGGTCTTTCTTCATGTCTAACAGTCCCTTCCGGTGCTGGAAGAAATGATCATGCCTGTAGCTGAGATGAAGGAACTGACTTGAATAAGAGTCATGATATAAAGAAAATACTTAGTACTAAATCACATGGAGTTAAGATGTCCCCAGTATGATGGGCATCTGGAATACACATTCATCTGACCAAGAAATGAATGTGTCCCTTTGAGACTCACTACTTACTATGTGCTTTCTGTCTCTGGAATGGCAGTGATAATCGAAGGCTTCATTCATGGTGTTCATGGTTTTTACTATGACAACAATTTTAACTTCTCTAAGTTAAATGATGCCACAATTCTACCCAATTCAAATGCAGCTTTTCTTTTTTCTTTTCTTTTCTTTTTTTTTTCAAGACAGAGTTTCTCAGTGTAGCTTTGGAGCCTAGAACTAGCTCTTGTAGACCAGGCTAGTCTCAAACTCACAGAGATCCTCCTGTCTCTACCTCCCAATTGTGGGATTAAAGGCAAGGGCCACTACTACCCAGGAAAAGCAGCTCTTCGTACTGTGACCATCTTTTATAATGATTATATGTAGCTAAATTTTTCTGTGGAATAAAAGTTTACTCAATAGCACCCACTTAAGTAGATGTTTAAACTCCAGAGATGCTGTTTGGTGTTTGGTTTATCTATTATAATAAAAACTATGGTGCACAATTTACCTTTCTCCCATTGGCATGACCTCTTGCTGTGAAAAGTGGAATGAATAGCCCAAAAGTTATGAAAACTTCAAAGGAGCATGACTGCCAAACCACTTTCAAATAACTTTCTAATTGTGGTGATATCTTGCTTGTACAAATAAAGCCTGTCTGAAGGTCAGAGACTGGAACTTGTCACCAGCTACAGCTTTGTTCATCAATCAGTAAGATAAACATATATTCACAGCATACAGAAGGATATCCCCCATCATCTAATTCTTTTTTTATATGTTTATTGGCCTTTGTTTCTTGAGACAGAGTCCCACTATGAAGGGCTGACTGGTCTGGAGCACTCTGTGAAGACCGGACTGGCTTCAAAGGCATAGAGATCTACCTGTCTCTGCCTCTAAAATGCTGGGAGGCTTGCACCACCACGACCAGACTAATTAACTCTTAACAGCAGTCAGGCCTGTTGAAAGTTACTCTAATTTAGCAAGTCTTTATGTCTGGATTGGGTTTTCTCACATTTCTGACATGTTTTTTACAGGTGGAAGGGTTGATCCCAATAGACTGAAGACACTCCTCCTGAATTTGGGGCTCAAACTCAAAAACAAGGAATTGAGAAATGTGATGCAGAAGCAGGCTGCCGATGGTGAGAGTGAAGACTGTGCTGCCTTTGGGCATTGTGGGACAGAGTGTTGGGATTAAGTGTAAGAATTTCTAAGGTTAAACAGGCATGCTGATGCACACCCATAACCTCAGCACTTGGGAGACAAAGGCGGGAGGATCACTGGAAGAGTTCAAGGCATCCCTGTGCAGTAAGATTGATCTGAGAATTTTAGATATTGTTATGGAAAAGAATTTAGTCTTAAAGTAAGAAGAAATACTGTCTTTTGTCATTTCTTAGTAATCTGAAGTCATAATGCTATCTCCCCAGTGCTGAGAGTACACTGCCAGGCCAAGGACTTGTGGGGGGGGGGAGAGAAAATGGGAGTGGGGGTAAGAGAGAATTAATTGCAAAGATAACCAGAAATAATCAAGAAAACAAAATCCACAATAGGAAATAGTGGGGACTGGGGACACCTTTAATATTTCCTAAGGTATCCAATGACATGAGATAAATACATAAGCAAGAAATGTTAGAGGACAACATATCTGGAATAGATGGGATATAAGAAGCATCTAGTTCAACATCTACATTAGATGTGAGGCGCGCACACACACACCATGGGGTGGGGCAGGGAGGGCACACCTTTTGAATGGTATCATTACCATTCTTAGAAGGCATCTAAAAACCCAAGGACTGAAGACATGATACATAAGTACTGTGAAAACATGACATTTATCACAGCCAAACCCTGTGCTCAAGAGAATGGCTGCAGTCCAAGGTCCTTCTTACTAATGAGGAATCCAGCATTCAAAGCAGGAAATATAAATTTAAGAACTACACAGATTAGTAAAATTTGTAGACCCTTATCAGGTACTAATTTATAATTTTTCTAAGTTGCATGTCAACATCTTAATTGTTTATGTTCTGTATTACAGCTACTCGAAGTGTCCCTCTGAAAAAAATATTAGCGGATGTGAACTCGGTTATAGGCAAGTTAAAGTTATGTAAAGTTTAAAACCCCAAATGTTAATGCTGCCCTTACATCTTTTCCTTACTCATAAACTCACAAGCACAGGTGGTACATAAACAAAACTCTGGAGTCTTGTCAGTGTTCTACTTCCTCATCTAGATGTCCCAGGGGTGCTGTTGACACACAAGCATGAGGACTTGAGTTCAATCCCCAGTACCTACATAAATAGCAAGTTGTGGTGGCACACCTTTTTAATCCCATCACTGGGGAGGTGAAGACAGACACTCTCAAAAAACAAGGTGTATGGCCCCTCAGCTGAGACTGACCTCTGGCTCCCATGTCCACACACACCTGCACATACCTTTGCACCCATGAACACACCCACACAGGTATATACAACTACAACAGACAAAAATGTTAAAGGGAAGTAAAAGAGTTTCTCTCCCCAGAGCAGAAGAAACGTTCTCTGATTCTCTTTGGTTGTTTGTCTGCTTTGGAGCCTTTCTGTGCCTTTGTTTTCTAACATGTTGTGACACAAAAGCATAGACAATTTCCTTCCATGATTTTGCTATTTAGGTATCTGTTAATATTGACAACCATGCTTACTATTTCTGTTTTTTGAAGGAGAAAAAATTGGTGTCAATGATGTGAAAAGTTTTGTAGAAGCCACTGGAATAACACTGACACCTACGGAATACTTAGAACTGATGAAAAGTCTACCGATTGATGGTGAGTTTTTTTTTAAACACTACTGGAATTTTAGGGAAAATCATGTTGGGTGTCCAGACACTTTAGAAAAGTAAACAAACTATCTCCTGGGACAACTGACTGCATCCTGTTGTTCTTGTTGTCTGCAAGAGCTGTCAACAATTTTTCATATGACCTTGTTCTTGTCCCAGAAAGTGTAATTTTGTTCTTGCATGGAGAGTCAGCAGTTCTGTTTTCTTGATTCCCATGACTGGGGATGAAAGCCATTATGATGTTCCACTCTCCCTTCCAGTGACAGTTAGCTTTGGAGATGGAGGGAATGGGGCTGGCAGGAACAGGGAAGTGGGAGAGAGAAGGCAGAGAAGAGAAGCAAAGGAAAGATGTGCTTACATTCCTGTATTGTGTGGCAACAAACTCTTAGTTATTTTCATCCAGTTACACATATGCTCTGAAAATCTTCTCACTTCCTTGCTTTTGAACTCTTGGGTTGCAAAATATCAAACTATCTATAAGGCAAATCACTGAAAAGCACCCAGCTGAGATGGGAGCTTTGCCCTGTCCTTCTGAATGGCTGGTACCACTTTTTGTGATGTGTGTGTGCCCCTGTTTTGCAGATGAAGGAAATATATATGAAAGCAGATTGATAGACTGTCTGAAATCTTTCGAAGGTAAGGGGCATGTGAGAAGAGAAAGATGATCAAGAGTCCCTCCTCACACTTGTATCTGGTTGTCCTCTTGTGGAGACAACTTTCTCCCATGCTAATACCCCTTACTCTCCTATCTTCGCATCCACATTTTCCAAATAATTTTTTGTTTTTCTGCTAAGATTAGCTTCTGACAAAAATCAAATTGAAATATGATTGCACATAGAAAATATGAAGTAAAGAACCGGCTATTATTTGGGGGAAATTTCACTAACTCAGTGAACTAAAGTGAGCTCTTAAACCTTACCTTTTACTTGGTGGGAGAATGAGTTCATACTTGTTAGGATTTTCATCTATACCAAACAAGAACATTTTCAGTTCTCTTTCCATTTTTGGCCACTTCTGTATACTGAACAACTGGGTTTTTCACACTCTTGCTGATAGTCATGATATGGGGAGCAATCTAAGTTTTCTTATTCAGGGACACTATTAAGTTTCTTTTGTGTTTCCTTAGGTGGGACATTTGATGTCAATAACTTAGAAAGTGTTTTGGAAAACTTGCAAATCAAGCTCTCAGATGAGAAACTTAAAGATTTGTCAGAAACCCTTCCAGTTGATGGTAAGCACGTGGTTGGTATCAGATCTTCCAGGAACTCGTGCCCCAGGTGCTCATGCCCAAGGTCTCTGGGAGTATCATCTGCTTGGATGCTAATATGATTTTTTTAATCTTTTTGGTTTGGTTGGCTGGTTGGCTGGTTGGCTGATTGGCTGGTTGGTTTTTCAAGACAGAGTTTTTTTGTGTAGTCCTGGCTGTCCTGGAACTCACTTTGTAGACCATGCTGGCCTCGAACTCACAGAGATCCACCTGCCTCCTGAGTGCTGGGACTAAAGGTGTGTACCACCACTGACTGTCTAATTTTTTTGTTTGTTTATCTTACAGAAGAATCTAGTCTATATAAGAACACATTTTGGTTTAGTACATTTTCATTAATTTTTATGTATATGATGTATTGCTAGAATGAGTTATAAATAATACATCTTTACTTGAGGAATACTTAAGGAAGACAGTTTATTACAGTGAGATGGTTGTTAATTTCATATTAACTACATCATTTCAGTATCATTAGTTCTGAAGCTTCACTGTAATGTGGAAATTTGAAATGGATTTATTTTCATGTATCTGTCTTAGGATTCATTGGACTTATGGATATGATAATTGAAATCTTTTACCAGGTGTAGAAAACCATCTGATATTTTTCTTATAACCCTATCCTTATCCTGTAGAGTTTTTTAATTTCTTCCATAATCAATCTTCTTTGACCTTGATTTCTCTTCACTTTTGTTCATATGTTTTCGTCTTATGATTCACAGTAGTCTTAAATACATACATTCTGTAAGTGATAAGAATTCTCAAAGCACCAGCTGCCATATAGACTGAAAGAAGTGTTTATAATAGAAATAGCGCCCTAAGGAAGAATGGGATTACATGCTAGCAGCATGTCCTCTATTGTAAGAAACACCAATAATGAGCATAGTTTTCAGTTTTCTTCTTGTCCTAAAATATCCGACATCTTTGGGCTGGGGTGAGAGTTTAGCAGTAAAGAGCACTGGCTGCGCTTACAGAGCACCTGGGTTTGATTCCCAGCACCTACAACTATCTGTAACTCCAGTTCCAGGGGATCTGATGACCTCTTCTGGGCTTTGCAGGCCTTACATACACATAGTGCAACAGACATACATATAGACAAAACACCTAGACACATAATTTTTAATGAAAAATTAAATGTATTATGTGTTCAAATCTAACAGGTTATACTGAATTGGGGACCTGCTAGTGGATAGTATAAACTAAAGAGAACATTCTTGAAGAGGGAGATGCATATGATACGTAAAGTTTAAGATCTTTTTCTCTTCTTCTTTTAGGAGTGAGTTAGTGTGTGTGTGTGTGTGTGTATGTGTGTGTGTGTGTGTGTGTGCGTGTGCGTGTGCGTGTACACACCATGATGAGTGTGGAGGTCAGAGGACAACTTTCTGGAGTCAGTTCTCTCCTTCTACTATGTGTGTCCCAGAAATTGAACTCAGGTCATCAAACTTGGCAGAAAGTGCCTTTGTCTACTGAATCGTCTTGCCAGCCCAAGGTTAAGATCTTGAAAAAGAAAAATAGAGAGTAGATAATGAGATTAAGAGTTAACATATTTCAAGAGCAATTTTTCTTATTTCATGTTTGTGTATGCTATAATTCAAAATAAATCATAACAAAAAGTCCTACTTAATGTCCCATTTATCTCTGTTAATCAGTGCACATTATTCATGTATATGTGAATTGTGACCTTTTTACAGCCTCTGGGAAGACTAGTCTGCAGAGACTGCTAAAAGAAGTAAGAAAATTGACAGGTAAGCAAGGCATTTTGTGAAAGATACAAGACCACTACACAAAAGCTTCCTACTTACATAAGTTTTCAAAATTGAGTTTTCTTAGCTGGCATATAGTGCATGCTTATCATTTTAGCTTTCAGAAGGTAAGGCAGAAGATTTGCTGCAAGTTCAAGGAGACTTAGTGAGAACCAAGCCAGCCAGGGCTATATATAAGATGGCTCACCACAGTAATCCCAGCATTCAAGAGGACTACAGAAGTTCAAGGCCAACTTGCCCTACAGTAGGGAACTCCAAACCAGCAGAGCTACAAAGAGGGACCCTTACACAATACAGGATGTATTCTTGTCACTGACTTCAAATCTTTTAACTGGCATAAATATTGCATCCTTTTATCTATCTATAAGCAAAATTTTGTGATATGTGTTTTTATTGAGTTCTACTTTTATTCTGAAACCTCCTTTCTTATGCTTTATCTCACTAGGATAGCACAGTTAATACACATCATCATTCATTCAAAATACCTAAGTTAGAGTAACCACTCTAACTTAGGAAGTGTTAGGATGCAGCTGTGACAGTGTGCCGATGATGTGACCTGTGAGGCCATACATCTCATAATCCAGGCAAAACACAGGGCAGTGCAAAGTTGAGCCGATGTTGGTACACATGTGATTGGGTACAACCGACCAGGGGCTGCCCGTGTATCTCTTTGTTGTAATAGGATTAACACCTCTGGGGCCATGTAGACCATTACAAACACAGTCTCTTCACATTTGAACCCTTTTCTGTACCAACTTAGTTTTATCGTCTAAAGTCAGCAAGCAATTCTCACGTTTAGTGTTTTCATTTTTTCCAAAGGAGGGAAAATTGATGCCAAAGTCATACAAAGAGTGCTGGGGAACATGGGCATAGAGCTCTCAAACAGAGAGATGAATGAGCTGCTGAAAAGGCTGCCTATCACTGGTAGGTACTCTGTTGATGATGCAAAGCATCTCTGTGCTTGTATAAACTTCAGTGTGAGAACATCATAAAAACTGACGCCTCTCCTGCCCTACGACACCTAGAACACAGATATCAAGCTGTAGTTGGAATGGTATTTGTCTAGCATTTAAGTTTGTTTTGAGAGCATCCCCCCCCCACCCTCCACCAATATCTTTAAACTGAGTTGGCATTAAAAGTGTTGTTCCTGGCTGTGGAGATAACTTGGTAGGTCAAAGCACTTGCTGTGTAGGACTGAGATTGAACTCACATCCCTGGAATGCAGTGTCTACAATCTGTGCCCTTCCACAGTGAGATGGGAGGCAGAAACAGGAGAGTCCCCAAAAGTTCCCAGACCAGCTAGCCTGGAATACACAGTGTAAGAGCAAACAAGATAGACCCTGTCTCAAACAATCCAAGGTTAAACTCTGGCGTACATACACACTGTGACAACTGCCCATGCATACACACACACACATACACACACACACACACACACACCACATACACATGTAAGTAAATAAATAAATGTTCTTAAAATAATACTGTTACCTTAAGATAAAGTTTAAGTAGAATGAGGAGAAAAGAGGACGAACTAACAGTAGCAGTGAGAAGAAAATGGAGAGAAAGCTCAGGGAGAGGAATGATGTCTGTCAGCTGCACATCCCCAGGGCTGTGGCAGGATCAGTGGCAGGACACTTGCTTAGGTGTACAAAGCCCTGGGTTCAGTCCTTAGCACAACTCAAGGAAGAAAGAGAAGGGGGTAAGAGGGGGATGGAGTGGACCTTGGGAACTTAGATCAGTGGGAAGCCTCTGGGTTCAGTCCCCAGCTCCAAAAAAGCAGAGAGGCAAAGTCACAAAAGAAGAAGGGGTTGGGGAGAAAAGAAAAAGAGAAAAGAATTTCTTTCTTTGCACTCCTTTGTAAAGAAGTGTGTGTAGATATGGAAACTGTAGAAGTATAAATTTAAAAGTTAAATTTTTATAATCTGTACTTAAGGTTATAGCCTTCTATATCTTTTTTACTATACACATCATTTTCTCTGATTGTAAATGTTTCATATTTTCCAGATGATGGGAAAATACTTAAAAACATATTACTTGATCACATGAAGTGGTTTTCTGGTAAGTGATAATCTCAATAAGACCATTAGGACTATATTATCTGTGCTTTGCCTTAACTTAAAAAAAACGAAAACTCATGTCATCATTACATAATATCCAGGTGATTTATTTTATTCTTTCTAAGTTTATAGATCTTTTAGATCAACTACAACTAATGTAGTTTATCATTTTCAGGCAATGATAATGTTTCAAAGTCAAGGATGCTAGTTGTTATCCAGTATAATTCATCAGTTCATCTAAAAGATACAATTTATAGTATTGCATCAGTGCCTATAATCAATATATAAGTAAAAATGTATATAACTCCTCTACTGTATAATTAACTTCTAAATACGCCCTTCCTGCAAACTATAGAGAGCATCCCCTAAAGCAGGATTGGTGGAATACGTAGCCTTTCCAGCTTCCCCGGTGTCTCTGCATCCCTCAGAGTTGTCTGATCTTACTGTGCTGTGGGGTGCTTCTATCTATGGTAACCTAGCCTCCCATTCCTTCATTTGTCACCTCCTTCTTTCCTAAGGGGGAAAGTGTCATGTCCCCAAACTGAATGCCATCCTGGAAGAACTGGGCTATGAGCTGGAGGATGAGGAAATTGACGACCTAAGGAACCGTCTGCCAATTGAAGGTGAGCGTGTCATTGTGTCTTCCGAAAAACTCTCAGCTCTTCTAATAACCTCCCAAATGTACTCATGGAAAAAGCTGTTATCCCGGACTGCAATGCTTCAGCCAGAGATGACCTGTCTGTTAAACAGGGAGTCTCACTTGCAAGGCTAAACCCTGACGCCACTGAGAACTTGTAAAGATCTAAGAATCAAGAGAAATGGAACCAGGGGAACTCAGCAGGAGCTAAGAATCAGTGCCTAAGAGAGCCTAAACACCAAAGAGAACTGTGGAAGGCCATAGAGAGGTTCCTAGAATCAAATATTTGGAAACCCAGGACTGGGAAGAGTAAAGCCAAGGCTTCATCAAAAAGATCACATGACCACAGAGCTAGTTAATAGTGTCATCAGGGTGGTGCAGCTAGATGTGTCACCTGTGCCACAGGCTTCAGGATTCAGAGTCAGAAAGTCAGTCAGGCTCACTTTGAATCACATGCCCACATGACCAGGATAGGGTAGGACACACCCTCCCCGAGAGGGGAAAGCATAACACTCAAGTGACACAGGAATATGTGTCACTTAGCTGATTGGGGTAGAGAGTATTTCTTAATTGCATTATCCTCAGTTCTCAGCTTGGGGTGATAATATAGACTTAACTTCTTAAAGTACATTATTTGGGCCAGGCAGTGATGGTGTACACCTTTAATCCCAGCACTCAGGAGACAGAGGCAAGCAGATCTCTGAGTTGGAGACCAGCCTGGTCTACATAGTGAGTACCAGGATAGCCAAGGCTACGGAAAGAAACCCTGTCTTGAAAAATATATATGTCTGTATAAATAATTAGACCAATTTCTGTAATCCTATAAGGAAAATAGAGAGGCTATAACTTTCTGTCTTGAAGCAGTATCGAAACTTCCATCGATATTACAATGTACTGTGTATTGCTTGGAGTTAAAATTATGAATAATGTATGTATTTAGAGCCAATCTTCTAGGAGTCACTCCACCTGGAAATTTTATTACATCTGACTTTCTTTGTTTTATGCTGTTATAACAGAATATATAAGACAAGTTAAATTATAATGAGGAGAAATTAATTTCTCATAGTCGTAGAGGCTAGGAAGTCCAATATCAAGGAATTAACATGGCAGGGCCTTCCTGCTTCATCACCCTTAGCAGAAAGCAGAAAGGTAAAAGGCATGTGTTTGTGTGAGAGAGAAACAGAGACAGAGCATGCAAGAGTAAGCAACCAGGTGGGACTCAAGTGGGGGTGGGTATGACTCACATTCATAACAAAACAATTCCCAGTGGTAAACCTGCCTGTGCAGTAATATCAGTTCCTCAGGACCCTGCCCACATGATCCCATCCCCTCTTAAAGATCTCACCTCTCAGCACTGTTACCATAGAGATTATCTCCAACACATAGTTTGGGGGCCACATTCAAACCATCAGGGGCTCCTGAGTAGCCTGCCTTTGTCTTTCCACTGAAAATCTTTACTCTAAGTGAGATCTGACTTGCCCACTGACTATTTGTACAATTACATGAAGAACATTTAATTTAACAAGAACTCAGAATTGCATACTAATTCAATAGCTAATGTAGGAAACTAGCAAATTCCCTTTCTCTGTTTTCATGCTGCTGCACCCCTGGCCATATAAGCTAACAATATCTATGATGTAACCACAGTTAATACTTATCAAATATTAACTAGCTACTATGTATATGGCACCAGATCTATGTTATCGATTGTCCTGAAGCAGCCCTGTGAGGTAGGTTATTATCTAAATTTCTTTGATGTGGAACCTGCGGGTATATCACAGAGGTTGATTAATAGGACCTGAATTCAGGTTTACATAACTTAAAAGGATTTAACTTCTCTACCAAATAATATTGCTTTTTAGAAAAACACAGAGCTGTGGGTTATGATTGAATTATGCTTTCAAAGGATGATGTGACCGAAAAATAAGATTTTCAACAAATCAGCACATAATTTAAACAAGACAAATGTTGGAGGCTTTGGAGTTGAAAGCATGAACAGAGTATTCAATAATGATTGCATGTATAGCAAGTAGGAAGCTAAGGCAGGTTCAGGGGCATCCTAGAATGCCTATTTAGAGACTTCCAGGTCAGTCTGGGCTACACAAGAATGTCACAATACTGCTTTTTAAATATGAAATACTAAGGTGATCAAACTGATAGCTCTTGAATTCTAAAGTGGAACAGGTCAAGTGGGAAGATTAAATAATTCCTTTTAAATTTCCTAGTACCATTGTGTACTAGGTTGACACATTCTGAAATTTATCCTTTGGTGCTATATACATATATATATATATATACATATATATATCATATTTAGACCTTCAGTTTTCAATCCCATGCTCATTGGGGACGAAAATTAATGCATTTACAGAACAATGTAAATGTTCATATTTTAGTTCACACTGTAAGGTCTTAAGTATTCTGGGTCTTATTTGTGCTTTGTCTTACAGATGAGAAAGTTAAACTGAGTAAGATGATGGAAAATGTAGAGTCACTCACTGGTAAGTAAAGGGCCATGGAGAAAAAAAACAGTGCTAAATGGCAATATTCTATAGAATTTTATACTTTTAAATATCCATGTCTCATCATAGGTGCTTTGTTAGCATATTAACTTGTTGGTCCTGCTGGTATATTAATATGTTTTATAGATCTTTGTGATATGGCTCAAAAGGCAAAAACATTGGTACCAAGCTCGATGACTTGAGTTTGATTCCTGAGACCCACATATTAGAGAGAACTGACTCCTACAAATTGTCCTCTGACCTCCACAAGGGTGCCCCGAATAAACACACTAAATAAGTAAATGATAAGTGTAATGACAAATAAAAACATTTATTCAGTAGTCCAAGTGAGTTATATGCTTCTTGACAAATCTGTTAAATTTTTTATTGTTGTAGTATTCTAGATTTTCCTGAATTTTTTCAAGGATTCAAATTAGATGCACTGTCAAAAGCCAAAATAAACCTAGGTAACAATGATCATTGGTGAAATAATGCATTATAAGTAATCTTTTTAGTGATAAATTGTTGCAGAGCTTCTTGTCCCACCAGGTCCCACCACTTCAGCCCCAAATAAACACACAGAGATGCTGTATTATTTATTAAACTATTGGCCAGTGACGAGGGCTTCTTACTGGCTAACTCTGTCTTAATTATTAACCCATAACTACTAATCTATGTATTTCTACATGGCCTTATCTTACTGGAGAATGCCTGGTGTGTCCTAACCTTCCAGTCTCTCCATGGCGTCTCCTTTGGCGGGCTCTCCCTGACTACCTTTCCCAGAATTCTCCTTGTTTCTTAGACCCACCTATCTCCCTGCCTCTACTGGCTGTTGGCCAAACAGTGTTTTATTCATTAACCAATAAGAGAAACATATATACAGAAGAACATTCTCCATCAATAAATCACCTTGTCATAATATCATGTAGAATAAAAAATAGGGAATGTGTAGCTGAAGAGCTATTGGCAGTTTTTAACCAATTGTTGAGAGGGAGAGTCTACTTACTTCAATGGTGTGGCCCAAAGTAGGCAGCTCAGTAGATGTTGCCTGTGTACACGTGCATAGGGCAACAGGAATCCAACTTGGGGTTATAGAAAGAGAGAGAGAGAGAGAGAGAGAGAGAGAGAGAGAGAGAGAGAGAGAGAGAGAGAGAGGAAGGGGAAAAATACATGAAGATGAGCAGGGGGATATGAGTTGGAGGGTTGGAGGTGTAGGTAGGTATGTTCTGGATACATTATATTCATATGTGTAATTACCAAAGAATAAAAAATTTTAATTGGCATTATAAAAGTATGTATATAGACATTTATACCATAGACATACTGTTCTCTGACTTCCATTTCATAATATTGGTTTATACTGTTGTTCTTAGTGAAATGATGTGCATGAGATAGTTACTTACAACCACACTGATTAAGCCAATAAAAAGTATTAAAACTTTTTTTGGGGGGGTAGGGGCCAGGTTTGGCCTGACCAAGAGTGGACTTGAGCCTTTGAAAAGTCTCTTGGTCCTCAAGCTCAGGGATAGAGTTTCTAAAGGCAAAAACCACAAAGACCATAATTTACATCAAAGTTATAAAAGGGTTAGAGGAACCTTGAAATATTCAATTCCTGGCAGAGAATAGTAATTTAGATATTACATGTGGATTATTTTTTACTTATTTTTTCAAGTTATTTTAGTTTTTTCTTTTAATTATTTTGGTTAATACATCTGGACAATGGTCAAGGCCATGAAAATCTCAAATGTGTTGCCAAGTCAGACATGACTGTTGGGGAAGAGAATAAAGGGCTGAGAACTGTCTAAACCATCACAAAATGGAGTCAGGACAAGATGGCATCGCCTTAGGCATTTCATTAGATCTTACAAAATTATTTTTCTGTCTAGAATTAAGCAGCTGATATCTCTTTCTGATATCCTTTCAGACTCTCAACTCAGACTTTTAATTATTTGATCCTTGAGGTGAATGTAGATGACTCTCACAGTTAAAACTCACTTGTTGCTGTCATTTCCATTTTTTCCCCAAGGAAATAAAGTGAATGTTGATGGAATACATGGTATTTTCAAAACCATAGGGATAGCACTCACACCTAAGGAACGCTGGGGACTGCTGGAGACTCTGCCTGTCACCTGTGAGCATTTCTGATTCCACCTCAGCTCCGAGGGGACTTAGTTTGGGGGGGGTATGTCATGGGGCCTGAGGGGAGGTCATTGAGCATGCATTCCACATTTGTTTGCATTCAACATATTGAAGACTTCTTAAATGGTAAGATTATAGTCAAAAGTCTTTGCATTCATGAATGACATAAGTGTTCTATGGAGACTGGATTTGAGAACTTCTAAAGATAGAAATTAGATTATGAATGAAGGTCTGATTACAAATTTTTGAGTTGAGATATTACTTCTGGAATGTCTGAAAGCACAAAGAAAAGTAAAGACAATACAGAAGGGAAGACAAAAAGGAATGCATCAGCATCACTACTAGCCTAGCGAAGTACATCTAGAAGATCCAGTGCTTCACTTTAGCGATAAAGCCAAATTGAAGAAAGCTGTATGGATATCAGACTGAATAAGCCAGATCGTATAAGGTGATGGTCTTCATGGTGATGGTCATGATATGGATGTCAGTATTTCTTTGTCTGTGATACTGATTATGTCTTCCTTTCCAGTGGATAATAAGGTGTATCGCAACCGATTGTTGGATGGTGTAAAAACTTTTCACAGTGAGTAACAAATAAAAGGTCAAGTGAGACAGGCCCTCAAGTTTGTGTTTCTCTCTGAAAAGTCTGCTTATTACTTAATGGTAACAGTAGTTTTTCTGTTGTGAGTTGTTCTGAGGTGCTATTCTGTCCCACACAAATAATACAGTGGGTAATTTTCTTATCCCCACTTCCCACATGAGTTACACATGGAAACAGTTATTTGAGGCCATATTCTGGCCCATTATGCTATATTCAACCATTTATTGATCTTTTTATCCCCCCTATGACTTTTAGTTTAAATTTATAGAGATAGTTTACTATTATGTCAAGTTTTAAACTTGGAAGCCACAATTATGGTTGTTTCTGACATCTCCTCTATGAATAAATGAAGAACAACTAACAAACGTTAGTCACTTCCTTTGCTTCAGATGTCTACTAAAAACTTTAGCAGCACCATACCTTGTGACACACCTAGGGGAGCTCCTTTCTTCTCCTCCCATCTATCCCCTACCACCTTTTTATTCTTTCTCAAACATGCACAGCCTTGCTTCCTTCCCTCCTTTGCAAATCCATATAACTAAGTAGAAATTTAAAGCATAATTTTACGTTTTCTTCTTATTTCATCTCTTTCTTCCTTTCTCAAGGAGGGAAAGGTTTTACAGATAAACTAGAAAGCATTATGGAAAACTTGAATTACAGTGTTGGAAAAAAAGACATGAAAAGTCTACAGAACTTCCTGAAAACTGATGGTATTTCATTTACTACTTCTGATTTCCTTTATGAAAAATCATTGAGCCCTTCCTGTAGACTCTCTAGGGGAGATTTTTGCTCAGTTATACTTAGGAAGGAAGAAATACTCAAGGAGTTATAATCCTCAAGGGTAAAAATAGGGCTTTTTCCAGGTGTGGCAGCACACACCTTTAGTCCCAGCCCTTAGACTGAGGGTGGGGGCAGAGGCAGGCAGATCTCTGTGAGTTTGAACCCAGCCTAATCTGCATAGTGAATTCTAGGCCAGCTAGAGCTACATAATAAGTCCCTGTCTCAAAAAAATGGATGATGAAGAGATAGATAGATAGATAGGTAGATGGACAGATAGATAGATAGATGTAGATAGTTAGATAATATACTCTATTAATCTATTATCTACCAATATTGACAGAGGACTGATAAAGGTATGGCTAAACTTATATTGGATACCACAAGGAATTTTTAGAAGTATGGGATAGCTGGTAGGAAAGGTCAGAAACTGACAAGTCAAGTGAGGAGGGAAAGGAAATCTGGGGTTGTTTGACATGGAACACACAGTAAAAGACAGCATGTTTTCATCCAGGAAATGAAAGGAGAATGTCAGACAGGGTAGAAGTAGAATGCCAGGGATTTCAGCCTGGAAAAAAAAGCTATGTATCTATCACCAAAAGAAGTAAAAGTAACTTTTAAGTAGAAGAAGATCTAATTTAGCATGCTAACTCACCTTCTTTAAAAATTCTATTACATGATTGGATACATTCAGAGAGTAGCAAATGTCCCCTGTGAATCTAATGACAACTTAGAAAATTTCACAGGAAAACAAGTGTGGTCTGTGTCTGACTTGTGCTTTGTGTTTCAGGTACTGGGAAGTTCTCACTGAACTCCTTGGTGAATGCAGCCAATTTGTTTTCTGGTGAGAAGTATTCATAGCAAGATTTAAAGTCAAGATCCTCTGGGGTGTGTGTGTGTGTGTGTGTGTGTCTATATGTGTGTGTCTGTGTGTGTGTCTGTGTGTGTCTGTGTGTCTGTGTGTGTGTATGTGTGTGTGTGTGCATGTGATCTCCATTTCCCTTCTCACTGTACGAGTGTACACCGCTGCATCTGGCTTTATTACTTGGATTCTAGTAGCTGAACTCAGATCATTAGATGTCTTGTACAGTAGAGGCTTTTGTTCTTCTCCCTGGCCCCATGTTTTAATTTCATTGAGTAGGATTTCCATTCTTTAATTTTTATCTCTGCTTCTTCTTGACCCTATGGATTTTTAGGTTTGGTGTCTTGATCATATCCCATGAGTTCATATAAGCCATAGTCATTATTTTTTCTTTATTGCTATCTAGTTGTAATATTTCTTCAGCCTTGTTTTCAGCCCCAGATATTCCTTCTTCTGCTTGATCTATTTTATTGGAAATTTTTCTACTTTTTTTTAGTTCATTAAGGATTTTTTTGATTTCTAGTATTTTAATGTCCTTGCTGAGTTTTCTCATCCATGTTGCTAACTTTCTCATCTATATTGCTGATTTTTTCCAGGTCCTGAATTTCTCATATGCTTGTCTGTATACTATTTGAGGCTACTTATCACTTTCAGGACAGGAACCTGAAGAGCACCCAGTTGGATACCCCCTTTCACAAGATACACCCTACCAGTGCTGCTGGGAATGGGAGAAGCCCATGCAGCTGCTGAATCTCCACCAAGTATCCCTTGGGCTATTGACAGTGTAAAAGTTAATTAAATGAAAGCAATTTGTGTGGCAGGGCAGGGCACAGACACTGAGTGACTTTAGGTACCTGGCTTTGCTTATCTCCAATCCAGCTCCCACACACAACCTCAGGTAGTCTACATATGGTCTTGCAGTCCTTCCAGACCCTGGGGCCTGCGTGGATCTGTTTCCAAGTTGCATACAGTTTCCTGGGGTCAGGCTGATTCTCAGAATGGTTGCTAGTTTAGCCAGGGAGGTGAGGAAGACCTTTAGGGTCTTCAACTCTGATTGCCTTAAGAAACCCTTTCCCCCTCCCCCCAGTTTCCAGCATCTTCCTTCTGCATGGATGGTAGATCTATCTTTTCTTTTTTTTATTCTTTGAAGAATAACTGACTGGGTACCCATGGAGCTCACAATGACTTTTATTTTCCATTTTGCTTAAAGGCCTACTGTGAAGGGTTGCTGCATTACCAAACTGTGTTGTTTAAGATAATTATTCGTAGCTTATTTTTTTCAATCTTAATTTTAACATGTCCCAACTTTGCCTGGTCTCTGTCTGTTTACCGCTGTGTTCCTGTGCCTTGCCATGCCACCCTTCCTTTTCTGCCACCCCTCACTGAAGACTTCCCCCTCTTCACTCGTCCTTCCCCCCTTCCACTGTTGAAGGATACATGCTGACATGCTTTCCTTTATCTCCTTCTTGTGATGCCCCCAGAGATAAGCCTCACTGCGTTTTCAGATTTCTGCTACTATATCTCTTACAACTGCATCCTTATCATTTCCTTGATGAAGTCCTTCTATATGAAAATGCTCATTTATTATGTCTCTCATCTTTTTAAAGGTCAGAAAATGAATGTCAAGGAAATACAACCATATCTGGAAAGCTTAGGCATTGAATTAACAGACAGTGAAAGCCAGATGATACAGAGCACAGTTCCATTAGATGGTAAGTAGTTCAGACCCCACCATTAGCATTCCTAGGCTTGAACTGTATGTATAGGGTTATATGTGCATAGTCACTTAACAGCTTGTTGAAAATTAAAAGTAAGAGCCAATTTTGACAAAAGTGTACTTTTATAACTATTGGGGTGCTAAATTGGGAGATAATACTGTTTGGAGATACTGGTAATTATGATAAATAATATTAAATATTGGACTTGAGTATCTGTAACATGCCTAAAGCTAAAGTTAGAAAAGATGATGTGCAAAAGATTTGTGGAATGAAAAGGAAGGGAACCTTGAAGAACAATAAAGCAACCGTGTTTCAATATGTTTAAGTTCCACTTGCGGTATATCAGATACCACAAAAGAACAGTTAGGCCCTGCGGTGGTGGCACACACCTTTAGTCCCAGCACTCAGGAGGCAGAGGCAGGCAGTTCTCTGTGAGTTCAAGGCCAGCCTGGTCTACAGAGTGAGTTCCAGGACAGCCTCCAAAGCCACAGAGAAACCTTGTCTTGAAAAACCAAAAAACAAAAACAAAAAACAAAACAAGACAGTTAGCCTTGTGAGTCCCAGTAAACTAATAACATTTATAAACAGGACTTTCTGGATTTCAACTTCCTCTAATTAATGTGACCTTTATCTTACAGATGAAGACCTGGTGTATAAAAATGTGTTGATGGACACTCTGCGGACCTCCAGAAGTGAGTGCAAAGTGTTCTGACGGGGAAACTACGGACCCTTCTTTCTCTGGTTACATTACTAATTGCATTACCATATTGTGTGATGTAAGCACTAGAACTGTCTATCAACAGTTGCCATAATCACCCATATGTCTGTAGCAATTTTAAATCTTTTTATACTGGTAAGAAATTGTTGGCTGAGTTTTCAACTTCTATAATAGTAAGTCTTGCCTACTCTTCTCTTCTGGGTAAACTCCTCCTAAAGACAGTTGTCACAGTGTTCTCTAGAGCACAGATAGGGAAGACCTTTCCTCTCACAAATTCCCAACTGATTTATTTTACCACCTCAAGGACTTCATGGTGCTGTGACTTTTTATCTCCTGGTTGTATGGACTGATGGGTGTGGGTAATAATTTTTTTCCTTTTGGCATAAAAGCAAATTTCTTTTATTCTTTCCTTCTTAAGGTGGAAAAGTCAACATGGATAAAATTGATGATGCTATTGAACACCTAGGATTTCCTCTTGAGGAAGAGGAAATAGAGGAATTGTCTAAAAATCTACCAGTTAATAGTAAGTATTTCAAACACACCATGCTCTATAAAAAGAACTTCAGCTCTTTTGTATAGCATTCCTAGGAGGTGGGCTGCATCAAAATGAAGTTGAATTATCTCCTCCCCTGCTACTAGCTGTCAGAAACTCCCTGAAGCAGATGAGTCAGAGTTTCACACTTTCTATGAGAAGTACATGGCCACAGAAGCAGCTGCTGGTACTCCGGGTGAAATGTGGAAGGATTGCATGGTCTGAATCAGTGGTGGGGATGGCAGACAAGGTTGCCCCCAGGCAAATATCTTGACCCATGGCAGAGTGTACCTGCTATTTAGTAAGGGGCACTCCTGTCATAGACCAAGGAGAACTGAGAGAGGAAATCAAGTCTTTTCATGGATATTTTGTGGAAGCCAGTTTGAGTGTTCTCAACTTAGTTATCATTAGAGGGGGGGGATGGGGAGAAGAGGATATTCCTGAACTAACAAATACTACTGTGCCTTTGCAGTTGGGGCCCAAAAGAGCTAGCATAATCTAAAAGCTTTCAAATCTTTCTAAAGAAGATGATGTCCACCAATAATGCAGTCAGAAAGTCCTTAAACAAAGAAGGTAGCAAGTCTAGGACCAAAGTATCCAAGATTCAGCATCCTGTTACTCCATGTGTCCTGCAACACAAATGCCAACATAGTGCTCTGAAGAAATGAAGAAATGTGGAGTCCTCTTTCCCCTTGGGTCTGTTGGCCACCAAGCCAAGAGGGGAAAGAGGCAGATGGGGATGACAGAAAACTTTGGTAGCATATGAGCACAAATGGAGACACCCCTCCAGGAGACAGATTTTGATGAATCAGCTCAACTTTAGTCCAGAGTATAGGAATATATATAATTAGAAAGTCTGGGGACAAACCCTAATTTGCATTAAGTGACACACTCCTTTCACAAGGCTTAGTATGTGGCAGAGCTCCTAGCACAAATTGTGCCAAAGGTCAAGCTAAAGATGAATCGAGCATCTGTTTTTAGAGATGCTTTTAGATAAGGTCAGTCCTCCAGGCACAGGGACATTCTCCAGATAAGGGCAGGTGGGAGAGCAGGAAGTTTTGCTGGAGGGAGAAAGCTCCATACTGTTGCTAGGCCCTGGGAGGCTGCAACCTCTTACCAGCCCGCCAGCAATGTCTCCCAACAAAGAAACAACACAATAAAAAAAGAAAAATGAGGTTCCTCCTAAGCCCTTGGTGAGCCAGTGAGTTATTGGGATACTTGCAGAACTTGGGTGAGGGATGACTGGGAGCATCACCACAAAGCCCTGCCTCACCATGGATGACAGCTTGTGGAAGCTGCGTCACGGAGTTTCACTTCAGGCATTCCTCTACTTCTTTTGTATTCTCCAGCATCTCCCACAGTCACTTGCAGTGGAGCATGGGAAGGAGACCAAAGGGAGTTGTCTTAGTCAATGTTCTCTTGCTGTGAAGAGACACCTTGACCACAGCAACTCTTTAAAAGAAAGCATTCAATTGGGGACTGGCTTTCTGTTTCAGAGGGCTAGCCCATAACCATCATAGAGGGAGCATGGTGGCAGGTAGGCAGGGTCCTGGAGCTGAGAACTTTACATCCTGATACACAGGCAGGAGGGAAGGAGACAGGGCCTAGCATGGGGCTTTTGAAACCTCAAATCCCCGCCCCCCCAGTAACATACTTCCTCCAATATGACCATGCCTCCTAATCCTTCTAATTCTATCAAACAGTTTTACTTCCTGGTGAGTAAGCATTCAAGTATATGAGCTGACTGGGGCCATTCTTAGTCAAACCACCACAGGAATCATAGCAGGAATCCCAAGTGAGGCTCTGTGGTCTTCTTCTGCCAAGGAGTGTTAGTAGCTCTATTACCACAGACCTAGTTGTCATGGTATTATTTTGGTCAGTTACTTGCCATGGCTACTTCGCCAGCACATCGAAGAGAAATAAGCCAGACTACAACAATACTATATACCTAACAATTATATTTAGTAAATCCATAGATATCAAACTTTAGATCCAAAGAAATCACCCTCTCAGAATTGTGTTCAAGTGGATCTGGGGTAGAGCTCATGAGTTTTTATTAAAAATAAGTAACCCTGTTACAGTTCTTTTTTTTTTTTAGTTAAAAATGAAAGACATATTTATTGGGGCTTAGTAGTCTTTTCATAATCTTTAGCAAAAAAGACTTAAGTTGAAACATTGATGCTAAGCATGATAAGCATCTTTTGCATAGTGAGATAATGTTGAGGACTGATAGCAGTTTGATGAACATCCCCAAAGTGCTTGTCAACCAACCTTATCTAATGCAACCGAATCATGCTTCAAATCGTAAGATTTCTGCTTGCCAAAAGAATGATTGCCTAATTTTCTAGACCAGTGTCTAATCCTCTTGTTCAAGACTTTGTGTAACATAGGAGTCGAGGAAGATGATGCAAACTTACATTGGAATATTGCAAGCTGGCTAAATGTCACAACATAAATATTAGCGGGTTTTGCCTACGTTCCTCAGAGGGTGGTAGAAGCCTCGTCTCAAAGCTGTAGTCAAAGATGGAGCACTTAGCAAAGGGCTCTAAAGAGCAGCTAGGGGATACTAATTTTTTTTAATTTGGAGGAAATACATACATTTCTGTGTTTTGTGGAGTATTCTCTGATGGGTCTGAAATTGTTTGTAAGCCTGTGGCTGCTGTGTGCACTACGCGTGATCTGCAGAGACCAGAAGAAGGGTCAGAATCCTTGGAACTAGAGTTATAAATGGTTCTGGGCATTAGCTCCTGCCACTATGGAAACAGACATTTTGTTGCCTGTTGCATCCTCAGCACTGTAAAGGGGCCTGGATACAGTAGACACCCAACAAATACACAATGCATTAAAAACTAAAAAATAGCCGGGCGGTGGTGGCGCACGCCTTCAGTCCCAGCACTCGGGAGGCAGAGGCAAGCGGATCTCTGTGAGTTTGAGGCCGGGCTGGACCGATAGCCTCCAAAACAATACAGAGAAACCCTGTCTCGTAAAAACCAAAAAAAAAAAAAAAAAACTAAAAAATAAAATAGTTTTCCCCTATTGTCCTCACTAATGACTGAAGTCAGGAAGAATGACAGAGTATAATGAACATGTTTACATTCTTCTTTTCCTCAACTTTATGCTTATAAAGACAACAAAAATAAAAATGTCTAATTAGAAAACAATTGTAGGCCATTGTTAAATCACTGAACACTCACAGGTTTTTTGTTTTTGATTTTTTTGGTTTTTTGAGACAGGGTTTCTCTGTGACTTTGGAACTAGCCCTTGTAGACCAGGCTGATATCAAACTCAGAGATCCGCCCACCTCTGCCTCCCGAGTACTGGGACTAAAGGCATGTGCCGCCACCACCCAGCTGTACTTTCACAATTAAGAATTTTATTTAAACCCTGTATGAGTCTGTTCCAGCTGCCATAACAATGTAGCACCGATTGGGGCTGTGTTCCTAGCCTGCACATGGTTGGTTTTCCAGAGTGTTCTCACTTAACCAAGGGAGCTGGAAGAGGGCTGGCTCTCACTCCTTCCAAACCATAGCTTCCTCTGATCATGCTTCACCCTATGATTTTATTCAAACTTCCAAAGACCACATTTCCAAATACAGCCACATGAGGGATTAGGGCTCCAGTGTACACATTTTGAGGGAATGTGACTCGACCCACAGCAAGGTTTATCTAACCTTGTCTTGTATTGCAGATGAGAGGAAAGTCCAAATGGATTTGCTTCTGAAAGAAGTAGATACGATTTTAGGTGAGTGAGAAGAAACGATGGGGAAAGGGGTGAAAATGATCTCTTGCCTGGTGTGGTATCACCTGCCTATAATTCCAGGGCTCCAGAAGGAGGTTTCATATGACTTTGAGACCAACCTGGGCTGTATAGTAAAATACTGTGGTCCAGTGAGAGGGTTTATCAAGTAAAGGCGCTACCACACGAGCCTGACTGTGAACCCACAGGGGAAGGAGAGAGTTCCTCCACAGAGTTGTCCTCTGACCTCCACTGGGTTATTATGTATAACTAGTAAATAAAAGTAATTTTGAAACAGATCTCTTAGTATATAAAATAAGTTTTGTTGTTGTTACTGTTTCTTTGAGCAGACTGCATTTGTTTTTTTGAGCCCTGGCTGTCCTGGAACTTCATTTTTTTGTAGACCAGATTGACTTCGAACTCACAGAGACTAGCCTGCCTCTCCTCCTGAGTCCTGGGATTAAAGTATACATAGCCACCACACCCGGCTATATATAAAACAAGTTTTTAAAAGTATTTTTTGTTATCCATGGCAAAGTAATCATGTCATTCTAAGTATTTGTGCTGGTAATCACAGTGTCTGCTTTATAAACTGACATCTTTGTCAGAATCATTTATTTATACCAACTTTGTTTTGCTTTATTTTGAGACCGAGCTTGACTCTATAGCTATGGCTGGCTTGAAACTCACTATGTAGACCAAGCTGGCAGTTCTCAAGATCATAGAGATCTACCTGCTTCTGTCTCCCTAGTGCTAGAATTAAAGGCCACCATGCCTGGCCTGTATCTTATTTTAAAGCCAACAGAAGAATTTCCCCAACAGCAAGCCCATATTCTTTGAAGTTTCTCAGTAACATAGTTTTTCTTTATTTTATTTTATGTGTATATTTTATTTTGTTTAAGTAAAACAAAATATTGGGGGGGAGCTTTTTGTGCTTTTTATGTCATAAGATAGAGTCCTACTGGAACCTAAGCAACATCAGTCATTACATAGCCCAGGCCAACCTCAAATCACTATACAGCCCAAAGTCATTACATAGCCCAGGTTGACCTCAAATCACTATACAGCCCAGGCTGGCCTCAGACTTACAGCCTGCTTCCTACATCAGCCTCCTACATGATGGGGTAAGAGGTATAAGCCACTACCCGTGACTAGCAATATGCTCTCTTTTTCTACTGTTTTAATAGTAAAATAACATGACAGATTTACACCTATGACATCTATGAACAAGGTCATAGTTCAGGCACAAATGAGGATAAAGTAAATGTTAGGTATAGGTAGAATGATTACCACCAGCTCATTTAGTGGTCTATTACAGAAACACTAACTTCCTGTGTGCTTGTTTCTTATTCCCCAAATTGAAGAGCTCCCTTAACAGCAGGAAGTTACATTTCTGTCAACCCTCCTGAAACAACCCTTCAGTGTTTCTATTGTTGGTGCTTAAAATATTTTTTGAGGTATAGTCATTTTATTTTATGTATGTAAGTGTTCTGCCTGCATGTGTGTCTGTGCACCATGTGTGTGTCCCATGGAGGCCAGAAGAGAGCATTGGATCCCTTGGAACTGAAGAGATAGATGATTGTGAACTGCCATTTAGGTGCTAGGAATTGAACATGGGTCCTCTGAAAAAGCAGCCAGTGCTCTTAGCTGCTGAGCCAGCTCTCTGGCCCTTGTTATTTTTTAAACTTTATATTTTATAACACTACTTAAACATTGTGATTTTGTTATTATTTAAAATTGTGATTTAATTATTTTACTATTGTTTTTATTTACATAGGGGAAGAAATTGACTATAATGACATGGACAATGTTCTTAAAAACATTGGGCTAAGACTCCACCTAAAGGAAAACAATGTATTAATGAAAGGCTTGCCAGTTGATGGTGAGTACTAACTCAGCCAGTATGTAACTTACCAGTGAGCTATTTACTAACCCAGTGAAAACTGATTAGGTACTAGTATCACAAAAATGAATATAGCAAAGTCTATAATGTATGATCTAGGGATAACAGTGAGGATTAAACAAAATAATGAACATGAAAAAATGTTTTAATCATAAATATTACATAAATTTTAAAATGTACTGTATTTTGATAAGTAAGAATTCAATTGCGACTATTAAATTATTTGTCTTCTTGTCAGCATATAGTCTTTATACAAACTATAAGGTTTCATCATATGTTCAAACATATACTCATTGTACTCTGATCCTCATTCCTCCTTCATCCTTTGCTATCCCCCACAACCAATAGGAGACCCTTTATTTTCATGTCTTTTTTTAATCTAGATTCTGCATATGAGAGCAGAAAGCATTGACCAGTGATAAAGAAGAGCCTAGGATAGCCAAGGCCCTAGGCTTGATCCCTGCAAAACACACACACACACACACACACACACACACACACACACACACGAGATTCTGCAAAAAAGAAAAAACATGGTGTTTGTCCTTACAGATATGGCTCACTTACCACTTAACATCATGACACAAAAGCAGTTCTGTCCATTTTCTTCCTCCACACCTCTGCTGATGAGCATCTAGGCTTATTCCAGTACCAGATAATAGGACCAGTGCCACAATAAACTTGGGTGTTTAGGCATCCCTACTGTGTGCTGAGGGTAGGAGGGAGGCAGGGAGGTTCATCTAGCCACTAATTTTCAAGTGGATAGATTTACTATCATTTTGTTATTGTTGTTGTTTTCGGTTTTTCTAGACAGGGTTTCTCTGTGGCTTTTGAGGCTGTCCTGAAACTAGCTCTTGTAGGCCAGGCTGGTCTTGAACTCACAGAGATCCACCTGCCTTTGCCTCCCGAGTGCTGGGACTAAAGGCATGCGCCATACCACCCAGCTTAGATTTACTATCTTAAGAACTTTCTCCTATTCCAATTCTTAGCTTGTGATTTAAAAAAAATACAAGGGAAATCCCTAGAGTAGTTTCCTGAGACTGGACTTTGAGCTGTGTCATAGGAGCCCTGGATTCTAACTCTGCAGTTGTGTGCCTTGCTTTGCAGCTGCCGGGAAGGTGTACAAGCACAAGCTGATGGACAGTGTCATGTCCCTCAAAGGTAAGTGAGAAACTGGGTAAGACTGACTTCCCATGTTTTGCTTTCCGTGTTCTGGCTGATGGCAAATCTGTTGCTTGGCCTGTTTTGTTTCCTGAGTTGTTAAGTCGTTTGCTGCTTTAAGCACAACCTGTGAAGACATATGTTTGACTCTCACAACATGTCAAGTCTGTTTGCTTAGAGTCCTAAGTCTGAGTGGGTTTTTGCTAGAACTCAGCAGACTTACATTAACTCCTTATGAATGTCACTGCAGGGGCCATGGGAGGAACACAGAGCAGGTTCTGGTCCCAAGTCCTGTGACAGCTCTTTCTTCAAACAACTGTATGTTTGACTCTCACAACATTTCAAGTCTGTTTGCTTAGAGTCCTAAGTCTGAGTGGGTTTTTGCTAGAACTCAGCAGACTTACATTAACTCCTTATGAATGTCACTGCAGGGGCCATGGGAGGAACACAGAGCAGGTTCTGGTCCCAAGTCCTGTGACAGCTCTTTCTTCAAACAACTGTATCCTCTGATTGCTCACACTTTATTTAATGCACGGGCATGACTAGCACTTCTAATTGCTTTTCTCCTTCCCATGCTGTTTCTTAAGGACTGCAGCTTGATTTCAAAAAGATAAAGACTTTCATGGAAAGTATGGGTTATGAACTTGAGGAGAATGAATACGAAGACCTGATAAATTACCTGCCTGTTAATGGTAAGTTGCCCCTAACTTTGGATTTATATATGAGGATTTCAGAAAGAAAATCTGGGTTTGTGCCAAAATATTTAAAAGAAGAAACAAACAGCCAAAAGATAGAAAGTCTTGTCCTCAAGGCTGAAGAGTTGGCTGACTTATAAGGATATTCTTAATTCCTCTGCGGGCACCCGCAGAGTTGTTCATAGCACCCACACTGACTGCTTACCACCTGTAACTTCTGGCCTCCAGGAAAACACACACACACACACACACACACACACACACACACAATTTAAAATAATAAATCTTGTTTTAAGTCTAGGTGCTGCTCTTGCAGAGGACCTGCGTTCAATTCCTAGCACCCACAACAGGCAGCTCACTACTGCCTGTAACTCCATTTCCAGGGGATCTGATGCCCTCTTCTGGATTTTTCAGGCACCAGGCATGCATGTGTTACACATACACACATGCAGGCAAAACACTCATACACATAAAAATAGATTAAAAAAATAAGTCTAATTCTCAAGAATTAATCAGTTCATTGAGTGCTAATATATGTAACTATTTGGAATATATCAACCTAACCCTCCATAGACTAGTAAAGAGGCCTAGAGGTCAAGGCATCATCATAGTGTTATCTAGCTGTAATATAATCCTGAAAATGCTTTCGCTGGGATTATGAAAAAACAAAAAGATAAATTTGCCAGGAAAAAATCCAGAGAAAGCTGCCTGATGTGCAAAAATTCTCTACTAATAACGGCATAACAGGTTGGGCAGTGATGGCACATGCCTTTAGTCCCAGCACTCAGGAGGCAGAAGCAGGCAGATCTCTGTGGGTTCAAGGCTAACCTGGTCTATGAAGCTACACAGGGAAACCCTGTCTTGAAAAACAAAAGGACAAGCAACAAAAAAGGCATTACATCTGATAAAAACAGTGCTTGCCAAAGGGTAAGGGCAACAAAATTGTGGAGCATCCAGGAAGACAGCAAGTATACCTTCAAGGCTAGAATTTCTGCTTCAAGTTCCAAAGTGTCCAGGGTAGTGAGGATGGACAGGGAAGTCACCAGAAGAGCCAGGTGGTTAAGTTTAGTCTTCTTCCTCTTGAGTCAGATTCTGTAGTTTTTGCCTTTCTGGAAATGCGTCCTTTTCACCTGAATTCTCTGAGTGTCAGTATGAAGTTACTTATATTCCCGTATATTCCTTTTAATTTCTGTAGCTGGCAGCAATGGTCTCTCTGGTTTGGGTCTTTTTTTTTTTAGTCTAGTCACAAAGGACATATTTTTCCTTGTTTTCCAGCTGTCTGGAAACACGAGTGAAATATTGCAACTATTTTTAGTTCTAGAAGTAGCAATTCTTTCCCTGAGGCATACTTTTCAGACTGGTGATCCCACAGGAGACACATTAGAGACCCATCTCCAACTTGTTAGTAGCTACCTGTGGACTAAATGCAACAAGTAAGATACCTTCCTCAGAAGGAATGGGAAGGAGAGAAGGGAGACACAGCCCTAGCTCACCACACTGTCTACTCTAGACATCCCCACTTAAGCAACTGGATATGTCAGATCCATCTTGAAATCTCAGGACTTGGGAAGTGGAGGTAGGAGGACCACCATAAGTTTGATGCCAACATGAAGTAAAAAGAGTTCCAGACCAGCCAGATCTACATAGAAAAAAACACTATCTTGAGATTATTAATTACTTAATTAAAGTAAATCAAATAACAGTGCCCTATTTAAGCTAGGACACTGGCACAACCCGAGCTCTCAGGCAGGAGGAGCAGAAGGTCAAGTTCATTCTCACCTTACAGCAAATTTTGGTCAGTGATAAGTGACACCCTGTCTCAATAAATAAGCATTTTAACTGTTATTAAAGTTAGCTAAGCACGGGGACCAGGTGGGAGGCTAAGCATCCCAGATTCCTGGTATTCTTCTCCACCAGAATGAGGACGAGGAATAGAAGAACTACCAGATTATTGGACTTGCTAGCACCCACCAAAGGGGAATTCTGGTCCCCTAGCCACCAGACCAGCAAGGGGCTCTTTCTGCACCCACTAGAAGAAGAGATAGGAAAAAGACAATACAAAAACACACTCAGCAACAGAAAAACAAAAATGACACTGCCAGATTCGAGAGACTCCACACCAGCAAGACTCCAACATTCCAACGCAAATGAAGCAGAAGAGAATAACCGTAAAATCACTTTCATGAAAATGATAGAGGCCCTAAAAGAGGATATATGAAAATCCCTCAAAGAAATGCAAGAAATGGAAGAAAAAACAAACCAAAAAATGCAAGAAATGGAAGAAGAAACAAACCAAAATAGGCAGGAAAAGGAAGAAAAAACAAACCAAAAAATGCAAGAAATGGAAGAAAGAACAAACCAAAAAATTCATAAAATGCAACAAATGGAAGAAAAGATAAACCAAAAATTGAAAGAAACAATGTAAACAGTGCAAGGGTTGAAAACTGAAATAGAAACAATAAAAAACACAATCTGAAGAAACTCTGGAAATAGAAAAGCTGGGCAAACAGTCAGGTACTACCGATACAAGCAATACCAACAGAATACAAGAGATGGAAGAGAGAATCTCAGGTGTTGAAGATACACTAGGAGAAATGGATTCATCAACCAAAGAAAATCTTAAGTCCAACAAATCCTTAACACAACACATCCAGGAAATATGGGATACTGTGAAAAGACCAAACCTAAGAATAATAGGTATAGAAGAAGGAGAAGAAAACCACCTCAAAGGGGCAGAAAACATACTCAACAAAATCATAGAAGAAAACTTTCCCAACCTTAAGAAAGGCATGCCAATAAAGGTACAAGAAGCTTACAGAACACCAAATAGAGTGGATCACAAAAAAAGTCCCCTTGCCACATAATAATCAAGACCCCAAATACACAAAATAAAGAAAGACTATTAAGAGCAGCTAAGGAAAAAGGCCAAGTAACATATAAAGGCAGACCTATCAGAATTACACCTGACTTCTCCATGGAAACTCTGAAAGCCAGAAGGTCCTGGATAGATATTCTACCAACACTAAGAGACCATGGATGCCAGCCCAGACTACTATATCCGGCAAAGCTCTCAATCACTATAGATGGAGAAAACAAGATATTCCATGACAAAACTAGATTCAAGCAATACCTATCCACTAACCCAGCCCTACAGAAAGTTTTGGAAGGAAAACTCCAACCCAAGGAAGTTAACTACAACCAGAAAAACATAGTCATTAGAGAATCCCTCTCTACCAACAGCCAAAATAACAAAGGAGTGAAATTCCACACATAATTCCACCAATAACAACCAGTCCAAATCAAAGAAGAATGAGCAATCAATGGTCATTAATATCCCTCAACATTAATAGCCTTAACTCACCCATAAAAAGACACAGGCTAGCAGAATGGATTGGAAGACAGAACCCATCCTTCTGCTGCATACAAGAAACACACCTCACCCTCAAACAGACATTACCTGAGAGTTAAAGGTTGGGAAAAAATTTTTCCAATCAAATGGACCCAAGAAACAAGCAGGGGTAGCAATCCTAGTATCCAACAAATTAGACTTTAAAATAAAATCAATAAAAAGAGATGAAAGAGGTCATCACAGGCAAAATCCACCAAGATGAAGTGTCTATCCTGAACATCTATGCCCCAAATACAAAGGCATCCACATTCATAAAAGAAACATTACTAAAAGTCAAATCACATATAAATCCCCACACACTTATAGTGGGAGATTTCAACACACCACTCTCACCACTAGACAGGAATACCAGACAGAAACTCAACAAAGAAGCAAAGAGACTAATAGAAGTAATGATCCAACTGGGATTAACAGACATCTATAGAACATTTCATCCACATAAAAAAAAAGAATATACCTTCTTCTCACCACCACATGGAACCTTCTCAAAAATCAACCACATACTTGGCAACATATCAAACCTCAGCAGCTTCAAAAAAATTAGAATAACTCCATGCATCTTATCAACCCACCATGCTTTTATTTTTCTTTTTTAAATGCTTTATTTATTTCTTTTTCTTTTTCTTTTTTTATTATTTATTTTTAAGTTTAAATTTAGATTAGAAACAAGGTTGCTTCACAAGTCAGTTCCAGGTCCTTCTCCCTTTCCCTCCCCTCCTCCCGTGCCCACCCCCAACTCCACCCCATTATCCCCTCATTTCCCCAGGGAGGGTGAGGCCCTCCATGGGGGTGTCCATAGTCTGTCATTTCATCTAGGGCAGGGCCTAGACCCTCCCCCCAAGAGTTCAAGGTGAGAGTGCATCTCACATTGTTGGATGGGAGTCCAAAGTCCGTGTGTATATTCGGGATGAGTACTGATCTACTACCTAAGGCTCAATAGATTACCTAGGCCTCCTCACTGACACCCCCATTCAGGGGGTCTTGATCAGTCCCATGCTGGATTCCCAGGCATCAGCCTGGGATTAAAGAGTTAACCTTTGTCAGGTCAGCTGTTTCTGGGGGGTTAAACCAGCCCAGTCTTAATCCTTTTGGTCATCAGTCCTCCCTCTCTGTTACTGGCTTTCTTGAGTTCAGCTCAGTGCTTAGCCATGGGAGTGTGCCTTTTCTGTCATCAGCCACTGAATGAAGGTTCTGTTTCCCAGACTCTCTGGCTATGGGATTGTAGGCTGGCACTCCCAGATCTATGTCTAAAATCCATATATGAGAGAGTACATGCTATGTTTCTGTTTTTGTGACTGTGTTACCTCACTCAGGATGGTTTCTTCTAGTGTCATCCATTTGCCTGCAAATCTCAGGATTCCATTGTTTTTTTCTGCTGAATAGTACTCCATTGTGTAAATGTACCACATTTTCTCTATCCACTCTTCGGTTGAGGGGCATCTAGGTTGCTTCCAAGTTCTGGCTATTACAAATAATGCTGCTATGATCATAGTGGAACAGACATCCTTGTTGTATGAATGGGCATCTTTTGGATATATGCCTAAGAGTGGAGTTGCTGGGTCTTGTGGTAGGTTTATTCCCATTTTTCCGAGGAATCTCCATACTGATTTCCAAAGTGGCTGAACCAGTTGGCACTCCCACCAGCAATGGAGGAGTGTTCCTCTCTCTCCACATCCTCTCCAGCATAAATTGTCTTCGGTGTTTTTTATTTTAGCCATTCTGACAGGAGTGAGATGGTATCTCAGAGTTGTTTTGATTTGCATTTCCCGGATGGCTAAGGATGTTGAGCACTTTCTCAAATGCCTCTCAGCCATTTTAGACTCCTCTATTGAAAATTCTCTATTTAGTTCTGCAGCCCACTTTTTAATTGGCTCCTTTGATGTTTTGGAGACTTGCTTCTTGAGTTCTTTGCAAATTTTGGAGATCAACCATCTGTCACATGTGGGGTTAGTGAATATTTTTCCCATTCTGTGGGCTGCCTTTTTGTCTTGCTGACTGTGTCCTTTGCCTTACAGAAGCTTCTCAGTTTCAGTAGGTCCCATTTATTAATTGTTGATCTCACTGTCTGTGCTACTGGTGTTATGTTCAGGAAGCTGTCTCCTGTGCCATTTCGTTCAAGAGTACCACCCACTTTCTCTTCTAAGAGGTTCAGTATGGCTGGATTTATGTTGAGGTCTTTGATCCATTTGGACTTAAGTTTTGTGCATGGCGATAAACATGGATCGATCCGCATTCTTCTACATGCCAGTCTCCAGTTATGCCAGCACCATTTTTTGAAGATGCTTTCTTTATTCCATTGTATATTTTTAGCTTCTTTGTCAAAGATCAGATGTTCATACGTGTGTGGGTTAATATCAGGGTTTTCAACTCGATTCCATTGGTCTACCTGTCTATTTTTGTGCCAATACCAAGCTGTTTTCAGGACTATAGCTCTATAATAGAGCTTGAGGTCAGGGATGGTGATGCCTCCGGACATTGCCTTGTTGAACAGGGTTGTTTTGGCTATCCTGGGTCTTTTGTTTTTCCATACAAAATTGATTATTGTTCTTTCAAGGTCTGTGAAGAATTGTGCTGGGATTTTAATGGGGATTGCATTGAATCTGTACGTGCCCCCAAGTCATTTCTCTCCCATCTGACAGTTCCCAAATAACCACTCAGAGGCTTAAAATAATTACAAACTGTTTTGTCTGTTAGCTCAGGCTTATTGTTAACTAGCTCTTAAAATTTAAATTAACCCATTTCTACTAATCTGTATCGCCACATGGCTTAGCTTACTGGTAATGCTGTGGCGTCTTACTCCTCTGGTGGCTACATGGCGTCTGCCACCTTCTTTCTCTCCATGTCTCTGTTTGGATTTCCTGCTTAGCTATATTCTGCCCTGCCATAGACCAAATCAGCTTTATTCATCAACAAATAACTCACAGCATACAAAAGCAATGTGAAGTCAGTGTCGTTTGCATCATCAGACTTCTTTCTTTCCTCATTTTCAATCCTAAATCAAATATTAAAAATTGGCTATACCACTGTGTTTTACTTCAGTATATAACCTTTTCTCTTTTTCTATGTGTATTATCATTCATGTACATAAACTGTGTCTTGTTTTACAGCTGATGGAACGGTTAATGTTAATGAGGTCATGGAAAAAGGGAGTCTTTTTACAGGTGGGTCACCAACCATTCCTGAGCATCTGTTAAGGATCCTAAATACAGATCTGTACAAACAACCATCCAGGTGCCTCAAGTAGTTGAATCTTCTGCATTTGAGGGAAAATATGCATAAACAAATGCAATAAAATCATAGGTGTTATTTTAAAAGCCTCATAAATAGAAAAGGATCTGCTGGGCAGTGGTGGTGCATACCTTAAATCCCTGCATGTAGATCTCTGAGTTCAAGGCCATCCTGGTCTATGGAGTGAGTTGCAGGATAGTCAGGGCAATGCAGAGAAACCTTGTCTCTGTATAGTCCTGCCTCGAAAAATCAGAAAGGAAAGAAGGAAGGAAGGAAGGAAAGAAGGAAGGAAGGAAGGAAGGAAGGAAGGAAGGAAGGAAGGAAGGAGGGAGGGAGGGAGGGAGGGAGGGAGGGAGGGAGGGAGAGAGAGAGAGAGGATGGATGGACTTAAGGATTTCTCAAGAGAAAGAGCACAGGAATTGATCCTTAAAAAGCACATCAGTGTTGTCTAGACACAGTAGGGTGGGCATTTTTGACAGAGGAAGAAGGACAAAGGGTAAGATAAGTAATTTGTTATGGGACATTTGATCACACTGTGTGAAAGGTGCCTTCTGAATGGCTTAATAAAGACCTGAATGACCAATAACTAAGCAGGAGTGGTTAGGCAGGACTCCCACAGAGAGAAAGGAACTCAGGGTTAGAATCTAGGTACAGAGGAGATGCCAGCCAGGTAGAGCAAGTCAGACATACAGAATGGAGGAGAGCTTAAAATGCCACGTGGCAGAACATAGATTAATAGAAACAGATTAATTTTAGTTATAAAAGCTAGTTGGGAACAAGCCCAAGCTAAAGGCTAAGCTTTCATAATGAATAATAAATCTCCATGTCATTATTTAGGGGCTAGTGGCCAAAAAGAAAGTCCAACTACAGAAATTGAATCAATTAGCATAAACCATAAGACTTGGGCATATTGGAAGGTTGGTGTCTTGTTAAAAGCAGTTAGCAGACAAGGAAGTGGTTCCACTGTGGCTGTAATTCCCAGAGCTGCTGACAGGCAAGCTTTAGGAAGCCCAGTGGTCCAACTTCACAGGAAAGGTCTTGAAAGTTCTAGGGAAAAACAGCCTATACCTCTTTCCTCCAGGCATTTGTGCAGATGAGCCTCCGAGCCCCTAGTCAGTCCTCTCCAAACAGAAGCTTTGTATGTGGACTCCGGGGGACTAAAATAGGAGTTTGCTTATGCTGCCCAGCATTAGGTTTTTCTTACTAGACCATATCATAGAGCTAGAGAAGAACCAACATGAGAGAAATTTCCACATAGCCATGGAGAAGATTGGAAGGGGGAAGGATATGTGGCTATTTACCCATGTTTGTGAAATAGTTTGTGATCCTGCATGTTTCCCTCCAGCACTTTACATTTTAAGAGCCTGGTGGTAGTGGTGGTGGTGGTGGTGGGGTGGTGGTGGGGCACACCTTTATCCCCAGCACTCGGGAGGCAGAGGCAGGTGGATCTCTGTGAGTTTGAGGCCAGCCTGGTCTACAGAGTGAGTTCTGGGATAGCCAGGACTACACAAAGGGGGGAAATCCCTCTAAACTAGTATTTCTGGACAGGAATAGAGGTGAGCTTACATTACAGAGGAAACCCGGACGTACAGTGGGTGTCAAGAGGAGAGAAAGAAGATCCACCAAATCTATAAGGTCCAACAGAGAGCCAGCTGAGTTAAGGTTTTCAAAAAAACCCTGGAGAAAAAAAAAGCATCATGTAGTGATATGGTGTGTGATTAAGAAGACTGCAGCGAGCTTGGAAGATAGCTCTGTAGGGAAGAGCACTTGCTATGCAAACATGAGGATCTGAGTTTGAATCTCAGAATCCACATAAAAAGCCAATATGGCCACACTGGTCCTTATGACCCCAGTGCTATGAGTGTAGAACAGGAGGATTGCTGGGGGTTTCTGGATGCCAGCATAGCTCCAGGTTCAGGGAAAGACCTTGTCTCAAGGAAATAAGGCAGACTAATAGAGCAGGGAACCAACATTGGCCTCTGTGCATACCTGCATAAGCATGTGCATATGCACACGATCCATACACTGCACACAGGAACACAGTCTATACACTGCACACACACACACATAATCCATATACTGCACACAGCCACACATGCACACTATACACAAAAAACCTGAAAAATCAGGTTCTAGTTTTTTCAAAAAAGTTATATTATAATAAAAATGTTTCCCTTGTTGGCATGTGCCCTCACTCTATTTATGGGTAAATGTTTGCATCTAATTATCCAACCTCACTTTGATCATTATTGTTTTGGCCAAAACCTCTACAGTCCTGTCTTAGTAATTTCTTATATTCTTGCCCACTTGGTTTCATTAATGTTTACTTAACAAAGACTAAGCAATTTTTCCTGTAAAGTAGAATCATCATTCTTCAGATTTTCAACTGTTAGTACTTTTGACTTTTTAAAGGTGAGAAGATTGACCTAGTGGAACTGGATGATTACCTGGAAAATATAGGGATAAAACTCTCAGAAGACAAGATGATGAAACTGCTGGACAAACTGCCAACTGATGGTGAGCATTAGAATATACCACAGCAGCCTTGGAGACGTAGCAAGCATATGAATTTGTGTGATGAACAACAATGTTCCATGCCATCCATCACCAACACGTCACCAAGCATTTGTTTACATCCCTGAGTTTTATTATTAGAGTAAAAATACTAGTTGTTAGAATAAGGCATTTTAAAAGTTTCTGCCTCGTAAGTTACATTTATTCCACTTCTGAATAACAGCATTATTCCCTGAGACTTGACATTTCTATCTTGCAGCTGGTGGAAAACTGTACAAGAAAAGGTTGATAAAAGAGCTGGAGAATATTCAAGGTGAGACACATTGAGGTCCTTGAACCACGCTGTTGTTTTCAGACACTCTTCCTACTTTACAACTTTCAGATTATTCATCTTGCCACCCCTACTGTTGAATTCGTTAGACAGGTGGTGGGCATCGAAATGGTTTCCCTGTAAAAGACCTAGAAACAGCAGTTCCTCTACAAAGACAGATGTTAGAAACATCAGGAAATAACAGCGCTTAGATCACTGGGCATGTTTCCAACAATATCAATCTGAATTTCTAGTGATAATATTTAGAGAAAAAAATATTTTAAAAAGTTTCCCATTGTATTATAATAAACATAAAATATAAACAGTGGATAAAGAAAAATTGCTGCCTATATACAACAGAATACTGATTGGTCATTAAAAATAAATGATATCTCATTATTCACAACAACATGAATGGAAGTGGAGACCGTTGTATTAAGTGAAATGAGCCACATATATCCCACGCACAAAACAGACACCATGCGATCTCACTTATATATGTAATCTAAAAACATTGATCCCATAGGAGTTTAGAATGGTGGTTCAGAGATGGGGAGAGCAGAAGGGGACCAAGAAGCCCTGATGGCTACGGGACAGTAAGGTGGTTACAGACAGTGACACCACTTCAGAAAGTCAGAAAGAAGAAAAGAATTCGGAAGGTTTTAGCCATGAAGAAATGACAAACGTTTGGAAAAATAGACATATTCAATCTGATTTGAACAGTACATACATATGTATGTGTTGGAATAGTATATCCATACAGATATTTTTGTTTGTTCGTTTTCATGTATCAGTAAAAATATTACTTTGGGCCAACAGAATGGTTCATCGGGTAAAGGTGCTTGCCACCAAGACTGAGGCTGTGAGTTTGATTCCTGGAACCCATGTGGAACCCAGAGGAAGGAGAGAACTGACTCCTGGGAGTCATCCTCTGACCTCCACCTACACACTAATTAAAATTAAAATAAATTAACTGTTAAACAAATTTCCTAGAGAATTGTGATGTAATAAATCCATGGACTTTATTTTTCTCCATTAATTTTAAGTTTCAAATCCTATCATATAGGTAGTGATCAATATTGATTTGAATCTTTAATAGAAACTCCAAACTCCTCACTTCCTTCTCTTAAAATTCCTTCTAAAGGCTAGGATCAAGGTATCACTCAAAGAGAGTGTTCATCTAGCATGTGCACACCCTGAGTTCAGTCATCAGTACATGCAACACACTCACTCCCACAGCTATAATAGAATCTCAAGAACAAGAGTTAAGAGTTCACAGTTAAGGTATCAAAAACATTGTTACTGGAGTAGTTTAAATGCCCTTTGACCCTTCTTGTCTGAACAACACTGGCACTTAGGCATGACCTCGAATGACCTATTGACTCCTCATTATATTTCTCAAATCCTTCTTTTCTAAGGGATAAAGATATCTCCAAATAAGGTGGAAGAATTAATTAAAAGTGCAGAAATTAATCTCAATGATAAAGACATCCAGACACTGATGGACCATCTGCCAGTTGACCGTGAGTTTACCTCCTAATATAAAGCTTCTAACATGAGCCTAGTGGTGGATCTGGGATGAGGAGAGGATGTACACAAAAAGAAGGGAGAGGTCTACAAGAGCTGGTTCCAGGACAGCCTCCAAAGCCACAAAGAAACCCTGTCTCCAAAAAAAAAAAAGAAGGGAGATAAAATGTAAAGTCTTAACACTGGGTCAAACTGAGCCCAGTGACCACTGAGAAGGAGACACCAAGAGCACCAACACAAATGACAAGTGTCTAGTCTCCACTTAACACTGTAGGAAATGCCAAGCTCAAACAAAAATACAAAGAATATTAATATTTTAGTTCATGGCGCTAATCAAATAGTAAATATCACTGAATAACACCACATAGTTCCAGCATATGGGAGAAACTGTGGTAATATATTGTTTATGATCTAATAAAGTCACTGAAGATCAGAATACAAAGCCAGCCCACACTAGTTAGCCATAGAAGCTGGGCAATGGTGGCACACGTCTTTAATTCCAGGACTCAGGAAATAGAGGCTAATGGATCTCCATGAGTCCAAGACGACCCTGGGCTACACAAGAGTGACTCAGTCTAAAAGAGAAACAGAGCTCACATCTTTAATCTCAGCACTAGAGAAGTATAAAAGGAAGAAGGAAAGGGTCTCATATGAGATTCAGTTTCCAGACAGGGAGAGCATTGCAGTCTGAGGCTTGGTGGAGAGCAGTGAAGTCTGCATTGCACTCTGAGGATTGGTGGAGACAGGATCGCCCATTTCGGTATGAGGTAGAGGTAAAAGCTAGTGACTGACTGCTTTGCTTCTCTGATCTTCAGCTTGAACCCCAATATTTGTCTCTGGGTTTTTATTATCCCCTAGTTACAGAATTGTTCTAAATGCTGTATAATTAGTGTATTGAGTCTTCCAAATAATTCTGTAAATTAGGTTCTACTTTTACCTTTATTTTACATACAAAGAGACCAAGATGCAGAGAATACAAGTTGCCTGTCGAAATTCAGGGAGCTTAGAACACCAGGTAGTCTGGTCCCAGAATTATTTTTTTCTTTTTGGATTTTTGAGACAAGATCTCTTTATGTAACCCAGGCTTGCCTCAAACTTGTGATCCTCCTGCCTTGGCTTCCCATGTGCAAAGATTATAAGTGTAAGCCATCACACCTGGCTTCTAGAAATTAACCACTATGCTATGTTGCCATGAGTTCTTAGAATTTTAAAAGTTAAGGTGCTATAGTAATATAGTAGCCATGAGAACAAAACTAATCAGAAAAGGGTGTGGTGACAAACCTGCAATCCCAGAGCTAGGGAGGTTGAGGCAGGAGGACAGCAAATTCAGAACCAGTCTGAGCCACATAGTGGGTCTTTACCTCAGAAGAAGGAAAAGGGCCAACAAGATGTCTCAGCTGGTAAAAGCACTTGCCACTCAAGGATGATGAGCTAAATTGAGCCTCCAGAGCCCACGTAAAGGTGGGAAGAGGTAACTGACTCCACAGAGTTGTCATCTCACCTCCAAACACATGCTGTGTCACACGTACAGCCCACACATCCACACATCAGACACTCGAGAATTATAAATAACTTTTAAAAGAAGAAAATAGAATTAATTAGCTGTGGCATATATCCAGTGACCTGAGAAATTTTCAGGAAATCTGGGAGGAAGCTGGACTCCTAAAGAAGTAGCAAAAACAATAAGAGTCATTCAAGTCCATTGATATATGTTTCTCTAAGCCAATGGAAAATGTCATTCCTTCATTCAATTGGCTATAGTGTTTCTAATGGATTAGGCAACCAGCCTTTTACCTTAATAAAAGCAGTTTTCCCAGAAACTACTTTTGTTTTTTAAACCCCTTTTAATCTACCACTGCAACAAATGTCTTGCAGACCCTGGCCATTGCCCTGTTTTCTTAGTAATTAAGGGGCACACCATCACAGTGATTTTATTTTATTTATTTATTTTTGGTTTTATGAGATAGGGTTTCTCTGTATTGTTTTGGAGGCTATCGGTCCAGCCCAGCCTCGAACTCACAGAGATCCACCTGCCTCTGCCTCCTGAGTGCTGGGATTAAAGGTGTGCGCCACCACCGCCCAGCCCATCACAGTGATTTTAAAGTGTGATGATATTCATATAATTTTACATCTGTGCAACCATCTAAGAAAGGATAGATAATTCTGGGCCCAGTAGGCCTCATGGGGACACACAGTTAAGGGCATAATGGCATCTGTGCTTTACAGACATGCCTCTATCAAAAAAGGTTCTTACCTATCCCATTTGAATGACAACAATAATAACATTAATAAGATGCTAACAAAAGATTGTCATAGCTGAAAAAGTATTTTTAAAAAGCAAGAATAAATTTTGTATCTACGGTGCATATATAATGGTTTTAAAGTATATATGTGAGCTGCAATGTGTTTGCATTTTGATGTAATTGTTATGTATATCAGTCTCATACAAACCACTACACTAATGATTATCTGATAATAGTAAGAATATAGACTGATCATTTGTACTTCAACCTCAGAGTTACATACGGTGTTGAAGTATTACAAATAACACAACACTGCAGACAAATTGTGTCCCCTTGAGCAAGTCACAGTGGAAGAGACTGTCCATGGCAGCTTACGTCTTGGCTTTCTCAGTAGCTTCTCCTCCCACCCGGTGCTTTCAAACTTGTAATTTTACAAACTGTTTTAAATATATACAGTGGCTTTCCACTTTAATATGAGAAATACTGAGTAAAGAAAGTAACTATATGGTGTATGAGAATAGTCTTTGCAAAGCAAAGGTCTGTCGTTATAAGTGAACAATATTACACTCATCACTATGACAGTTACCATGTTGAAGTTCTCAGAGCAGCCAGGAGTTGACCGATACTCTCATTTATCATAACATATTTGAGGCTAAATTGAAGGAGAGTGCTTTGTCTTGCATTGTGCTATATGAACACTTGTAGTGGACATAGAAGTAGCTATATTAATTAATTAAATTGATGAGTATTGTACAGGAAAGATGTAAACTTCATAAAATGTTTTTCAGGTGAGTGAATGCAGGTTTCTGTTTTATAATTCACAATTTAATGATTTCATATCATTTTCCTATAAATCTATTTTGTGCTTTTTTTTGTTTTACAGGTAATGGGAAGGCTGATTTCCGTGTGTTGATGAATGAAATTAAGAAGATTACAGGTGAGGAGCTGTTAAAATTAATATTATATTGTATAGTCTTTACATTTTATGTTCAAATGTTTAATATAACATAAAAATCAAAGAAATTTCATATTTAAACTATACCATAGATTAAACAAATGTAACAGCTATCTCCAGGGTATTCCATGTAATGGTACAGAAAACTCACGCATCTCAGCAGCCCACAGTGTCCTCTCCAAAATAGAGACGTTCACAGAGCAAGTTTTAACAAGTGCAGAAGAACTGGACATCATGTCTTATGACTCATTAGGTCACAGTAGGATAAAACTAGGAACTAATAGCAAGATGAAAATGCACAAATACTTGCAACTAACAGCATATTTGAGAATGACCAGTGGGTCCCTGAAGAAACCAGGGATGCTGATGCCTCCAGACATTGCTTTGTTGAGCAGGGTTGTTTTGGCTATCCTGTGTTTTTTGTTTTTCCATATAAAGTTGAGAATTGTTCTTTCAAGGTCTGTGAAGATTGGTGCTAGGATTTTGATGGGGATTGCATTGAGTCTGTAGATTGCTTTTGGCAGGATTGCCATTTTTACTACATTGATCCTACCTATCCAAGAGCATGGGAGATCTTTCCATTTCCTGGTGTCTTCTTTAATTTCTTTCTTTAAAGACTCAAAGTTCTTGTGATACAGGCCTTTCACTTATTTGGTTAGCGTTACCCCCAGGCATTGTATGTTGTTTGTGGCAATTGTAAAGAGTGATGTTTCAAAAAAAAGAGTGATGTTTCTCTGATTTCTTTCTCAGCCCTTTTATTGTTTGTGTATAGTAGGGCTACTGATTTTCTTGAGTTGATCTTGTATCCTGCCACTTTGCTGCAGGTGTTAATCAGCTGTAAGAGTTCCCTGGTAGAGTTTTTTAGGTAACTTATGTAAACTATCATATCATCCGCAAATAGTGAAAGTTTGACCTCTTTCCAATTTGTATTCCCTTGATCTCCTTTTGTTGTCTTATTGCTCTAGCTAGAACTTCGAGTACAATATTGAAGAGGTATGGGGAGAGGCAACAGCCTTGCCTTGTTCCTGATTTTTAGAGGAATTGCCTTGAGTTTCTCTCCATTCAGTTTGATCCTGGCTGTTGGTCTGCTATATATAGCTTTTATGATGGTTAGGTATGTTCCTGTTATCCAAGATCTCTCCAAGACCTTTATCATGAAGGGGTGTTGGATTTTATCACAGGCTTTTTCAGCATCTAGTGAGATGATCATGTGATTTTTGTTTCTCGGTTTGTTTATATGGTGGATTACACTGATGGATTTTCATATGTTGAACCATCCAAGAAAGGAAATTTTTAACTGCTAGAATCAGATGAAAATGAAAGCACAGCTTACCAGAACCTTTAGAATACAGCCAAGGCAGTTCTCAGAGGAATTTTTATAGCAATGAAAGTTTATATTGAAAAAAACAGAGCTTTCAACTTAACAACCCAGCGATTCACCTCAAGGTCTTAGAAAAGCTAAAACAAGTACAAACCAAGAGCAGTGGATATCAACAAAGGTTGTGGTAGAAATTAATGAAGGCTAAAAGTATAACACAGAATCTTTTGAACAAAAAGTTAGGTCTTTGAAAAGGCAAACTCTTCGCCAAACTGATCAAAAGAAAGGAAAAATCCAAACTAGTAAAATTAGAGGGAAAATGTGTGCTAGAACATATTCCAGGAAAATCCAGAGCATCATTAAGGGATGCTTTGAAAAACTTAGGTTCCAAAAAAATTAGAAAATCTGTATTTTTAATGATACATACTTAGAGGTGACATACCAAAATCAAATTAAAAAATGCAAACAATTGAAACAGATATGTAACAAGAAACAAGACTGAGAGGGTTGTAGAAGTGCCTCAATCAAGTTCCTGCAGCATGTGCATGACTGGATGTCTCAGTCTATGTCTGTGACCCAGGAGAAAGCACAGACAAATCCCTGGAGCTCATTGGGTAGTCAGCTAAAACAATCGGTGCATCCCAGGTTCAGTAAGAGACTGCCTCAAAAACAAAGGTCAAAAACAATAGAGGACAGCTGATCCAGGGAGACCAGGGGACCGGCTGTTCCGGTGGATCCAGGTAAAACAGACCCTGCATCTGGGCCTGTGTTCCAGTGTCTGGGGATCACCTGGGAACTGCACAGAGCTTCCAATCCCGGTGGGAGCCAAGCACCACAGATTCCAGGTTTCCTCTCCCACCAACGAGACCAGGAAACCAGAGGAGCCAGGGAGACCAGGGGACCAGCTGTTCCGGCAGGTCCAGGGACCAGAACAAAGACAAGGAATAGAAGAACTACCAGGCTATTGGACTTGCTAGCACCCACCAAAAGGGAATTCTGGTCCCCTAACCACCAGACCAGCAAGGGGCTCTTTCTGCACCCACTAGAAGAAGAGATGGGAAAGAGACAATACAAAAACACACTCAGCAACAGAAAAACAAATATGACACTGCCAGATTCTAGAGACTCCACAACAGCAAGACTCCAACATTCCAATTCAAATGAAGCAGAAGAGAATGACCTTAAAACCACTTTCATGAAAATGATAGAGGCCCTAAAAGAGGATATAGGAAAATCCCTCAAAGAAATGTATGAAAAAAACAAACCAAAAAATGCAAGAAATAGAAGAAAAAAACAAACCAAAAAATGCAAGAAATGGAAGAAAAAGCAAACCAAACAAGGCAGGAAATGGAAGAAAAAGCAAACCAAACAATGCAAGAAATGGAAGAAAAAACAAACCAGAAAATGCAAGAAATGGAAGAAAAAAACAAACCAAACAAGGCAGAAAATAGAAGAAAAAACAAAGCAAGAAATGGAAGAAAAAACAAAGCAAAAAATGCAAGAAATGGAAGAAAAAACAAACCAAAAAATGAAAGAAATGGAAGAAGAAACAAAACAAAAAAGGCAGGAAATGGAAGAAAAAACAAACCAAAAATGCAAGAAATGGAAGAAAAAACAAACCAAAAAAATGCAAGAAATGGAAGAAGAAACAAACCAAAAAATTCAAGAAATGGAAGAAAAAGCAAAGCAAAAATGCAAGAAATGGAAGAAAGAACAAACCAAAAAATTCATAAAATGCAACAAATGGATGAAAAGATAAACCGAAAATTGCAATAAACAATGCAAACAATGCAAGGGTTGAAAACTGAAATAGAAACAATAAAAAACACAATCTGAAGAAAGGCTGGAAATAGAAAAGCTGGGCAAACGGTCAGGTACTACCGATACAAGCATTACCAACAGAATACAAGAGATGGAAGAGAGAATCTCAGGTGTTGAAGATACACTAGGAGAAATGGATTCATCAACCAAAGAAAATCTTAAATCCAACAAATCCTTAACGCAAAACATCAAGGAAATATGAAAAGACCAAACCTAAGAATAATAGGTATAGAAGAAGGAGAAGAAAACCACCTCAAAGGGGCAGAAAACATACTCAACAAAATCATAGAAGAAAACTTTCCCAACCTTAAGAAAGACATGCCAATGAAGGCACAAGAAGCTTACAGAACACCAAATAGAGTGGATCACAAAAAAAAGTCCCCTCGCCACATAATAATCAAGACCCCAAATATACAGAATAAAGAAAGAATATTAAGAGCAGCTAAGGAAAAAGGCCAAGTAACATATAAAGGCAGACCTATCAGAATTACACCTGACTTCTCCATGGAAACTCTGAAAGCCAGAAGGTCCTGGATAGATATTCTACCAACACTAAGAGACCATGGATGCCAGCCCAGACTACTATACCCGGCAAAGCTCTCAATCACTATAGATGGAGAAAACAAGATATTCCATGACAAAACTAGATTCAAGCAATACCTATCCACTAACCCAGCCCTACAGAAAGTTTTGGAAGGAAAACTCCAACCCAAGGAAGTTAACTACAACCAGAAAAACATAGTCATTAGAGAATCCCCTCTCTATCAACAGCCAAAAGAACAAAGGGGTGAAATTCCACACATAATTCCACCAACAACAACCATTGCAAATCGAAGAAGAATGAGCAATCAATGGTCATTAATATCCCTCAACATTAATAGCCTTAACTCACCCATAAAAAGACACAGGCTAGCAGAATGGATTGGAAGACAGAACCCATCCTTCTGCTGCATACAAGAAACACACCTCACCCTCAAACAGACATTACCTGAGAGTTAAAGGTTGGGAAAAAATTTTTCAATCAAATGGAACCAAGAAACAAGCAGGGGTAGCAATCCTAATATCTAACAAATTAGACTTTAAAATAAAATCAATCAAAAGAGATGAAGGAGGTCATTACATACTCATCACAGGCCAAATCCAACAAGATAAAGTGTCTATCCTGAAAATCTATGCTCCAAATACAAAGGCATCCACATTCATAAAAGAAACATTACTAAAAGTCAAATCACATATAAAGCCCCACACACTTATAGTGGGAGATTTCAACACACCACTCTCACCACTAGACAGGAATACCAGACAGAAACTCAACAAAGAAGCAAAGGGACTAATAGAAGTAATGACCCAACTGGGATTAACAGACATCTGTAGAACATTTCATCCACATAAAAAAGAATATACCTTCTTCTCACCACCACATGGAACCTTCTCAAAAATCGACCACATACTTGGCAACATATCCAACCTCAGCAGCATCAAAAAAATTGGAATAACTCCATGCATCTTATCAGACCACCATGCTTTAAAATTAGAATTCAACAACAACACAAATTGCAGAAAACCTACAAACTCGTGGAAATTGAATAATGCACAACTGCACCATTCCTGGGTCAAAGAAGAAATAAAAAAAGAAATTAAAGACTTCCTAGAATTCAATGATAATGAAGACACAACATACCCAAACCTATGGGACACGTTGAAAGCACTGCTACGGGGGGAAGTTCATAGCACTAAGTGCCCACATGAAGAAACTGGAGAATAGTTATACAAGAGAATTAACAGCACAGCTGAAAGCTCTAGAACACGAAGAAGCAAACTCCCCCCAGGAGGAGTAAACGCCAGGAAATAATCAAATTGAGGGCTGAAATCAATGAAGTGGAAACTAGGAAAACAATACAAAGAATCAATGCAACGAAGAGTTGGTTCTTTGGGAAAATCAACAAGATAGACAAACCTTTGTCCAAACTTACCAAACAGCAGAGAGTGAACATGCAAATTAACAAAATCAGAAATGCAAAGGGGGACATAACAACGGACTGTGAGGAAATTCAGAGAATCATCAGGTCATACTTTGAAAACCTGTACTCCACAAAATTTGAAAATTTAAAGGAAATGGACAACTTCCTGGATAGCTATCACTTGCCAAAATTAGATCAAGAACAGATAAGCAATTTAAATAGACCTATAACCCCTATAGAAATAGAAGCAGTCATCAAAAGTCTCCCAACCAAAAAAAGCCCAGGTCCAGATGGCCTCAGTAGAGAATTCTACCAGAAATTCAAAGAACAGCTTATACCAATCCTTCTCATAGTATTCCACGCAATAGAAGCAGAAGGGTCTTTGCCAAACTCTTTCTATGAGGCTTCAATAACCTTGATCCCCAAGACACACAAAAACACAACTAAGAAAGAGAACTTCAGACCAATATCCCTCATGAACATTGATGCAAAAATACTCAATAAAATACTGGCAAATCAGATCCAAGAACACACCAAAACAATCATTCACCATGATCAAGTAGGTTTCATTCCAGGGATGCAGGGATGGTTCAACATACGCAAATGCATCAACGTATAAATAAGCTGAAAAACAAAAATCACATGATCATCTCACTAGATGCTGACAAAGCCTTTGACAAAATCCAACACCCCTTCATGATAAAGGTCTTGGAGAGATCTGGGATAACAGGAACATACTTAAGCTTAATAAAAGCTATATACAGTAAACCAACAGCTAACATCAAACTAAATGGACAGAAACTCAACGCAATTCCTCTAAAATCAGGAACAAAACAAGGCTGTCCACTCTCTCCATACCTTTTCAACATTGCACTTTAAGTTCTAGCCATTGCCATATGACAACAAAAGGGGATCAAAGGAATACAAATTGGGAAGGAAGAGGTCAAACTTCCACTGTTTGCAGATGATATGATAGTTTACATAAGTGACCCAAAACAACTCTACCAGGGAACTCTTACAGCTGATTAACACCTTCAGAAAAGTGGCAGGCTACAAGATCAACTCAAGAAAATCAGTAGCCCTACTATATACAGATGATAAAAGGGCTGAGAAATAAATCAGAGAAGCATCACCCTTTAAAATTGCCACAAACAATAATAAATACCTTGGGGTAACGCTAACCAAACAAGCGAAAGACCTGTATCGCAAGAACTTTGAATCTTTAAAGAAAGAAATTAAAGAAGCCCTCAGAAAATGGAAAGATCCCCCATGCTCTTGCATAGGTAGGATCAATGTAGTAAAAATGGCAATCCTGCCAAAAGCAATCTACATATTCAATGCAATCCCCATTAAAATCCCAGCACAATTCTTCACAGACCTTGAAAGAACAATAATCAATTTTGTATGGAAAAACAAAAGACCCAGGATAGCCAAAACAACACTGTTCAACAAGGCAACATCCGGAGGCATCACCATCCCTGACCTCAAGCTCTATTATAGTGCTATAGTCCTGAAAACAGCTTGGTATTGGCACAAAAATAGACAGGTAGACCAATGGAATCGAATTGAAAACCCTGATATTAACCCACACACATATGAACATCTGATCTTTGACAAAGAAGCTAAAAATATGCAATGGAATAAAGAAAGCATCTTCAACAAATGTGCTGGCATAACTGGAGACTGGCATGTAGAAGAATGTGAATCGATCCATTTTTATCGCCATGCACAAAACTTAAATCCAAATGGATCAAAGACCTCAACATAAATCCAGCCACACTGAACCTCTTAGAAGAGAAAGTGGGTAGTACCCTTGAACGAATTGGCACAGGAGACAGCTTCCTGAACATAACACCAGTAGCACAGACAGTGAGATCAACAATTAATAAATGGGACCTCCTAAAACTGAGAAGCTTCTGTAAGGCAAAGGACACAGTCAGCAAGACAAAAAGGCAGCCCACAGAATGGGAAAAAATATTCACTAACCCCACATGTGACAGATGGTTGATCTCCAAAATTTACAAAGAACTCAAGAAGCAAGTCTCCAAAACACCAAAGAATCCAATTAAAAAGTGGGCTGCAGAACTAAATAGAGAATTTTCAATAGAGGAGTCTAAAATGGCTGAGAGGTACTTGAGAAAGTGCTCAACATCCTTAGCCATCCGGGAAATGCAAATCAAAACAACTCTGAGATACCATCTCACTCCTGTCAGAATGGCTAAAATCAAAAACACCAATGACAAGTTATGCTGAAGAGGATGTGGTGAAAGGGGAACACTCCTCCATTGCTGGTGGGAGTGCCAACTGGTTCAGCCACTTTGGAAATCAGTATGGAGATTCCTCAGAAAAATGGGAATAAACCTACCACAAGACCCAGCAACTCCACTCTTAGGCATATATCCAAAAGATGCCCATTCATACAACAAGGATGTCTGTTCCACTATGATCATAGCAGCATTATTTGTAATAGCCAGAACTTGGAAGCAACCTAGATGCCCCTCAACCAAAGAGTAGATAGAGAAAATGTGGTACATTTACACAATGGAGTACTATTCAGCAGAAAAAAACAATGGAATCCTGAGATTTGCAGGCAAATCGATGACACTAGAAGAAACCTTCCTGAGTGAGGTAACACAGTCACAAAAAGAGAAACATGGCATGTACTCTCTCATATATGGATTTTAGACATAGATTTGGGGAGTGCCAGCCTACAATCCCATGGCCAGAGAGTCTGGGAAACAGAAACTTCATTCAGTGGCTGATGGAAGAAGAGGCAGACTCCCATGGCTAATTACTGAACTGAACTCAAGAAAGCCAGTAACAGAGAGGGAGGACTGATGACCAAAAGGATTAAGACTGGGCTGGTTTAACCCCAGAAACAGCTGACCTGACAAGGGTTAACTCTTTAATCCCAGGCTAATGCCTGGGAATCCAACATGGGACTGATCAAGACCCCCTGAATGGGGTGTCAGTGAGGAGGCCTAGGTAATCTATTGAGCTTTGGGCAGTAGATCAGTATTCATCCCGAGTATACACAGGGACTTTGGACTCCCATCCAACAATGTGAGATGCACTCTCACCCTGAACTCTTGGGGGGGGAGGCCCTGGATGAAATGACAGTCTAAGGACACCCCCAAGGAGGGCCTCACCCTCCCTGGGGAATTGAGGGGATAATGGGGGAGTTGGAGGGAGGGCACAGGAGGAGGGGAGGGAGAGGGAGAGGGACTTGGAACTGACTTGTGAACCAACCATGTTTCTAATCTAAATTTAAACTTAAAAATAAAAAAAATTTTTATAAAAAAACAATAGAGGAAGACACCTGCTGTCAAACCTCTGACCTACACACACACACACACACCACAAATACATACTAAGCATTTTTAAAATGAAAATGAGATTGAAGGAGCAATAAAAATTCTCCTCACAGCCAGGTGGTGGTGATGCACACCTTTAATCCCAGTATTTGGATGCCAGAAACAGGCAGATCTCTGTGAGTTTAAGGCCAGTCTAGTCTGTAGAGCTAGTTCCAGGACAACCAGGGCTACACAGAGAAACCCTGTCTCAGGAAAAAAAAACAACAAACAAACAAAAATAACTCCCCACAAAGTAAGCTCTAAACTATATATCATGTTTGCTAAATTTTATTTAATACTTAAGGAAGAGTTAACACCAATACCCCTCAAAATGTTCTACCAAGGACACAGAGAAGACACTCACTATACACTCATTCTACAAAGCCAGTGTTACTCTGATTCCAAAACAGAATAAGGACACAACAAGAAACTATAGGCTTCAAGATATTTCCCCTTTTACTTGCTTAAAGTTCTTGTGTTTTTTTTCTAGTTATTGTATGCTTGGCTGGGCTGGGCTGGGCTGGGCTGGGCTGGGCTGGGCTGGGCTGAGTTGGTTGGTTGGTTGGTTGGTTGGTTGGCTGGTTGGTTGGTTGGTTGGTTTGAGACAAGATCTTTATATATAGCCCAGGCTGATCAGACTTCTCATCCTCCTGCCCCAGCCTCCCCAGTGCTGGGATTTCTGGCATGAGCTACTACCCCCAGCTGACAGAAAAACTCTTCCTCCCTATCTTTTTGTTTTGATTTTCCAAGATAGGGTTTCTCTGTGTAGTCCTGACTGTCCCGGAACTCACTTTGTAGGCCAGGCTGTCCTCGAGCTCACAGAGATCTGCACATGCCCCTACTGCCTGCTTCTTCCTCCCCTTCTTGACACTGAAGAGCTAACATGTCCTCCTTGGGTCACTTGCTCTTTCCCTTAAGTCAACAAGGACGAGTCTCACATGCGTGTTACATGTACACATTTTATTTGTATAATGTTATGGAAATACTTAATTCTATAGTCTCACCTAAAACTGTTTTCTTTCTTCCTAAAGGAGAAAAGATTCATATAGAAGACATAAAAGGTATTCTGGACAACATGGGGATAGAAATGACAAATAAGGAAAACAAAAAACTGCTCAAAACTCTACCCATTTCTGGTAAGTTTTATATGTTGTTTTCACTGATAACTACAACTACTCATTCAACAAACATTGACTACTGTCTGCACATACATGACTCTGTCCCAAACCACAGAAGAAATGGGGACTGTTTCCATTGCCCCAGGTTCCTGCTGTCAAAAAGAAAAAGTCGGATTGTTTTTAAGGTTTTATATTAATTGTTTTGAAGGTTTTATATTAATTCTAATAATTGAAATATTCCATGTTAGTTTAAAAGATTTTATTTTTTGTAAAAAAAAAAAAAGACTCAATTCTGTACTAGGCAGGATCACACATGCCTGTAATCCCTGAACTTTTTTATTTGTTTTACATTCATTTGTACCTGTGTACATGTATGCGCAAGCACATACTATGCACATGCACACATACATCATACATGTGTATACAAGAGTTTTACCTGTGTGGGGGGGATATATATATCAAATGCATGTAGTGCCCACAGAGGCCAGAAGAGGGAATCAGATCCCCGCAGGACTAGAGTTTCAGACAGTTGTGAGCTGCCACATGGGTGCTGGGAATTGAACCCAGGTCCTCAAAAACAGCAGCCAGTGCTCCTAACCACTGAGCTGTCTGTCCAGTCCCCACATGTGCACATGTTAAAGTCAGAGGACAGCAAGTGGAATGGGTTTTCACTTCCACAGTCTTTGTCCTTGGGACTGAACTCAGGTCTTCAATTGGTGACAAGTTCATTTACCTGCTGAGTCAGCCTTCTAGCCCAACCCCAACTCCTCAGAGGTAAAGGTAGGATAATCCCTGCAAGTTCAAAGCCATCCTTGTTGTAATTTAAGAAAAGTCTAATGAAAGAGAAAGACATGCAACAGGGTTCAAGCAGAAGGTTTTTATTAGGGTAAGGAATCATAAAAAAAGGGGAAAGGGGAGGGAGACCATATTCTGGGGATAGGAACAGCAGAAGAGAGAGAAAGGGGGGATAGACAGAGAGAGGCAGAGAAAGAGAGAGAGGGATGGGAGGTAGGCAGGGCCCTTTTAAAAGGGAACATAGTGAATATGCACAGGTGATACCTTAGTGCCTGCAGCTGAGGGCGTATCCTGTCAGAACCCCAAGAACAGGCCAGTGCAGATGCCTGAATACTAACAATCCTGGTCTACATTGAGTTCCTGGCAAAAAAATTCTCTTATTTTTTCCAGCAACTTTTTATTACTTGTTTTGGTTGGTATATATAATATGATGCATTTTATTATGACATTTTCATACATATATAATTCTGTCTCACTCATATTTGTATTCTCACTACCCTCCTTCATCTTCCTCCCCCTTTTCCTCACTGACCCCCTTCTTTCTCCCAAGTAACTCCCCTTCTGCTTCATGCCATATGTAAATATATTTGTGTGTGTACATGTATTTTAAAATAGATTCTACACATGACAGAAAACATAACCTTTAAAAATTCTCTCATTATATAGCCAGAATTGACAATCTGAATTCCTCTGGCTCTGCCTCCCAGGTGTTGAGAAGATTACAGGCAGGAACCTGTGCCAAGTTTCCAGCCAGCACTTCTAAAACTCCAGTGCTCATTTTGATTTAGGTTTAGGAAAAGGTTCCCTAAGGCAGGGGTCCTATCTGAAGATTGGTTGTTGTTGTTCCTTTGGGAAAAATAAGACTTACAAATCTGGAAGAAAATGAAAGGATAGAATGGTAGAAAAACTGAAGAAAAAGGATGAAGCCAAATTTAAAAAGAAAAAACAAAAGTTTTGTCCTTCAATACACCTGGGTACCACTAATTATTTTTGTACTCAACCTGGTGGATTAGGTTCCCTGTGCTGGGGGTCTAATCAGGGTCTTTGGCATCCTAAGCAAACATACCACCTCTGACTGCAGTCTTGATGGGCTTTTCCTGAGTAGTGCTCATCTCACTGAACATGATTTGTGATGTTTCTAAATTTTTCCTTTCTGTATGTATGAACATAGACTTGTATCATCCTTCAAAAATATCATTGTGTTTTATTCTACAGTTGACAAAACACTGTTTAGGAAAGAATTACTATCTGGTGTGAAGTCCTTCAAAGGTGAGTGAGAAAAAGAACAAAAAACAATAAAATTTGAGACTTTTTTACAATATAAAATAACGAACTATAAGTTTCATTCAGTAATCATTTGCTATATACTAGGTATTCAAGAATCATCTGGAATATAAAATAATGTATAGGAAAATGGACTTATACATTTTTTACTACCCTTACCTCCTGTTTTCCCTGAGTACATCTCTGTTTTTAATTAAACTCTTACTTGATGTTTTATTCATTTTACATTTAATACTCAAATATCATTTTCAGAATTTTGGATTCTTGTTAATTTGATTCAATGAAAATGAATGTTTTCATTCATTATTTAAAATAAAATGTTATTTTTTCTTATCATGACTAGTTTTATGTCAACTTGACACAAACTGCAGTCATTGAGAGGAGGGAACCTCAGTTAAGAAAATACCTTCATAAGATCACTGTAGACAAGACTGTAGGGTATTTTCTCAATTAGTGATTAGTGGGGAGAGCCCAGCCCACTGTGGGTGGTGCCATCCCTGAGCTGGTGGTACTGAGTTCTATAAGAAAGCAGGTTGAGCAAGCCGTGGGGAGCAAGCCAATAGGCAGCACCTTCCATGGCCTCTGCATCAGCTCCTGCCCTGCTTGAGTTCCTGTCCTGACTTCCTTCAATGGTGAACAGTAAGCCAAATAAACCCTTTCCTCCCCAAATTGCTTTTGGTCATTGAAGATGAGGATGTAATTATTTCACTAGACCCAAGATAAATGATGAATGGGTGTTTATTGGGGAACAATTACACAGAAAAATACAAAGAACCATAGGAGCGTTTCTCTGCCCTTTCTACCGGATAGACTGACCCACCAGAAAGAAGGCACAAAGGAAAGCCATACCTCAAGCTTCCCCGAGGTCACACCCTGAGGTGTGGCCACTGGCACAAGTTCACTGCAAGACAGCTATAGGTCATGGTGTTTCATGACAGCAATAGAAACCCTAACTAAGAAGTATATCATTATTGTTTCTAAACTTTGAATTTCTTATAAGAGTCATGTGTTCATTGATCTACTGGAATATGAACATTAATTGCTAACAATTAAAATTACCCCTTTATATATTAACTATAAGCACATTGTCATATACATAGAAAATATTTACCTGGTTGGTTATTTGCTTTTTATTTTTATATGCTGTATTGAAATAAAACACATGCTATCCAGTTCATTCACTCAAAGTATACAACTCAAGGGTTTTTAGTACACTAATAGAGTTGTACAATATCACAACAATCAATTTTGCAACACTTCATCACCCCAAAATGCAACTCTGCCCATTAGCAGTGACTACACATATCCCTAGTTCTCCAGGTCTACGTAACTATGATCAACTTTGATATATGGGTATTTTTCATTTTTGTGAACTCAGCCACTTCTCTGGTTTCTCTTTGTTTTCCTGTGGCTTGTTTTTTTAACATTTAATTTAATACAATATATATATTACAGATGTATTGTAATATATGTACCTTATATAATACATATATTACATATATAATATATATTGCATATTATATAACATGCACATTGACACTTCATAAATAACTCATATTTCAGATTGAGTAAATGAAAACCATGCTAGTAGGTTTTAACAATTCTCATTGACTATAGTTTTCCTTTTATGTAAAAGTATACATTGTCAAAGTGCACTTTTCTCCCTTGCATACTTCTCTCAGAAGCTTAATTCTGGAAGCACATTCCTGACTGCCATGTGACTAGCCTGACTTGCTATAATTAGCACCTTTGTGCTTTCCCTTCTGGGTAGGAGTTGACAGTCTAAATTTTTCATTTTGTAACAACTTTACCGTTTCTTGTTTTTATTAAGGAGGGAAGGTTAACGTCCACCACGTGAAAAATGTTCTTCAAAAGACAGGCTTCAAACTGGAAGCAAAAGAACTGAAGGACCTGCAGGCTCACCTGCCAGTGACTGGTGAGCTTTGGGACATCTTTGTCCCAGACACAATATCTGTCCGGCCTGAGAGCCCCAAGGAAAGAAACAACATGTGGAGAAAAACTGAGAGCAGAGAGAATGCCAGACTTTTCCTACAGAACCATGCTGGTGACAAATGCCAAGGATTGGTTAATGTAGAAATATGCAGAGGGTAGAGACTTAAGAGGGACGTAGACTAAAGAGGAAGAGTACTATTAGACAATTGAAAGTGTGTGGACCACAGTGGCACAGAACTCAGCAAACAAAAGCAGGTAGATCTCTGTGTGCTTCATGCCAACCTGGTCTACATAATGAGGTCTGAGCTCATTATGGACTACATAATGAGACCCTATTTTTTTTAAAAATTGAAATGCTATTTCCTGAGTATTAATGCTATTAAGTCTTTAATAAATGTATCTAAAAACTATGAAACTGATTAGCAAAGATGTCAGTGCCTCACTAGGGGCTCTTAATTGTTTTGACTCAGAACTTCTTTATGCTGTTTTATAAATTATTAGTTATCAATAGTTATTGTGTTAGAAACTAAAACACTTTAATAAATCATACATATTATATCACCACAAAAAGAAACTAAAACACATTTTAATAATGTTTATGTAGCAATTCTTTAAGCTCTATTATCTTATTGTCATTGCATAGCCTGGTGAGGAAATTACTATGAAGCCTCAGGCTGACTTCAAACTCCTGATTCTCCTGCCTCGGTCCTAAGTGCTGGGATTACAAATATGTAGACTAATTTTCTTTTCCACCCAGTCCCGCAGCATTTTGTCCCAAATAAACACACAGAGACTATATTAATTATAAACTGTTTGGCCGATGACTCAGGCTTCTTATTGACTAACTCTGTCTTAATTTTTTTTTTTTTTGGTTTTCCGAGACAGGGTTTCTCTGTATTGTTTTGGAGGCTGTCCTGGAACTCACTCTGTAGACCAGGCTGGCCTCGAACTCACAGAGATCTGCCTGCCTCTGCCTCCCGAGTGCTGGGATTAAAGGTGTGCTCCACCACCACCCGGCTGTCCTGTCTTAATTATTAACCCATTTCTACTAAACTATGTATTACCACAAGGCTGTGGCTTACCCATAATTCCCTAGCATGTTACTCCTTTAGCAGCTACATGGCATCTCCCTGGTGGCTCATTCTCTGCCTCTCCCCAGAATTCACCTTGTCTGGTAGCCCCACCTATACTTCCTGTCTGTCTACTGGCCAATCAGTGTTTTATTAAACCAGTAAGAGAACATGTACTCAGAAGGACATCCCCCATCACAAGTGTGTGCCACAAAGCCTGACCATTACATTCTTTGAAAATAACTATAAATTTATTACTTAATAAAATATATTTTATGAAACTATTTCCCAAAACAAAGAAAAAAGATGAGAATAATTGTCTTAAATTATTATTAATCATTTTAATGTATAGCTAGACTCCCATATATGCTTTCACATGCAATCTGCTGGAATATCTTGGTTATTTTATTTTATTCTGGTTTGAACTAGAGCCTCAGATATGATAGGCATGTATTCAACCACTGAGTTACAGCCCCCGCCCTTGCTGGACTAATTTAGTTTGGGTAAAAATATATATAAATTGCTGGTGGGAATGCCAACTGGTTCAGCCACTTTGGAAGTCAGTATGGAGATTCCTCAGAAAAATGGGAATAAACCTACCACAAGACCCAGCAACTCCACTCTTAGGCATATATCCAAAAGATGCCCATTCATACAACAAGGATGTCTGTTCCACTATGTTCATAGCAGCATTATTTGTAATAGCCAGAACTTGGAAGCAACCTAGATGCCCCTCAACCAAAGAGTAGATAGAGAAAATGTGGTACATTTACACAATGGAGTACTATTCAGCAGAAAAAAACAATGGAATCCTGAGATTTGCAGGCAAATCGATGACACTAGAAGAAACCTTCCTGAGTGAGGTAACACAGTCACAAAAAGAGAAACATGGCATGTACTCTCTCATATATGGATTTTAGACATAGATCTGGGGAGTGCCAGCCTACAATCCCATTGCCAGAGAGTCTGGGAAACAGAAACTTCATTCAGTGGCTGATGGAAGAAGAGGCAGACTCCCATGGCTAAGCACTGAGCTGAACTCAAGAAAGCCAGTAACAGAGAGGGAGGACTGATGACCAAAGGGATTAAGACTGGGCTGGTTTAACCCCCAGAAACAGCTGACCTGACAAGGGTTAACTCTTTAATCCCAGGCTAATGCCTGGGAATCCAGCATGGGACTGATCAAGACCCCCTGAATGGGGGTGTCAGTGAGGAGGCCTAGGTAATCTATTGAGCCTTGGGCAGTAGATCAGTATTTATCCTGAGTATACACAGGGACTTTGGACTCCCATCCAACAATGTGAGATGCACTCTCACCCTGAACTCTTGGGGGAGAGTCTAGGCCCTGCCCTGGATGAAATGACAGACTATGGACTCCCAAGGAGGGCCTCACCCTCCCTTGGGAAATGAGGGGATATTGGGGGGGTGTTGGGGTAGGGCACGGGAGGAGGGGAGGGAAACGGACAGGGACCTGGAACTGACTTGTGAAGCAACCTTGTTTCTAATCTAAATTTAAATTTAAAAATAAATTTAAAAATCACAAAATATGAAAAAAATGTATATATAGCCTTATAGATGGAGTTTTCCTGTCCTTCAGCCATTTTCAAATAAATATACAAAGGCTTTTATTAATTGTAAAAGCTCAGCCAATAGCTCAGACTTGCTTCCAGCTAACTCTTACATTTAAAACAACCCATATTTCTTATTTATGGTTTGCCATGCAGCTTGGTACCTTTTCTCAATATGGCATGCCCATCTTGCTTCTCCCTGTCTCTGCGGGGAACTCCTCTGACTCTGCCCTTCCTCGCCAGCATTCTCAGTTTGGCTCTCCTGCCTAACTTTATCCTGTCCAGATATTGACCAGTCAGTTTGTTGATTAAATCAATCATAGGTCATATATTCACACAGTGTACAGAAGGATTATTCCACAGCATAACCTGACTCCATACATATGCAAATAATTGGCAAGAGAAGCATTCAATAGCCTTTTCAATGAGATTCTTCCTTGCTATTATCCCAAAACTCAACAAGTAGCCTCTTAAAACTTAGCTACCATATGGGGTCAGAAAAATCTATCATTGAACCTTCTGTATACTTGGTTACACTAAATCGTATTAGTCTGCCTTAGCCTTTCATCTTTATCCATGCATGATTTCATAACATGCTTTGGTCATTTATACAATATTGACTAATTATACCAATCCCATAAGTATTGTTTACTCAATAGTCTTTAAATCAGATTTACATCTAACGAGATGGCTCAGTCCATCTCCTTTCCACACAAGCATGAGGACCCAAGTTCAATCCCCAGAACCCACATAAAAAGCTGGACATCACACACACTTGTAAGCACTGAGGAAGTGGAGACAGACTTGATCCCTGGTGTTTGCTGATCAACAATCCTGACATAATTGGTCCCAGGTCCCAGTGGAAATATGGTAGATGACTCCTGAGGAATGACAGCTAAGGTTGAACTCTAACCTACACACACACACACACACACACACACACACACACACACACACACACACTAAATGAGTAAATAAATGCCTTTGCTGCTTTGTCAGGGACATTCTGAAGTGACAACTCTCTGTGAGCACACACAGCGAAGGACAGAAGGGTGGCTACTACCTCCAGATGCCATTAGCTCAAAGACGGCAGTAGTTTTCCCCATTCTAGTGCAAATGGAGACACTGTGGGACAGGTACAGGGTGTGGGTGCTCAGGGGGCCAGTGGACCACACTCTGAGAAGTGCGATTCTGACCTGACTATGGCCACAAAGCGTGAGAGGGAGAGGCCTCCTGACACCAGCAAACTCCACACCCAGAATGCTGTGAGGAGGAAAAGAGCATAGTCACTGAGCAGACACACACCTACTGCTTGAATCTTTTCTCTATTACATGTGTTCTTGTTGATTTAAAAATAAAAATTCTGAACCGGCGGTGGAGGCGCACGCCTTTAATCCCAGCACTCACGGGGCAGAGGCAGGCAGATCTCTGTGAGTTCAGGACAGCTAGGGCTGTTACACAGAGAAACCCTGCTTCAAAACACCAAAAACAAAAATAAAATTATGAACAAAGGTATGAAAACTGCTGTAATTCTACATGCCATATTTCAAGAACTATATGATTTTTTTAATCTGCCTTCATCTTTGAATCTAAATTTTGGATTTTCTTGCAGAACATGAAAAGGTTGACTTGGATGTATTGATGGATGCAGCAAAATCTTTCACAGGTGGGAATTCCTCTAAGACGGAGCCCTGATCTGGGTAGGGAATTACCTTTCTTTAGTGGCAGTCTGTCCCTCCAGTGTTCACTAAGGTCACTCTGCTTCTCATCTATTCATAGTTTTGACTCATTGATAGCAATTTCCAGTATTAGAAATTTAGGAGAACTACAGACCTCTCAGAGAGAAATACTAACTTCATTATTTGTCGCTGTAACAATAAACGGCATACTTGTTGAGGGTATAGGTAACTGTTTATTGTAGAAATTACCTACAAGAGAAAACGGGCAACCCAGATGGGTCAAGTAGCCTTCGCTACCGAACCGGAAGCCAAAAAGAGAGCGAATGTGGTTCTGCTGCAGTCTTTTATAAGAACCTCCTTACATGCATCTAGCCAGGCCCACTTTTGGCATAGTTCACCGCCCTGTCTCTAGTCATGCCCAAAGTGGGTGTGGTTAGTGGCACGGTTCCGCCCTCTTGTATGCGCCTCTAGAGCACTATGTGGCTAATGGTGCAGTCCTAAGTTTCCTCCTACAAATATTTGTATCAGTACAGTGTTCATTTCACTGGTGTCAGAAGAAACAAAGTATAGATTACCATAGTGAATTTGAATGCAAAAATTTTATATCAGGAATATGAACAGTCAGTCTCATAATTCAAGCCATTAAGTAGAAATGAGAGATTTTGACTTGCAAGTACAATATATAAGTCCTATACCATCTGTCGTAATGTTCTCATGCTTGTATAACAAAATACCACAGACTGAGTAATTTATAAACAGTAGATGTTTATTTTTATCACTGTGGAGTCTGGGAAACCCAACGCCAACACACTTGCATACTCAGTATCTGCTGAGCTTCGGACCACTTCCTGCTTTAGGGTGGTACCTTTGGCACTGTGTCTTCCTCGCACTGTGGAGGATGGAAAGGGAAAACAAAGGGCCTCCTGCTTTGTGGGGCCTCCTCATAGGTTCAGAATCCCGTGCAGGAAAAGCCCCATGACCTCACTTCCTCCTGAAGCTCCTGCCTCTTGTTACCATTATACCGAAGATGAAGTTTCAATGAGAATTCTGGAGAGAACTCAAATTGTAATGCTGCCACAGTCACTAGCTGTCACACAGTGCTGCTCCGTGCTGTGCTGACCCCCAGCACAGTAGACAAGTGTTGTGCTCTTACCGACTTTAAAAAAATGCTTTCAAATACTGACTTTCAAATAACCCCAAATTAGTGGTGTTGGCTCACATCTTAGTGCTTGCTTTGCCTTGCAGATAGAGACAGTGCTGTACTTTGTTACATTTCTCTTAAACTAAAATCGTTATCTCTTAACCTGAAATGACTTCCATTTACTTAAAGGAGAAAGGGTTGACACCAAAGACTTAAAAAACGTTCTTGGAAGCATGGGAATTGCACTCACTGAAAGAGAGGAGTCGAGGCTGTTAAAATCTCTGCCCATCGCTAGTGAGTATTTAGCATGCTGCCGGTGTTCAGAGGAATGAATGGGGTCTGTGGGCTTCTGGGTGAGAACCGTGGTGAATAAGAAGCCCTTGTCTTGTTTTGTGTTTCAATTTGAAAATGAGAAACTTCTGTCTTATATTCAGCCAGTGAGCCCTGGCTAAATTCTCTAGCCCCGTGTCCAACCTCCTGCAGTGTACCTCACTTCTGTCTGTCCCCTGGGAAACCTCCCACCTCCCCACAATCTAGCTAAAACGTGAGTTCCTGTGATCAGGGTCCCTCCAGCAACACGAGTTTGTTCGGACTGTACCCGCTCTGTCAGTGACAGGACCCACAAGCCCCTCTGGAATTCCACCCCAGACCGCCTGCATGGCTCAGAGCTGGAGACGGGAGACCTAGAGGCTTTACTGACTTTCACCTATGCATCCCCAGGGACCCCAACAGAGCCGTTCTTCCCTGCCCCCATTGTTCCTATCCCAATTGTCCCCCAAGCAAGGGCAAGCTTGCACACTGGCAAGGGTACTAGTGCCCCCTGGAGGAGCAGCAGTTTCCTGAGTGGCCAAAGCTTAGTACCCATCTGAATTCTTGTTACATGCTCCCAAGACTGCATGTTTCCCTGTGTCTGCCACCTCCTCCGTCTGAATTCTTGCTGCATGCTCCCAAGGCTGCCCATTCCCTGTGTCTGCCCTTCCCCCACCTGCCTCCTCATGGTTCTCTCCAGGAACCAATGTTGATAACTGCCTCCGCTTCCCCTCCCCTACATCCTCCCTTCTTGTCTTCCCTGCCTCCCTCCCTCCCTTTGATGCTGCCTGTGATCTCTTCTGCCTGCCACCCTGCAGCTTTCTTAGCACTTTGGTTCTACGAAAGTAGCAAGGAGAGGCAGATGGCCTGTACTGGAGACTACATCAGACACGTGCCGGACACGGAGGCTCCAAAGGCTGGAGCTCTCTGGGGCCAGATAGAACCCATGAGAATATGTTGTACTCATGGATGTTATCTGTCCCAATCTTACTTCACCTTCACTTACGGAGTTAATTTAACAAGTAATTCAAAATATTTCTTTTTATCACTGCTCAAATTGACAACTTTTTATGAGGAAGAGAGCGACTCATTACACAGCTCAGACTGGCCTTGAACTCACTGGCCTCAAATCATGATCTTCCTGTCTCAGCTTCCCAAATGCTGAAAAGAGGCATGTGCTATCATGCCTGGCTGGTAACTCCTTTTAATATTACCCTTTTATATGGTCTGCCATTTGGGCTAAACATATAGGTATGCCTCATGAACAGAGAGAGGGGGAAAGACAGAGGCTATAGTGCAATAGCAAAGGAAAACAATAAGAAAGGAGAAGAGAAAATAAAATGTGTAACACTCCTTATCAGTTGCCATGTGTCCCAACTAAGTCTTAGACTTAGCACGCTGAGAGCAGTCCTTCTGCTGTTACCTGAGGGTGAAACACATTCCTAGATGAGTCATATAAAAATGTGTTGTAATTCTTGGCTAGAGATGTAACTCAGTGGTTAGCTGCTTGCCTCGTTGTACAAGGGTAGAGAAAGGGGAGGGGATACAGTGTCACCCTTTTCCCTGTGTTTCACCATGTCTTACAGAGGATGGGACTGTCTTTAAGAAACGATTGCTGGACAGTGTGGTGTCCATCAAAGGTAAGCATCCTGAGAACAGGCTTGCAATTCCTGCACATTGCATTTGCTTTGTTTGAAGGTCTCATTGATTGGGATCTTGCTAACCCACATGGCTAACAGCCTAACATTCCTCTCTTGTCTTACTGCGGCTGAGCAAGACATTGTCAGTACTGTGTCACTGTAGCAGACTTGGGGTTGTTTTCATTTATGAGGTTATCTTTATGACAGCTTATCTTCCTCTGAAAGTTGTGCCTCAGTGAGGAGCCTTTTCTCTTCCCAACTCCAACAGTGCCCGATCTGGGTTGTAAAATACCCAACATCTCACTGTCTCCCTGGGATTGGATTGGATCCATGGTCCTTAATATCCATAGCCTTTTTTTCAGAACTTATTTTTTAAATTATGTGTCTTATATGTGGGTATATGCACATGTGTGCAGGAGCCCATGGAGTCCAGAAGAGAGTCTCCTCCCCTGGAGCTGGAGTTACAAGTAACTGTGAGCTGTGTGATGTGTGTGCTGGGAACCGGACTGCAGTCTTCTGGGAGAGCAGAACACACTAGTAGCCCCCGAGTCTCTCCCGCTCCACTCTCCATGTCCTTAAAGCTGCTGTCTCCCACCTTGGGAATTCCTTGCATTTACTTCCATCTCCTTATTTCCTAAGGGAAGAAAGTTCACAGCTCTAAACTACCAATCGTTTTGAAGGCTGCAGAATTTGAATTTGAGAAGGAAGATTATGATGACCTGATAAATCACCTGCCTATCGATGGTGAGTACTTCAGATACCACTGTCCTAAAAAGGAAGCCAGGGCTTGGTATAAGGCCTTCTAAGAGTTTTTTTTAAGTCAGTCTCTTAGGAAAGCTTATGGAATATTTCACTGTGTTCCGAGTAGTCTATGCAGTCAGTTAAAAATGCGACCCGCCCTCATTTCTTCCCTTGTCTCTTCCTTCTCATGTTTACCTGTTTCTGTTTGTTTTGGCTTGGCTTGTAGCCTATATGCTTGTCGGCTATGCATAGCCATCCTCCTGAGTGCTGGGATTACTGGCATAAGCATATGTATTTTTTTAATGAAACAGTTCATTAATGGTTTGATAAGATCAATTTAGCTGGACAGGAATGTCAAAGAGGCAAAAACCAGTGTAATCCATTAGGAAGAAAATAAGACATGAGCTGCAGCCTAGGGCCTTCATGAGAGTATTCTGGAATTCAGACCCAGAAGGAAGGAGGCTAGAGGGAAGGAGTGACAGTACACCTCAGAATGGTGTGCTAGACGGAAGGAGTGACAGTACACTCAGAATGGTGTTTGGTGATGGGCAACGTCTCCAAACCTCCTCCAGCTTCTCCTTTTTGTTTCTTCTTGAGCTAAAATAGTTCATAATAGAAATTGTGAAAGATGGCTTAATCCCAGCTCTTTACAGCAAGTTTGGTTTCTTTGTTGTTGTTGTTGTTGTTGTTGTGACTTTTCCAAATCTAACTGGAGCTCTGTGCCTGGATGTCTTTTCTTACAGAAAATGAAATGGTTGATTTAGATGTGCTCATGAATGAAGCAAAAACTTTTACTGGTGAGTAGTTTTGGTTAAAAGGTATTCGTTATTAACTAAGGCCTTAGTATTTTATAGAAGAAAATGTTGTATTCAAACACTAGTTTCCTTTTGGGGCTACCACTGACATGCTAAATTAACTCTCCTACAAAATGAAGAGTTGAATATGTGTTCCACACTCTTATATTTGATTTGGGTTTTGCTTATATAGGACCTGTGGGTGTGTGGTATGTGTGTATGGTGTGTTATTTGTGTGTTTATATATGTGTATGTATGTGTGTGTGGTATGTGTATGTGTGTGTGTTTATATGTGTGTATGAGTGTACGGCGTGTGTATGGTGTTTGTGTGTGTGTGTTGGACTTGGGGAGTCATTATTGGGGATTAGACCTGCTGTCTAAATAGCCAAAGCATAAATTCGGTCTCAAAGTGGGGTTTGATCTGTATCTGGAATGTGAACTTTCCCTTCTCTTGAATTGAAGTATAAATTCTCCTTCTATAACATGTGACACATTCACATGTACCTTGAATTTATGTAGCTTAACGATTTTCCTTGAAATTTTACCCCTATAATAGTATTATGCCCCATAAGTAATTTAAATAATTTTTCTATCATCTAAAACCATCCATGCTTGGGGCATAGCTCAGCCCCGAGAGTGCTTGCAGGAGGACCGGTTAATCCAAGTGCTAGCGATAGAGTCAGGCAACCCCTGGGGTTCACTTGAAGTCAGAAATCATCATTACCTACTCAGAGGACCCCACTTCCCAGTGAGAGACTCTACCTCAAAAATAAAAGACGGGAGCCTCCTGAGACTCAAAGGCTGACTTCTGGCCTCCACACGCACATGTACAGCACAGGAGTGCTTGCACAGCCACCCCATACGTAAATAAAAGCACTTACCCATTGCTAAAATTCTTACCTGGTAAAAATCTGCATCTTTCTAAAGGGAAGAGAGTCGAAGTTGATGATCTGAAAAATGTGCTGAGGAAATTGGGTCTGGTGCTCTCCGACAAAGAGTACAAGGATCTGCAGAAAGCCCTGTCAGTTTACGGTGTGTACCAAGGTCACTCCTTCAGACTTGGATTGGGGGCAGAGGGGTGAATGCTTCTGGAATTATACATTGGTATCCCAGAAAACACAGTTCTCATGGTAGGAGAAATCTTGTTGCCTATTCTTGAAGACTGACAGTGTCTCTCCCAAACCTCTACCATCAAACTTAAATGTCCCTGCTGCCCTGGGCATATTGCCAACTCTAAATGATGACCAAGAAGAGCAAGGGAGAGATGACTCGGAAATTCTGAGTGCTTGTTGCTCTTGCAGAGGACCAGGGCTTGGTTCTGAGCACCCACAAATCAACTCAAACCCATCTATAACTCCAGTTCCAGTGGATCTGATGCCCTCTCTGGAGTCCGCACACATGTAATGCACAAAACACCCACACACAGCTTTCAAAAGAAAAGGGGGGAAGGGGGAATTCAGATTTTCTAATTCAGTTATTGTATATACTTATAACTCACTTCTTCATATTTGGTTCCAATCTTACATTATGGTAAAAGTAAACTTCTAAACAAATCAGAAGGGTTGTTTGAGAGGTTTTCCTAAAATCATGGATATTGCCTTGTGTTCCTGCTGTCTCTGTCAGTCTTCCCAACAATTAGCTTACGTCCTGAATGCTATCTTACCTTACAGCTGGTAAGAAGATATATAAGAAGCGACTGCTAAAGTTCGTGAAGGGTCTCAAAGGTGAGTGAGACACATGGTGGGAAAGCAAGTAAAAATCCTTGGCCAGATGCCTATAGCCCTCCTCCTTGGGAAGCTGAAGCAGGAAAGGTTATGAGTTCAAATCCTGTGCACATTATGTAGCAAGGAGGGAAACATTCATGTTTACTGTTAGCTCTTAAAATGTTCCAGCTTCGCTCCCTGCCAACTTACTGGTCCATCGATAGGACTTGTAACTTGCTTCTCATGTTTGAACGCATAAACTTAGAGAGACATAGAAAATCTTAGCAGTTTTCTGGTTAGAGTTGTGTTGACTGGCTATTTCAGTCATAAGACATTAGACTGGCCTTCTCCTCTGTTGATTACTCATGGAGACTGGAGACGCCTGGATTGGTTTAAAGGGAATATCCTATTTCTAGTTTATATACCACTGTCCTTTAAATTTGGTATGTGTATGTGTGGTTGTTTTTGGGGATAGGACCTTATTCTGTAGCCCAGAGTCGCCTGAAATTCATTTTGTAGTCCAGGCTGGCCTCCAATTTTCAGCAATCCTCTTATCTCGGACAATTAAGTAATGGGGTACAACTATGATCCACTACACCAGGTGCTCTTTTTTTTAATTAGGAGACTATATTTTAAAGTGCTACCAGAGACTGAGACAGGAAGATTTCATGTTTGAAGGCATCCTGTACAATGTAGTCATATAATTTTTAAGGACGTGATGGGGGTGTGACTCAGTGGTAGAGTGCTTACCTAGCATATGCAAGTCCTGGATTCAATTATGAAAAAAAACTACCAGAAAGTTCTCCAACTTGAAAAGTAACCATGTCTCAAGAAAAATCACTACTTGAGAAGTAAAGGCCAAGTAGGACAGAGCTGGAGAGACAGTTCAGTGGTTAAGAGCTGCTCCTGCAGAGGCCCCGGGTTCCATTCCAGCACCCACACGGTGGTCACAACCATCCGTAACTCCAGTTCCAGGGGATCCAATGCCCATCTGACCTCTGTGGGCACCAGGCATGCACATAGTGTGCATAAATACATGTCAGCAAAATACTCATATACCTAAAATAAAGTAAATCTAATTGACATGGCAATGTGATTGAGGGAAAATCCAGTGGGGTCCTAACCTGAGGTGAAAAGCTACAATTAATGACTGCTGAGAGAAAGAGTCTTCCCTAGCAATGAATATCCTAACTGGTTATCCAGTACCAGGTGGTCTGTCCTGTGCGTGTCTGTCTGTCTGTCTGTCGTCTGTCTGTCTGTCTGTCTGTGTCTGTATGTCTGTCTGTTTGTGTGTGTCTGTGTCTGTGTGTAGTACTGCACATATATATTTAGTATGTGCAATACTAAATTAACTCAGTAGATTGTATTTATACATTTATTTTTATATGTGTAACAATAATTAAAGAATAGGCAAGCCGGGTGTTGGCGGCGCATGCCTTTAATCCCAGCACTCGGGAGTCAGAGGCAGGTGGATCTCTGTGAGTTCGAGGCCAGCCTGGTCTACAGAGCAAATTCCAGGATAGCCTCCAAAACCAAAAAAAAGTAGAAAAGAAAAGAATTGGTAACCATGAATTTGAGAGGGGTTGTAAAGAGCAGTATAGAGAAATTTATATAACTATATTTTAATTTTTTAAATATTCTTAAAGTTTGTAAAATGTCAGGCAGGACAAGGCCTGTTTGATTCCCAGCACACACACACACACATACACACACACACACACACACACACACACACACAAAGAAAAGGCAAAAGTCTCCTTGTCTTCCACAGATGTAATCCTTCCATTAAAGACAAACACTCTTAACAAGTGAGTGCTATTTCCCCCAGGTTTTGTCTACGTTAGCAGATATATCTATATCTTGGGCATGCATACATTAGCAGTTTCCTTGGGCTCTAGTGGTTAACCTCCCAGCAGGAGTTTCTGATGTGTGAGCACAGTCAGTTTTCCTTACCCTTAAGCACCAACACCCACATTCTGATCCCATGCCCTTCTTTCCTAAGGGCCACGGGCCAAAATTAAAAAAGTGGAATCTCTCCTGGAAAACCTGGGAATTAAGATGAAAGATGAAGAACTTGAAGAACTAATAGCCCAACTGTCATCTGATGGTGAGTGTTGCAGACCCGCCCTGTTCATCAGAGAAATGCAGCCCTCTGTGAACACTGCTTCTGCGTCTCCTCTGCATCTGTCACTCATCTTGACCATTTCAGTGTCTTCATGAATATCAGGAGTTTTAAGCTTGCTGTGCCATGGACCTGTTTCTATACCAGCTATAACAGTACCCTTCTGAGCAAAATTTTTGAAGCACAGGATTACAAAGAAACAAGTGATACTAAAATTTAGTTTATCAAAACATTCAAATTACAAATGGTTACTACTTTTTAAAGAACTTAAGTTCTTCTAGCAGGTCAAATTGTTGTCACTTTAAAATATAGATGGGCATAGGCAACGTTTCAACATATTTGCAACAATAACACAGGCATGAACCTTGAGTGATTTATACTAGTGACAAAATTACAGGTTCTGCTGTCTATGGTTTGCTGTCTAAAGAATCTGGAAGAGAAAATACTAAGTTTCAGTTAGTAGTTAGTGAAAATAAGTATATATTTTTCCTGCTCAAGCTCAAGAAATCCCTGAATTCTATCAGTACATGAACACCCGGTTAAGAATCCCTGATAGTCATCCTGATCCCCTGTTCCCTGATGTATTTGTAAGCAGAGCTCTAACAAAGCAATAATGGAAACTATGTGAAGCAAGTTAAACAAGGAAATAAGTCAGTGTCTGGGGAGATGGTTCAGCAGTTAATGTATACTGTTCTTGCAGAGGGCCGGAGTTTGATTCCCAGCACCCATGTAGGGCAGCTCACAGCTGTCTGTAAATTGGGCTCCAGAACACCAAACACCTCTGATGTCCCTGGGCATCTGCTAATGTGCACATTCCCACACAGAGACACAACACACACAATCAAAAAATGCATACACATAGACCCACATGCAATGAAATGGAAATCTACCTTGTTTCTCTGAAATGATGTAGATGAAAGCAGAGCTCTGAGCTGGAGAATGATGCTGTTAATTAGGAAAAATATACATAAACTAAAATATATTACTGTGCCATTGTTCTGTAAACATTGAATATGATGTCCTGATGCCACTGAAACATGTCCTGTGGCAGAACAGAGCATGAAATGCCAGCTCCAGCTTCTCTCCAACCATGAAGACTTTGATCCCTCTTCCTCTGACTTCGCATCTTCCTTCTTTAGATTCCATGCTTATTACCACATAACATTACAAACTCTCAGAACTCCTACCAAACACACTTGGCAAAAACCTAGCCATCTCTTTACCCTGCACTTACTCTTGAATAACTCAAGAGGGCTGGGGAATCATAAAACCATGCTAATAGAATTCACTTCAGATAAACAGTCACAGATTTCCAAGACAGTCCCTGACACTTCAAGGAAGTCTCTGCTACATTTCCCAAGGACTGCTGTCTTACTCTCTGGACAGTTGCACACTTTCTCTACTCAAACTTCCAGTACCTTCTCACCTTAACTCTTTGATGACCTCACCTCAGACTTCACAAAGAAAATAGATGCAATTAGACAAAAAGGTCTTTGTTTCCCTACCTTCCTTTTTATGATCTCTCTTACCCAGGGTCATACATATGTCTTACATTTTTATCTTGCTATAAAGGAAAAAGAATCACTTCTATGGGCTGGAGAGATGACTCAGTGGTTAAGAGCACTGGCTGTTCTTCCAAAAGTTCAATACCCAGCATCCACATGGTTGCTCACAACCATCTGTAGTGAGATCTGGTGCTCTCTTCTGACCTGCAGGCATACAGACAGACAGAACACTGTATACAGTGATTTTAAAAATCACTTCCACAAAGAACCAGTTTTCCACTTGTGCATTGGGTCCTATTTCTTCTTGCCATCTCAGAGACCTGGTTCCTCAGTGCTCCCCTTTTATCGCCTGTATCATGAATGGCTTCTTTGCTATGCTTTCTCTGCATGCTGCCATTGATAACAATAGGCTAGTCCATCACACTTGTAGTCTCCTGCTACAAGTTCCTCTTGGCAACAGAGGACCTCAGAAATCTACTGCTCAAAGGTAGGCAAAGTGATGCACTCTGATTTCCAGCATTTGAGAGGTAAATTCAAGAAGATCTGAAGTCCAAGACAGTCTTTATCTGCATACTGAGTCTCACCTTCTACTACTTAACACTCTCAAACTAGGCTTTCACCCCTAGCATCTCACTTGCCCCGCTTTCAACAAGATCATCAATGACCTGCCTTTGCCAAGGTGCATGGTCAAGTCTGTTCTTACCTCACTTGGCATCTTCACAGCACTTGACACAGGTAGCCACCACTTCTTTCTGGAAACTTTTTTCTCCAGATTTGAGAGGTTCTATTCTCACATGGCATTCTTATTCACTCCACTTCCCTTTTTGACTCTTCCTCTCATACAAGATCTCCAAATAACACAGTGCCAGGGCTGAACCCACACCTTCTTCCTAAGTGATTACGTCCAGTACCATTGGGTCATATAATTAAGTAAGTGGATTTCTCTAGGTCAGTGTGAGTTGGGAATAGTATATCAAAATTATTCATTTGATGTTTCCATTTAGATTTCTTGAAAATATTACCAAGTCACTAAAATTATTAGTTAATTCTTCCAGCTCTCAACCTTCCCCATCACCCTGATGACTGGAGAGTATGGAAGATTAGACTTCGTTCTTCTGCTCTCCCTTTCCTCAACCCACATTCAAATCTCTCTCTACCTGACAAACATGTCCTAAATCCAACCTTTTGTCATTGTCTCCATTGCTGCTATCCTGGTCCAGCCACCATCATCTCTTTCCCTAGCCAATGAAATAGTCTATCTAATCTCCATTCTTCTAAGTTCCTTATTCTGCACATAACAGCCAGAGTAACCATTTGAAAGCTGAAATAAAATCAAGTCATTCCTTGTCTTCGAGACCTACAATACTATTCCATTGCAACCAGAACAAAATCCAAACGTTCCATCATAGCTTACAAGGCCCTGTATGACTGGAGCCTGTTGGGACCCAGGATGATGCAAGGCTTTCAAAGAGACCTGATGAAAGGACAAAGGGAATGCCAGTTCTATGCCCTTGCCTGGGGCAGATTTGACAAAGTCTGAGCCAGTGCTGGAGCTAGTACCTCAAAGAAGTTAAGACTTTAGTTCCTGGGTGTAGATGGATTTTTCTTTGGACCACCAACTCACAAATAATGGCATGGAGACTTACTAATTATGAAAGCCCGGCCTTAGCTTAGGCTTTCTCCCAACTAGCTCTTACAACTTAAGTTAACCCATTTATATTAATCTATGTTCTGCCATGTGGCATTACCTTTCTCTGTACTGTCCATCCTGCTTCCTCTGCCCCTGGCTGGCAACTCTACCCTTCTTCTTCCCAGAGTCCTCTCTGTCTCCAGAAGTCCTGCCTAACCTCGTCCTGCCTAGCTATTGGCCATTCAGCTCCTTATTACTCCAATCACAGCAATACATCTTCGCACAGTGTATAGATATCCCAAACACATGGGAGCTAGACTTTTCTCCCTTTGACAGGTTGTGTTTATCAGCTCCAGGGCTGCTGTGTCCTCAGTCTATGATGCACTTGAGATATACTGTGTTCCCTTTGTGTAACATTTGATTAGCTTCCTGATGACTTCATTGCAGTAATTCCCTTCAAACAGTAATAAGATGCTGTACTTCTTAATAAACTTGATGGCATGAGTCATCGTCTCTTGCATACCATCCTATCCCAGCTTTCTCTCTTCTTTATTTTCTCATCTCCAGTCTGTCCCCTAGCACCTCACTGTTTGTGACCCTTACTCCTGTGGGTTTAAGTCAGGACCCTGTCATATTTTCCCTTCCTTTCTGTCACATCCATTCCTACCATAATACAACTGTATATGATAATCTTCTATTGGAATATGCGCCCCCAGCTCTTCACATGACTAACCCTTCTCATCATTCAGTCCAAAACCCAGATGACTTTCCTCAGGGAGGCCTTTCCTGCCTTCCTTGTCTAAAGCATTCCTATTCTCTATTTCTGTTTATTACAGAGACCTGTTTCATTTTTCATAGTGAAAAATTATCCCTTTTGTTTATGTGTTCATTGCTTTTCTTCCTCAAGAGATTGTACACTCAGAACTCATCCTCTTCCCTGACGATGCTTTCTCTAGCACCCACAAGTCCTCACAAAGTACTCAGCACAAGGAAGGTACTCTAACTGATAAAATAAAAATCTGTAAGGTCAGATTCTCCCTATACGTAACTATGCTAAGATGATTCTGGTGGTCTCTAAAGCAATAAAAAAAAGAAAGAAGATACAATCATTTTTCATTTCACAGTATAAGCTTTCTTTGTTTCCAAGATAGTACTATTAACTCTGTGGATAAATCCATAAAACTCTAAGGAAAACTAGAAAAAGGTCACTGAATTCTTAGGCTCTTCCTAATTTCAGAAGGTAATGGTTATAACCTTCATGCATCTTAGAAACATGAAATCATCGTCCTTCACTTACAGGTAACAGAACAGTGGATCTGACTGAACTGTTGGATGCCATCAATTACATCAAAGGTAAGCTTCAAGCCATGATAGGAAACACTTAGAAATAACGTTTATATACTTAGCAATTAATACTGGGCAAGTATCTTTCCCATTCATAAAGGTTGCTCCACCACTGCCCAGCAAGTTTAGACTCTTTTATATGGTATCTTTCCTGTTCTGTGGATTCACTGAACTCAGGTAAGTCATAACATGTATTTGTGCTGACACTTATAGTAATGTGTGAAATTTTTCCTGAAAATCTCCAATATAGAATCACTGAAGAAAGTCAAAACAGGAATTCAAGCAGGGCAGGAACCTGGATGCAGGAGCTGATGCAGAGGCCTTGGAGGGACGCTGCTTACTGGCTTACTCATCATGGCTTGCACAACCTGCTTTCTTTCTTTCTTTTTTTTTTTGGTTTTTCGAGACAGGGTTTCTCTGTATTGTTTTGGAGGCTGTTCTGGCACTCTCTTTGTAGACCAGACTGGCCTCGAACTCACAGAGATCTGCCTGCCTCTGCCTCCCGAGTGCTGGGATTAAAGGTGTGCGCCACCAACACCCAGCTCAACCTGCTTTCTTATAGAAGTCAGGACCATCAATCCAGGGATGGCACTACTCACAATGGGCTGTGTCCCCCATCAATCATTAATTTTAAAAATGCCTTGCAACAGTATCTTATGGAGGCATTTTCTCAATTTATGTTCCCTCCCTTCAGATAACTCTAGTATGTGTGTCAAGTTAACATAAGACTAGTCAACACAAATATCAAAACCCATAGAACCAGTCACACCCTTTACTTCAAACAACCCTCTCCTAGAAAAGTATCCTTGTTCACATAAGTAGTAAGAAAACTATAACAGGTTAGAAGTATCTAAGTGTGTATATGAGAATCACTATACGAACCATTATGTAGTAAGAGAATCACAAACTTGAGATCATCCTAAACTTCATTAATACAATGTTAGGTAAGTGGGACAGCAAGGATTAAAGCACTAACTATAAAGATTATGCAGCATATTCACTTGACTGCATATATACTATAACCAGAAGACTACACAGAAGGTTGGTATGGCCACTGCATGATGATGATACACAAATTCATGAAGTAGTCCATATTTGTCTAGATATATAAAGAACTGCAAAAAACAAACACATAAACTAGGTATGGTGGTGCATGTCTTTAATCCAAGCACTGGGGAGACAGAGGCAGGTGGATCCCTGAGTTTAAGGCCAGCCAGCCTGGTGGTCTACAGAAAGAATTCCAGAACAGCCAGAGCCACACAGAGAAATCCCATCTCAAAAAATGGAAAACAATAAACACCTAAAATACAACTTACCCAGTTAATAAATAATCTAATAAACTGAATAAACAGTTCTCAAAAAGGAAATTCAAATAGCAATACATGCTTTTAAAAGTTCTCAACATCCTTAGCTAGGATAGCTAAGTCAAATCCAAACTGCTTCGAGATCCCAACTCACCCCAGTCAGAATGGCTACATAAAAACACAAAAAGACATGGTGGAGGGTATGAGGCAAGAGGAACACTTATTCACTGCTGATGGGAATGTAAACTTGTGCAGTCAGTGTTGAAGTCTTCAAAGGCTGAAATAAATAGAACTTCATGAAATATGACACAGTTGTCTCTTTGGTAAATACTGGAAGTACTCTAATCAGTTACCACAGAACACTTGCTTATCTGTGTGCTATTCATAATAGCCAGGAAATGTGACCAATCTAGATGTCCATCAGCAGATGAATGGTAGGTGGTGTTGGCACACACCTTTAATCCCAGCACTCAGGAGGCAGAAGCAGGCGGATCTCTATGAGTTCGAGGCCAGCCTGGTCTACAGAGCGACTTCCAGGACAGCCTCCTAAACAATACAGAGAAACCCTATCTCAAAAAATAAAAAAAAGAGTATAATAGAGTACATGTTCCAGGAAAAGGGGTACTAGTTGGGGAAAAGAGGAACCGGTTAGAGCTGGGGAGACGTAAGGAGGAAAGGTAAACCAAAGTAAAATGGCGCATTACGACGAGGCTGTGATGAAATCTGTTATTTTATATGCTGACTTGAAAAATTAATTTTAAAAAGTATTAGCATTTTAAAATATTATGTATTACCTTAAAAATATTTAGAAATAAATTATTTGGGGGTTAGAAAAGCAAAATACAGACCAAGCATGGTGGCACACACCTATAATTTCAGCACTCAGGAAGCTGAGGCAGGAGAATCACAAATTTGAGATCAGCCTGGTCTTCATAGTAAGACAAAATGCAAAATTATATTTACATTAGATTTTCACATTATATAAATACAGTCATTATCAAAAACAAGAAAGAAAAACTGAAATTGTTTTTGTGGTAGAGTAGTAGGGTTTCTTATCAAAAACAAGAAAGAAAAACTGAAATTGTTTTTGTGGTAGAGTAGTAGGGTTTCTTGCCCCTACCACCCCTTTATAGTTAGTGGCCTTTAGTGTGATTAAATCTCTTAAAATTAATAAGAAAAACTATTCTGTATGTTGACATCAGATGAATTCTTAGAATGTATAGTAAACAAAGAAGTAAATTACAGGAAAATGTAGTTAAACAAAAATTAAAGTTTTCACTGGTGTAAATTTCCAGGTACAATGATATATTCCTGTAGTCCCAATCTATTTAAGAAACTAAGGCAGAAAAACTGCATGTTTGATGCCAACCTGGGCAACATAGGCAGCATGAGTGACACAGGGAGACCTTGTGAAAAGGAAGGGAGGCTGGTAAATAGAAAAAACAGATATTCAGGTGGGACAGAAGACAAAAGACATCAGGTTCTACACAGCCCATGGGTTTTAAATCCTGGAGTCCTTCATCACCTTCTGCTCGTATACCAAAGCAGAACAATACCCCAACTTCCCAGTGTTCCTTGTCATTCGAGGTGCACAGGGCAACAGACACATAAGCACAGACAGCACTTGTCATCCTTTGTAAGCATTGTCTCTATAATAAATCTGCACCCATTTCTCATCCTTTCTAAGGAGAAGCAATTGACACCCAGAACTTGGGCAAGTTCCTAGCAAATGAGGGGATGGAGGTCACAGAGGACCAGATGAAAGACCTGATGCCTTACCTGAAATTAAACGGTGAGGGTTTCTGCATGCATGGTGGCGTCTTCCTAAAGGCGCTTTTGCGACCAGCATAGAAGATCCTTAGAAAATCTTTTCTGTATCACCTAAATCACTTGAGTGTGTGTGTGTGAAATGCCTTCTATCTTAGTTAGGATTACTATTTCTGTGACAAAACGCCATGACCAAAAGGCAAATAGGGGAGGAAAGGATCTATTCAGCTTACACTTCCCTATCGCTCACTGTTCATCATCAAAAGCAGTCAGGACAGGAATCAAGCAAGGTGGGAGTCTAGAGGCAGTACTGATGCAGAGGCCATGGAGAGGTGCTGCTTCATGGCTTGCTTCCCCAAGCTTGCACAGCCTGCTTTCTTATAGAACCCAGTACCACCAGCCCAGGGATGGCACCAGCCACCATGAATGAGCTGGTCCTTCCCCCATCATTCACCAATTAAGACAATGTCCTACAGCTGGATCTTATGGAGGCATTTTCTCAATTTATGTTCCCTCTTTTCAGATGACTCTAATTTGAGTGTCAAGTTGACATGAGGCCAGCCAGCACAACTTTGCATGTTGTTGAAATGTATGCTTGGGTTCAGGTCAAGGTGAAGCCTTGAGTGTCTAAGAAGCTCCAGTGTGGCACCAGTAATCATGGTCCACGGGCCACATCTTGACTGCTGAGGAGCTAAGTGGGAAAGAGAAGAGACTATGCCTGTGCTTCCTTTTATCAAACCCTAAGTGAGACCAATGGGCCAGTATGTGAGGGCATGACTCTTACCCAAAAGTGAAGCACAAAAATATTAGCGATTGAAATTAGGAAATAAAAGTGATCAGCAGGCAGAGGCTCAGAAGAAGCAGGGGTTTGAGGCCAGTTGATCATTTGCTGACTGAGATACATTCCTAAGGCCCTGGGTTTGAATTCTAGCACCATAAAAAAAAATTAAGTCAAGTGTGGTGGTGCATACCTTTAATCCCAGTGCTTAGGAAGCAGAGGGAGTTGGATTTCTGTGAGTTTGAGGTCTACAGAGTGAGTTTCAGGACACCCAGGGTTACACAGAGAAACACTGTCTCAGAAAAAAAAAGACCTGCAGCAAAGCCCACATGTACTCCTCAACCTTGTCCTCCACTGCTTCCTTCCTGTTGTGCAAACCACTGAACCATGACTCTCTAACACAGCTTCGTTCCTATTGTCCTTCAGCTTAACTATCACTTTTTCTCAAATGCTCCCCCTCTACTCCATCCCCATCCCACAATGCACCAATGAAGCCCTGTTTGACTGCACCATGCTCCCTGTTACATCCCATGATTCCTACTCCACTATTCACCCTCAGCCAAAACAGCACTGTTTCTTCTCTGAAGTCTGATAGGATTTCACTATAGACAGAATATATACCTCCTGCTCTGGCTTTTTTAGTATACTTCTGTGATCTTCCAATGGACTTTAAAGTTCTTAAAGGAAAAGTTCGATGTCAAATGCTAAGAACACAAAAAGGGATGAATCACAGCCTCTTCCTCAAAGAGCTTTTGGCCCAATAGAGGAAGACGCACATAAAATAATGTGATGTAATGTGATACATGTATGCAGAGGGACATATGGCTGAGGTTCAAGTCTTCTGGGGAAAGACTGCCTCAACAGTTGTGTGGCATCCTTCCTGTCAGAGACAGGCTGCACTCTCACGGTAGCAGAGCACATTTGAGATGGTTCTCAAAAAAGATGTCCAGGTCGCCAAGAAATGAATGAAGACAGGGAAGTAGAAGAACCAGTTAGGAAGAGGGAAAGGATTAGCAGGGGTTAGAGGGAGAGAAAAGGTAATAAGGGGTGCATATGATCAAAATACAGCAATACGTGTAAGAAGATGATATGATGAAACCCATTGTTATGTACAACTAATATATGCTAATAAAAAACTTTTAAAAAGATTTCCCATAACAAAGAGCAGGTCCTTCCCTCCCTATTCTAATGCGTGCATATGCCAACATATTTCTCTTTATATCTTCACTTTTATGTATAATATATATGTGCATTCCAGTGAGATGGCTCAGCGATAGAGGAGCTTGCTGCCAAGCCTGACAACCTGAGTTTCATCCCCAGAATCCACATGGTAGAAGGAAAGAACCAGTTCCTACAAGTTGGTCTCTGATATACATATGCATGCTATGGTTCTCGTGTATGCACACACACACACACACACACACACACACAAATGTAAAAAGATTAAATACATATCTATTGTCATCTTTGGGGAAAAGATACTTATAAACTTGAGACCAGATTCTTTCCCGCCTATGACCAGTAACTATCAACCACATTCTTTTAAACTGCCACAGAAGAACCACACTGAAGAAGTAGAGATATTTATCTCCTTGCCAAAGTCATAGTTTGTTCTATCCTACTCAGAGAAAAACTAGTCCAAATTCCAAAGCAAATAAATACAAGTTCAGCCTAGTACTTTCTATGGGAGGCAGGGGGTGCTTGAGTTGATAGGAAATCACATGTAATGTTGTTGTTAATAATTTCACAACTTTCATTAACCTTACTAAGTTTTTATGTGGCTACCTCTGTGACTGAATCATATGTTTTACAGAAAGTGGAAAGGTTACCGTACAATCAGTAATGTCGGGCCTGAAGAAGCTTAAACGTGAGTGAAAACTTACAGTACAGTTTAAATTGATAATTTGATGTCTTATATTAATTTTCATGTGTTTTCTTGGTTGTAAAAGTAATACATGGAGACATGGAGGAGCAGGAAGGTTGAGTTGGGGAAAGAATAGATGAGAGCAGGATGAGAGATACCACAATAGAGGGAGTCATTATAGGTTTGAGGAGAGATCTGGCATTAGTGAGACTTCCAGAGATCTACAAGGATGACACCAACTGGCAAAGTAAGCAATAGTGGAGAGACTACCTTAAATGCCCATTCCTGATAATGAGTTTGACAATTACCTTATATGCCATCCTAGAACCTTCATCCAGTGGCTGATGGAAGCAGAGGCAGACACCCACAGCTAAACACTGAACTGAACTCCTGGAACCCAGTTGCAGAAAGGGAGGAGTGATGAGCAAAGGGGTCAAGATTGGGCTGGTGAAACCCACAAAAACTGCTGACCTGAACAAGAGGGAGCTCATGGACCCCAGACTGATGGCTGAGAGGCCAGCATGGGACTGATCCAGACCCCCTAAATTTAGGCAGTGAGGAGGCCTCGGCAATCTATGGGGCCTTGGGTAATAGATCAGTATTCATATCTGGCATGCAAATGGACTTTGGGAGCCCATTCCACATAGAGGGATGCTCTGTCAGCCTGGACACATGGGGGAGAGCCTAGGCCCTGCCCCAGATGATAGGACAGACTCTGGAGATCCCCCATGGAGGGCCTCACCCTCCCTGGGGAGCAGAGTGGGGATTGGATGGGAGGAGGGGAGGGAGAGGAAGCTGGGATTGACATGTGAAGCAAGCTTGTTTCTAATTTAAATTTTTTAAAATGACTAAAAAAAGTAATACGTGGAGCAGTACAGAGACAGCTCAGCTGTTCAAAGCTCTGGCTGCTCTTCCAGAGGACCCAGCTCCAGTTCCCAGCACCCACCTGGTGGCTCACAACCACCTGTGACTCCAGTCCCATGGGATCTGATGTCCTTTTCCAGCCCCCAAAGGCACTGCACACACAGGATTCACATGCATGCAGGAAACACCCCTATACACATAAAAGTAAAACAAGGAAAGAGCAGTGCATGGGGCTGCGAGTGTACTCAGTGTGCAGCAATCGACCGCCATGCGCAAAGGCACCGCACAGCAGTGAACAGCCAAGGTAATGCTTACTCGCTGTGGGAAGTGCATGTATTCAGAGAGATGAAACCGTGCAAAAGGGAAAAACTAACAATGGATTAGTTCTGCCTTCTGGCAATAACCCGTAACCTTACCACCATGTTCTCCCTTGTGAATACACAACCGCCTGCATCTGTGTTCTAAGCTCGTACAGAAAAGAATGGACAGGAGGTTTGAATGCTATGCTGAGAAACTGCCTTCTGCCCTCTTCCCACAACCACAGAACTCAAGCTTATACCTGGTCAGTGAGGGAATTTGAATTTTATCTCTGTAGCTGTATTGCCCAACAAGTGAGGTTAACAAGAAAAAGTGACTTTTTTAAATCTGTCTCTACAAGTCTGAGTAATAGGATTTAAGAAAACTTAGGAGATTTATGCAAATACACATAAGATAAACTTTAATATAAAAATACATTTAAATTCTGGGTATTTACACTTCATGTTTCCAAGTTGAAAGTAAGATATGAAAAATGTTTGGGGTTACCACCAAGCCTGATAATCTGAGTTGATCTCCAGGTCATGAATGGGGTGGGGATCAGAGAATTAATCTGAAGGTATCAAAGATAGTATATTAATATCAAAAGCTATTTCTACCTATGCTATCACACTGCTTCTGAGTAACAGGTTACCTTGTGCATGGTACCTCTGTAGCCACAAAGAACTACCATCACTTTGCAGGCTTCCATAACTTGCCACAGATCTTTTTTGGTGTTAAAAGAGTGCAAATTTGGCTTCTCTGGCCATGGCCAACCCAGTCAAATGCAGAAAACTAAACCCTATGTCCACTTTCTTCTGGGACTTTATCTTCCCATGTTTGAGAAATAAAACTAACCCTTATTTTGATGAGAAAAGATAATAAACTGTACGTGGCTAGCCTTGATTTCAGTCCTGACCCAAGTTTTCACTTGAGGAGTAAACTTGTCCTATTGCTGTAAAGAGACCCCACAACCAGGAAAACTCTTATAAAGGAAAACATTTATTTAGGGCTGGCTTACATGTGGTAATGTTTTATTTGTGCTTTAAAAAATAAAGATTTCCTGAAGATCAGAGTGAGGAGCTAAACCACTAGTTAGCCAGAGAGGCCAGGCAGTGGTGGTGCACACCTTTAATCCCAGAACGCAGGAGGCTGAGGCAGACAGATCTCTGTGAGTTCAAGGTGTAGGGTGTAGGGTAGTTATGAGTTGTTGGAAAGACGGGGAGAGAGATGTTACTTAATGAACATGGAACTTTTACTTTGTAAGATGAAAGCATTCAGTAGTTGGTATGTAACAAAATGAACATAGTTAACAGTGCTGAACTATACACTTAAAAACTGTGATCTAGGAGCCAAGGGGTAGCTCTGTGGTAGACAGAGCACTTTCCAGCCTGCACGAGACCCTGGTGTTGATCCCCAGCACACACAAAAATTGAAGTGAAGGTAGCTGGTTCTATATAACACAGATTTTATCACAATTAATAAGAAATAACAATTGGGAGCTTTTACTTCTACCTAGGCCTGTAGTCCTACATATTTGTGAGGCTGGGGCAGGAGGAATTTGAGCTCAGGAATTTAAAGCCAGCCTAGGAAAGCTTAATGAGGTTCTCTCTCTAAAGGAACCACAGTTCAGGACTAGAGAGATGTAGGATCAGTGGATAAAATCTCATACTGTTCTTTTAGAGGAGTACTGTTTGGCTCCCAGAACCTACATGGTGACCTACAACCATCTGTAACTCCAGCTCCAGGGAGTCCGATGCCCTCCCTCTGCCCTCCCTAAGTGCCAAGCACAAATGTACACAGATACACAGTCAGGCAAAACACCTATACACATAAAATAATTTTTAGAATTATTTTAAAATAATAAAATAGGGAATGGAGAGTTGGTTCAGTGGTTAGGAGCATTTGTCTGTTGCAGAGGATCCAGGTTCAATTCCCAGCACCCACATATAAGAGACTCTCAACACCTCCTTAGGCACCAGGCGAGTATGTGGTGCACAGACATTCATGCAGGCAAAACACTCATACATATAAATTAATAAAAATAAAAATAAATCTTAAAATTTTAAATAATAAAATACATCTTTAAAAAGAAACCAGTTTTACTTCTCGACAACTCTACCTAGTAGGAAATGACATTACCCCACATTTTAAAATAGGAAGCCCTTAATACATATTTGTTGAATTAATTTAGAAATTAAACCTTCTTCTTCTTTCCCTTTGTGTTCCTGACTAGAATGGGAGACGTGTTTGAGAAACTTGGTTTGAGAAAGTTATTACCTTATACTGAAACATCCAGACTAGAATAGAGAACAACTGGAAACAGTACCACTAAGTAAACCTGAACCCTTTGTAGAAGCCGGAGTCTGTGTTTATCCACAGCAGGTTACAGGCTCTCCTAACCCTGTGCTGGAGCAGTGGTAGTAGTCATCGTTGTTGTTGTTGGCTTGTTTGTGGAGAGGTGTTGGTTTGGTTTGTTTGATTTGGTTTTGGTTTTGGGGGGTGAGGTCTTTCTTTGCAGCCTGGCTGGCTTAGAACTTTCTAGGTAGACCAGACTCTGAACTCACAGAGATCTTCCTGACTCTGTCTCCCAAGTGTTGGGATTAAAAGCCTGGACCATCACTGGCTTCAAGGATTTAGATGCTATGAAAAAACTCACAACATGAATATTATGATTTCTGCCTAATTGTCCGTTTTTCCTTTTTTTTTTTTTGTTTTGAGACAGAATCTTAAACTCATAGTCTCCCCTGCCTTAGCTCTCCAAGTACTAAGATCATAAGCACACATCACCATGCCTGGAAATTTAACTGCTCTATTTAACTTATTTTCCCCACTGTTAAAGAATGCAAGTGGGTTGGAGAGATGGCTCAGCAGTTAAGAGCATGTAGTGCTCTTCCAGAGAACCCAAATTCAAGTCCCAACACCCACATCAGATGGTTCTCGACTGCCTGTAATTCCAGCTCCAGAGGATCCATGCCTCTGGCCTCTATGGACACCAAGACTTATGTGCGGAGACACACAAGGTGTAAAAAAATTTAATTTTTAAAAAAGAATAAAGCACATGAGATTTCCCCCCTTTCTAGACTTAAAAAAATAATGAAATGGTTTTTCATTACTTTTCAATCAAGGGACCCAGGTAAAATTCTTTACTTGAACAAGTTTCCACATACTTAAGAAAATGTACCCATATGTAAGTTAGAGAAAAAAAAAGAAAGTCCTCTTCTCTAAAGACTTAACAGACTCAAACTGTTATGATTCTGTAATTCACTTCCTCATGTGCCGGTGGGGTACGGAGTGAACCCCGCCAAATACACATCTGCCCTACCCCTGGAAGGGGCCCACAGGTCATCTCCCTGAGCCCAGGCCCAAGCAGTGAATGAGGTCACAGCTGTGTGATGGAACAAACCCTCCCTTTATTGGATTCTTGATCTCAAGTCTTAGATGGTTGGTTGTTAATGGTTGGTTGTTAATGGTTGGTTAGCAGCACAGCTTGAAAGTAGGTAAATGTCAGAATTTTGTATGATTCTATCCTGAGTACTTTCAAAAAAAAATCTATCAACTATATAAGAGATTGAAGGTATTTATTTTTAAGTAATGATTATTTCAAGCCATGGGGACAATTTCACAGCACCTTTCAAGTGCCTAACTTGTTGAGTATCTCTGAGCTTCCCAGCTTTGTGGTAGGTTCTAGATTCTGAACACCATGTAATCGAGTTGTTTAGAAACAGTGGCTTTCCAGGTTCTGAGGCAATGACCTGGGAGGATTCTAACCAAACATTCTGAAATGTTTTTCCCTGTCCCTGGTTTAACAGTACTTGTTGATTCATTATTCCCAAGCTAGCAGCCCTGGCTGCTCCTCAGTGAGCTTTCTGGTATACTCTATAGTTTGGAAAGCTAACGAGTGAAAAAAACCCAAAGGGGACAATTGCCTCCCAGCCCCTGGTCTGCAGGCCATTTCTTAGACTATGCAGAAGGAAGGGAGGACTAGAGAGACATAGTATCAAAAGAGGCTATCCACTCTGCTTTTATGAGAAAGCAATGGACAGGGATGAGAGTCCCAGAGGGAAAGCCTCAGAAAATTTACTTACTAGTGGTGGGTATTATAAGACTGAAACAAATAAGCAAAATTCCTTAATACTTTCTTTTTGGCAATTGTGACATGAAGTGTTTTAGAATAAATGTAATCTTTAGTTTTTCCTGTGTATTTCTACGTGCTTTGTATCATATGTGATTTTTTAATTAGTGAAGGTATACAATTTGATGGTTTGTCATGTGTATACATTGTAGAATAATCACTGCAATCAAACTAACATAAGTCACCTTTACATAGTTCTTATGGGGCAGGGGCACATAGGCAGATTTCGAGTACCCTGTAAATTGGCACTACCTATCCATAGTGTTATACGTCAGGTCTCTTTACAGGCACCTCACCTTGTATAACTGAAGGTTTGTGTTCCTTACCCAACCTCTTCCTGTACCCCACTTCCCACTATTCTGTGCTTCTATGGGTTTGACTATTGTGGATTCTATATGCAAGTGAGAAAATATTTCTCTTTGTGTGCCTGGCTTATTTTGCTTAGTGTTTATTTAGTTTTGGGTTTTTTTTGCGGGGAGGGGGTTCAAGGCAGGGTTTCTCTGTGGCTTTTGAGGCTGTCCTGGAACTAGCTCTTGTAGATCAGGCTGGTCTCAAAGTCACAGAGATCCACCTACCTCTGCCTCCCGAGTGCTGGGACTAAAGGCATGCGCTACCACCAACCAGCTTTTTTTTTTTTTTTTTTTTGGTTTTTACGAGACAGAGTTTCTCTGTATTGTTTTGAAGGCTATCGGTCCAGCCCGGCCTTGAACTCACAGAGATCCACCTGCCTCTGCCTCCCGAGTGCTGGGATTAAAGGCGTGCACCACCACCACCCGGCCCTAGTTTTTTTTTTTTTAAGACATGATTTTACTTATGTATATATACACATGCAGATGACCATGGAGGCCAGAAGAGGGTGCTGAATCCCTTGGGACTGGACTGTACAGATGGTTGTGAACAGCCATGGGGGTGCTGGGAATCTGGGTCTTCTTGCAAGAGCAGTAAGAGCTCTCTCTAGCCCCTGCATTTATTTTTATATAAGATCAAAGAGACATTATTTAAAAGGTAGAGCTATGATAAGAAATTTTGCTTATAGATCTTGGCACAGTAAAAGGACCTTCCCACACAGCCCTCCAATTTTGCATGTAATCCTACTTTGGATTTGCATATGATGCCACTCTTTGAAATCCTAGACTTTTTAGCCCCAGACCTTGAGAGGGAAAACTGGAAAAGAATGCAAAGAAATGACTCTATAAACAGATATAGTGGCACATGCCTGAAGTTCTAATACTGGGAAAGTTCGGGCAGGAAAGACTGAGTTGTAGGTCAGCTGACCTACAAGGTGAGACCCTGTTCCAAAAAAATAAAAAAGGAAAGGAAAGGAAAAGAATGGATGCATGGATGGGTGCATGGATGGATGTGCAGATTGATCCTTTCTTTTATCTTCTGAATTCCAGAAAGAGTCTCTGGCCCCATGGCAGTTTCAGGAATTAAATCAACACTGAAGCTGAAGCCCCTAAAAGCACCCATCTTTCACAAGAGGTAGGTGATATAGGATGAGGAGATTATACAACATCTTCAGATAATGAAAACATAAGCTACATTACGGAGACTAAGACAAGAAAGAGGTAGGTGATAAAGGATGAGGAGATCATACAATTGTCTTCAGATAATGAAGATGTAAGTTACATTACAGAGATTAGGATGAGACAATTAGAATATTTTGTTCTGTGGTGAAGTTACTTAGAACATCTGAGATACAGATTTTATATTGTACTTATTTTGTGTGTGTGCTCACATTATGAACCACAGCATGCATATGGAGGTCAGAGGGCAGCTTGTAGGAGTCAGTTCTCCCCTTCCACTCTGTGGGTCCCAGGAATCAAACTCAGATCCTTGGGCTTGGCAGCAAGTGCCTTCCCACTGAACCATTCTGATGGCTTATGGAAGATTTTTTAATAAAAAGAAAAAAATGAACATTCTTTTTGGCTAGAAAAGTTCTCCTTCCCATTCTCCCAAATGAAGGCCAGTAAATTAGCCATGCACCGCCCCCACGACATACAAGAGAGATTCTTTCTCCTGTTATAGCAGTGGTTTCTCTCAGTCAGCTGTCAACAAGTTCTAGTAAACAAACACGAATGGCCCAATATACATTATGCCACACAGTAAAAGGAAGAACACGCCTCTCCCCCAACTGCCCGTTTTCTTTACCACTTTGAGGCTGTTTTCAGCTTTACCACTGCTAAAACAATCTGATATTTCTAAAGAAAGAAGTAGGACAATAACCTCATAGCAGCCAAACCCCTATTGTCACTGTCCCCTTGAAATCATGAGCTCTTTGACATTGAGAATAGTCCAGCAAAGACTAAGACCAAGCCAAGGGAATCACCACACTAGGTGAGAGGCAAAGCTGGGTTTGTTTCAAATTGGAAGTCCCATGATTCTTTGAATTATTATAAAATGGACTTTCTGTAGGGTTTAGTCCAAGTTTGAAATGGTGCCACGATTTTTGTGGGTTTTGGTTTTGTTTTGTTTTTGGTTGGTTGGGTGTTTGTTTGTTTGTTTTCGAGGCAGGGATTTTCTGTGGACCAGGCTGACTTCTAACTCACAGAATCCACCTGTGTCTGCCTCCTGATCGCTGGATTAAAGCTGCATGACACCACCACCTGGATCCATGGGTAGTTCTTACTTGTAATTAACAAAGTCTTTGTCTACCTGGCCTTCTGCTTTGCTTTGGGTTTTAAGGACATCATATTTCTGTGTCTACTTATCTTTTACATCATACAAAAATTAACTATTTTTATTTGGAAATGCAACACATACATAGTAACCTGAGTGAGAGCAGACCAGAGTCTGCAGAAGGTCAAGACAGGAGATAAAGAGGGGACACAAAAAGAAGAAATTGTGTTAGTAAAAGCTGGGAACATAAAGCAAATTAGGTACAATTTCATGTCAAAAAGTTGAGAACAGGACACCTTAAGATCTCATCACTTCCCCCTAGCCCAGCCGACTTTAAAAATAAGTTGGATCTAATGCTCTAGGGAGTAGTAAAGTAAAGCAGAACGGTTTTATTGTTCAATTGTAATATTTATTATTCCTTCTAGTTTACTTCATTAAGGATTTCTTGTAAAACCACACAAACTGGGGCTGGAGAGATGGCTCATCAGTTAAGAACACTGGCTGCTCTTCCCAAGGACCTGGGTTCAGTTTCCAGCACCCATATGGTAGCTCACAGCCATCTGTATCTCCAGTCCCAGGGAATCTGATGCCCCTTCTAACCTCCTTGGGTACCAAGCATGCACAAGGAAGGCAAGACAGTCAAAAATTGTAAATACATAGAAGTACAGAATACACAAAAATAATGCATAAAAATACATAAAATTGTAAAATAAGTCTTTGACAATGTTTTAATAAAAATAAAACCACAAAAAAATAAGAGACTCTATATTCTTAAAACTTGCGTTATTAGTATCAAAACTAAAGATGTTTAAAATAAATTTATAGGAGCTAGGTGTAGTGGCATATGCTTACCTATAATCCTGGCATGTAGGAAGATCAAGGCAGGAAGATCAGGAGCTCAGGGTCATCTTGGCTACATAGTAAGTTTGAGATCCTCCTAAGCTACAGGGGATCCTGTCTCAAAAAACTTTTATGGTTATTTAATTTGCTATTAAATTATACTTAATTAAAAATAATTACATTCCACTTGCCATATTATAAGCATAGCTAGTTTTGTGTATGTGTGTGTGTTCATAAATTGTGGCAAATTTACACAAAACATCCTGGAAGTATTAATATTCTCCCTCCTTTTCCAGATTTTACTTGCATGAAGATATATAAAGCTACTCAGAGTTCCAAACTTTCCAGAAGTATCTGCCTCTGTCTATGTCATTACTTAATCTCTCTAATATGTACTAGATATACATGTTGGCAATGAAAGTTAGAAAATAATGACACATGCAAAAGTTTCTCCATAAAGGTGGTCAGCACAACATTATTTTCCAAACTAACCGTTGAAACTACTAGCTTCTAGCAATAGTTACAGCTTAAGGTTTATAGCCTTTCGACTTTGCAATCAGAATCTCATCTCACAACCTACCTGTGTGACTTTAAGCAAGCCATTTAATCATCCAGAATGTCTATTTTGTAAAATGAGGGAAATCAGGTAGTTTTTTTGTTTTGTTTTTGGTTTGGTTTGGTTTGTTTTCCACTTTCTTTTTTTATTTAAATTAGAAACATGCATGCTTCACATGTCAATCCCAGCTCCCTCTCCCACCCCTCCTCCCTTGTCCTTCCACCAGCCTCCCCAGCCCCCCACCCAATCCCCACATCATTCCCCAGGGAGGGTGAGGCCCTCCTTGGGGGCATCTCCAAGGTCTGTCATTTCATCCAGGGCAGGACCTAGGCCCTTCCCCATGTGTCCAGGCTGAGAGAGCATCCCTCTATTTGGAATGGGCTCCCAAAGATCATTCATAAACCATGACAAACACTGATCTACTCCCCAAGGCCCCATCGATTTCTGTGGCCTCCTCATTGAGACTACATTCATGGAGTCTAGATCAAGTAGTTTTGTATTTAAAGATTTATTTATTATGTATAGTGTTCTGCCTGCATGTATTCCTTCAAGCCAGAAGGCACCAGATCTCATTATAGATGGTTGTGAACCACCATGTGGTTGCTGGGAATTGAACTCAGGACACCTGGAAGAGCAGCCAGTACTCTTAACTGCTAAGCCATCTCTCCAGCCCTTGTTTGTTTGTTTTTTTGTTTTGTTTTGTTTTGCTTGGTTTGGTTGGGTTTTTTTTGGTTTTTGTTTGTTTGTTTGTTTGGTTGGTTGGTTGGTTGGTTGGTTGGTTGGTTTTTCGAGACAGGGTTTCTCTGTGGCTTTGGAGGCTGTCCTGGAACTAGCTCTTATAGACCAGGCTGGTCTCGAACTCACAAAGATCCGCCTGTCTCTGCCTCCCGAGTGCTGGGATTAAAGGCGTGTGCCACCAACGCCTGGCTTGTTTTTTGTTTTTTAAGAGAGGTAAAGGTAGCTAGAAAATACAGAGTGGGTTGCAGCTGTCCTCAATGTCCCAGCCTTTCAGGGAGAAATTAACTGACAGTGTGCTTAAGTACTGTGACTGAGCATATTGTAATACTTGTCACCATTATTTTCAGGAAAACTCAAAGGTTCCACACCTACATAAAATATGACGCATCTCTTGTCTCTTCCCAGAGAAAAAGACTTCCGGGGATCTCTTCCAGGCCACATACACCACAAAGAAGAGAAGCTGAACCCTTCACAACTGGAAGGTAATGAAAATCATCATGAACGTTAGAACCTAACAACAGCCAACGCAGGGGTGCACTCAGGAGGCTGAGGCGGCAGAGCTCTGTGAGTTCAAGGCCAGCCTGGATCTACAGAGTGAGTTCCAGGAGAACCAGGGATACAGAGAGAAACACTGTCTTGAAAAAAACAAACAGTTGGGCATTGGTGGCACACACCTTTAATCCCAGCACTCGGGAGGCAGAGGTAGGTGGATCTCTGTGAGTTCGAGGCCAGCCTGGTCTACAGAGTGAGTTCCAGTACAGCCTCCAAAGCCACAGAGAAACCCTGTCTCAAAAAACCAAAAAAAAAAAAAGCAAATAAACAAAAACAAATAACAATAAAAAGACCTAATAACAACCCCTCCAAGAATCTGTGAACTTCCTGGTTTATTTATTTTTGAGGCAGGATCTTATTCTTGTAGCTATAGCGAGCCTGCTCACTGCGCAGCCCTGGCTTGTCTAGAACTCATGGCAGTCTAACCTCTGCCTCCCAAGTGTGAAAACTGAAGGCATGTGCCATTGCATCCATCTAGCTCCCATACTGATGTTTCTCTAAAGCACACTTGAGATTTCAAGGAGAATTTGTATCATCCCATCACTTAAAGAGAGGGGAGAAAAAACTTTTAAACAGGCATGAATGTATACACCTATAACTCAGGAAGTTGGTTTTAATTCAAAGCCAGCCTGGCCTACCTACCAAGGCCCTATCTAAAAATAAAAAATAAACTATTCGCTAGATTGAAGGGGGATAACTTTAAAATTGACATCTCTCAAGAATTGAAACCAACTTGGTCAAATTTTACTTATTTATTTATTTATATTTATGGTTTTTCAAGGCAGGATTTTTTTGGGTAACAGCTTTGGGTCTTCTGGAACTCACTTTGTAGACCAGGTTAGCCTCGAATTCACAGAGATCCAACTGTCTCTGCCTCTTGAGTGCTGGGATCAAAGTTGTGAACCACCACTGCCTGGCTAGGTCAAGTATTCTTATCTAGGTAACTTGTAAGGGTGGTAAACAACAAATCACGTATTAATCAGCTACCTGAACAGTATAACACAAAGTGCCAGAACTGGCCAGTGTGGTGACTGTAATCACAGCATTAGGGAGGCAAAGGGACCACAAGTTCGAGGACAGCCTGGTCTACATAGTGTTTTACAAACCAAATCAATTTTGTTCTCAAAAGACCAAATCAAATTAAAATGAAAATAAAATACCAATATTTCTTAGAGACAGAAAAAAAATGATAATGATGAAATTTGACTATCTACAAGTCATGGGTTCAAGCAGCAAACATATGCTTAAGCCAATAGTGTTCTAGGCATAAGAACATTAGACAGGTTCCTGCCCTGGAAGGAAATATACAATGAAAATACACAGGTAAAGTACAAAATTATTCATGGCACAGATACAGGAGAAGTATAGAGTGCTATGGGAGCATAACATAGTGTCCTGATTTGGTTTTCTGAGGCAAAGAAAGGACTCTAGAGAAAGCTGAATGATGGACAAGTAAGTTAGAGAAGAATGCAGAATGTTCCGGGGAGAAAACAGAATCTATCCAAAAAAGGCTCAGCATTATTCACCAAAAAACCTACAGGGGCTGGAAAGAGAGCACCTGCCATGCAAACATGAGAAGCTGAATTGATATCCCAGCACCCACATAAAAAGCTGTAGGGACTATCATGCCAGTACCTGGGTGGGGACACAGGATTATCGCTGGAGCTTGCTGGATACCAGGATTCAATGAAAGACCCTGTTGTTGTGGAATAGAATATTTGTTTAACTACGTAAAGATGTGTGGCTGTTTCACCTTGCATGCCTAAGGCACCTGATTGGTCTAATAAAAAGCTGAATAGCCAGTAACTGGACAGAGGAGGGGCTGGTAAACAGAGAGAACAGGGGAGCCAGTCAGCCTGGGGCCAGACAGACAGACGCGGAGGAAACAGGAAAGCAGGATGGTCAGTACATAGGTGAGGGAAACAAGCCTCAGGGCAGCACATTGATTAATAAGATGGGTGAACTCAAGGCAAAGAAAAAAGTTGGCTAGAAGCAAACCTAAGCTAAGGCGGAGCATTCATAATAATAAGTCTCCATGTCAATTTGGGGGCTGGCAGCCCAGGAAAGCCTGCTATCACTGTCTCAGAGGATAAGGTAAGCATATCCACACGTACACATGTCATATACCACACACACACACACACACACACACACACACACATGAAAGAGAGGAGGAGGAGGAGAAGGAGGAGGAGGCGGGGAAAGAAGAGAATCACCTTTGCCTGCGAAGACCTGCATTCTGACTCCATGTCACATACACACATACACGTTCATGCATGCATTCCCCTCTCTCCCACGACTTTTCTGAACAATTTGAGAAACAAAAGTTAAATATATGACATGTTAACCCAAAATATAAAATAAGCTCGTATGAGTCTGTATGATAGCAATAAATAATGAAGCTAGGAATATAGGTCATTGGTAGAGCAGTTGCCTAGCATGTGAGGCCCTAGGTTCAATCCCCGTTACTGCAAAAAGAATGAAAACTAATAATAATTAAATATTTAATACAAAGTAGAGACAAAATGATCAAGTAATGGCAATAAAAGGGAAAATAGATAATATACGTATTTTTATTTTGCTTTGTTTTCTTGATACACAGGGTCTGATGTAGCCCGGTTTGGTCTCGAACTCACTATGTAGTCAAGGCTAGCCTTGAACACCAAATTTCCTGCCTCTATCCTCGAATGCTTAGATTATAGACCAAGCAAACCACTATGCCTGGCTCTACATTTGGTTTTTCTACCAGTTACTATTCATTCTACTCGATTCTATAATTTCTACCTGATTCTAGTTCAAATCCCAAGAAAAGATGGTATTCTGTCTTTTTAAAATTCTATTGTTCATTTTTCACTCCACGTTTTTTTCAGAACACCATCTTCAGTTGGCTATATGATTTCTCCTAGTCCTGTTCGTATATACATTTCTCCCTCCCCTTCTCCACTTCTGTAGCCCAGGCTGACCTAGACATTACTGTTTAGCCTAAGCGGGCCTCAGATACTCTTTCCACCACAGCTTTCAAGTGCTGGAGTGATAGACAAAAGCTACCATTCCTGACTGTGTTTCTTCTTAAATAACTGTCCTGACTAATGTAATTCCATTTTCCCAGCCTTCCGAAATGCTTACAACTTCTTCACCAAGGATAAAAGTGGATGTATTGATTCACATGGATTGATGGCCACCTTAACTAAACTGGGGATGAATCTAAACACCTATGACATCTATAACGAATTAAAATGTGCTGATCTTGACAGTGAGTATTTTGACTTATTATTTTCCCATAAAATATTTCTATGAATATGTATGTTATCATTTATCCTATAACTGCAAGAAATAACTCTCCCTTATTTACCAAAAATTTATCTCTAAACAAAAGTAAGTTATCTTCCCTGATCTCCATCTCACTTTCCATGGTTTCAATTAACTGGGTCAACTGTGGTCCAAAAATATTAATATTTGTCTAAACTCTTTCCAGAGAAAAAGACCACAGTAATATAACTTTTTATAATAGTATATTGTTGAGGCTGGGCATGGTAGTGCACACCTTTAACCCCAGCACTCAGGAGGCAGAGACAGGAGGATCTTTATAAGTTCCAAACAGCCTGGTCTACATAGTGAGTCCCAGGACAACCAGGGCTACAGAAAGAGACCCTGTCTCAAACACACACACACACACACACACACACACACACACACACACACACACACACACACACAAATATTGTTATAATTATTTTGTTATTGTTGCTAATTTCTTACTATTCCTAATCTACTGGATAAAGCGTATCGCAGATATGTGCATGTGAAAAAACATGGCAGATGCAGGGATCAGAACAGTCCCCAAACCTTACAAAACCAAACCGAAAAGCTTTCTCAGTCACTTCAAGACATCCTCTAAAGTGAGCATCATGACAAGTGCATGAACTTGGTATTGAGAAGGAACAGTCACTCTTAGTTTCCACACAGGAATTTTCTAAAAGTATAATTTTTTTACCTTACGTATACACTCCCACTGATACACTTAAAGAGAATACAAACTTACTGCCTATCATCCTGTCAAAGGCTAGGATTGTAGACATGAGCTGCCACACTCAGGTCTAACCAAGGTTTTAAGGCTTGGAAGTCTTGAAATGCAACTTCTATATCCACCATGGACATGGAACTACCTTATTTGTATCTGTTTCTCTTTAATGATATCAATGGGGTATATGTATGAGCTAAAAAATTTTTGAGAAAATTCCTGTGTGGAAACAAGAGTGACTGTCCCTTCTGAATCCCAAATTGAAATATTTGTCGTGATGCTCAGGTGAGAGGATGTCTTGGAGTGACTGAGAGATGTAAAGGCATAAACAACTTCAAAGACAGCAGAACACTAAGAAAATCCAAGCCCTCAGTTGCCATTTGAACCACAACAATACAAATCTCCCTTCTCTCCTGAGAACACACTGAACTTTAAATGCCAGAGAAATGTTGGCAGTATTTTAAAGCATACAGGTCATAGAATTTGCTTGTTCTCATCCTTGGAGCTTTTTTTGTTAGTATTTGGTTTGGTTTATTTGAAGTAGAGTCTTAATATATCCCAAGATGACCTCTAACTTGCTATGTAGCTGAGGCTGGCCTTGAACTGCTGGTGCTAGGGATGTTGAGCACTTTCTCAAATGCCTCTCAGCCATTTTAGACTCCTCTATTGAGAATTCTCTATGTAGTTCTGTAGCCCACTTTTTAATTGGATCCTTTGGTGTTTTGGAGACTTGCTTCTTGAGTTCTTTGTAAATTTTGGAGATCAGCCCTCTGTCAGATGTGGGGTTAGTGAATATCTTTTCCCATTCTGTGGGCTGCCTTTTTGTCTTGTTGACTGTGTCCTTTGCCTTACAGAAACTTCTCTGTTTCAGGAGGTCCCATGTATTAACTGCCAATCTTAGTGTCTGTGCTACTGGTGTTATGTTCAGGAAGCAGTCTCCTGTACCAATTCGTTCAAGGGTACCACCCACTTTCTCTTCTAAGAGGTTCAGTGTGGCTGGATTTATGTTAAAGTCTTTGATCCATTTGCTGAAAGTATTTGTCAGCTGTAGGAGTTCCCTGGTAGAGTTTTTTGGGTCACTTATGTAAACTATCATATCATCTGCAAATAGTGAAAATTTAACCTCTTCCTTTCCTGTTTGTAGCCCCTTGATCTCCTTTTGTTGTCGTATTGCTCTAGCTAAAACTTCAAGTACAATATTGAAAAGGTATGGAGAGAAAGGACAGCCTTGTCTTGTTCCTGATTTTAGCAGAATCGCCTTGAGTTTCTGTCCATTTAGTTTGATGTTGGCTGTTGGTTTGCTGTATACAGCTTTTATTATGTTCAGGTGTGTTCCTGTTATTCCAGATCTCTCTAGACCTTTATCATGAAGGGGTGGTGGATTTTGTCAAAGGCTTTTTCAGTATCTAGTGAGATGATCATGTGATTTTTGTTTCTCAGCATGTTTATATGGTGGATTACATTGATGGATTTTCCTATGTTGAACCATCCCTGCCTCCCTAGGATGAAACCTACTTGATCATGGTGGATGAGTTTTCCAATGTGTTCTTGGATCCGATTTGCCAGTATTTATTGAATATTTTTGCATCAATGTTCATGAAGGATATTGGTCTGATGTTCTCTTTCTTAGTTGTATCTTTGTGTGCCTTGGGTATCAAGATTACTGAAGCCTCATAATAAGAGGCAAAGACCCTTCTGTTTCTATTGCATGGAAAACTTTGAGGAGAATTGGTATAAGCTGCTCTTTGAATTTCTGATAGAAGTATGCACTGAGGCCCTCTGGACCTGGGCTTTTTTTTTTTTTTTTGGTTGGGAGTCTTTTGGCGACTGCTTCTGTTTCCTTAGGAGTTATAGGTCTTTTTAAATTGCTTCTCTGTTCTTGATTTAATTTTGGTAAGTGATATCTATCCAGAAAATTGTCCATTTCCTTTAAATTTTCAAATTTTGTGGAGTACAGGTTTTCAATGTATGACTTGATGATACTCTGGATTTCCTCAGTGTCCGTTGTTGTGTCCCCCTTTTCATTTCTGATTTTGTTAATTTGCATGTTCACACTCTACCGTTTGGTTGATTTTTTCAAAGAACCAACTCTTCGTTGTATTGATTTTTTGTATTGTTTTCCTAGTTTCTACTTTATTGATTTCAGCCCTCAGTTTGATTATTTCCTGATGTCTACTCCTCCTGGGGGAGTTTGCTTCTTTGTGTTCTAGAGCTTTCAGCTGTGCTGTTAATTCTCTAGTGTAACTATTCTCCAGTTTCTTCATGTGGGCACTTAGTGTTATGAACTTCCCTCGTAGCACTGCTTTCAAAGTGTCCCATAGGATTGGGTATATTGTGTCTTCATTCTCATTGAATTCTAGGAAGTCTTTCTTTTTTAATTTCTTCTTTGACCCAGGAATGGTGCAGTTGTGAATTATTCAATTTCCATGAGTTTGTAGGGTTTCCGCAATTTGTGTTGTTGTTGAATTCTAATTTTAATGCACAGTGATCTGATAAGATGCATGGAGTTATTCCAATATTTTTGGACCCGTTGAGGTTTTATATGTTGCCGAGTATGTGGTCGATTTTTGAGAAGGTTCAATGTGATGCTGAGAAGAAGGTATATTCTTTTTTATTTGGATGGAATGTTCTATAGATAACTATTAATCCCAATTGGGTCTATTAGCCCCTTTGCTTCTTTGTTAAGTTTCTGTCTGGTATTCCTGTCTAGTGGTGAGAGTGGGATGTTGAAGTCTCCCACTATAAGTGTGTGGGGCTTTATATGTGATTTGACTTTTAGTAATGTTTCTTTTATGAACGTAGATGCGTTTGTATTTGGGGCATAGATGTTCAGAATTGAAACTTCATCTTGGTGGATTTCTCCTGTGATGAATATGTAATGACCTACTTCATCTCTTTTGATTTATTTTATTTTAAAGTCTAATTTGTTAGATACTAGGATTGCTACCCCCACTTGTTTCTTAGGTTTTTGATTGGAAAATCTTTTCCCAACCTTTAACTCTGAGGTAATGTCTGTCTTTGAGGTTGAGGTGTTTCTTGTATGCAGCAGAAGGATGGGTTCTGTCTTCAAATCCATTCTGTTAGCCTGTGTCTTTTTATGGGTGAGTTAAGACCATTAATATTGAAGGATATTAATGATCATTGACTGCTCATTCTTCTTTGATTTGGAACGGTTGGTGGTGGTGGAATTATGTGTGGAATCCCACCCCTTTTTTCTTTTGGCTGTTGGTAAGGTGGAATTATCTAATGCCTATGTTTTTCTGGTTGAAGTTAACTTCCTTGGGTTGGAGTTTTCCTTCCAGAACTTTTTGTAGAGCTGGGTTAGAGGATATGTATTGCTTGAATCTACTTTGTCATGGAATATCTTGTTTTCTTCATCTATAGTGATTGAAAGCTTTGCCAGGTGTAGTAGTCTGGTCTGGCATCCATGGTCTCTTAGTGTTGGTAGACTATCTATCCAGGAACTTCTGGCTTTCAGAGTTTCCATGTTGAAGTCAGGTGTAATTCTGATAGGTTTGCCTTTATATGTGACTTGACCTTTTTCCTTAGCTGCTCTTAATATTCTTTCTTTATTCTGTATATTTGTGGTCTTGATTATTATGTGGTGAGGGGACTTTTTTATGGCTCACTATATTTGGTGTTCTGTAAGCTTCTTTAAAAAAAAAAGATTTATTTATTGCATATACAGTGTTTTGTCTACACACCAGAAGAGGGCACCAGATTGAACTGTAGATGGTTGTGAGCCACCATGTGGTTGCTGGGAAATGAACTCAGGACTTCTGAAAGAGCAGTCAGTGCTCTTAACCTCTGAGTCATCTCTCCAGCCCCCTCTGTAAGCTTCTTGTACCTTCATTGGCATGTCTTTCTTTAGGTTGGGAAAGTTTTCTTCTATAGTTTTATTGAATATGTTTTCTGCCCCTCTGTGGTAGTTTTCTTCACCTTCTTCTATACCTATTATTCTTAGGTTTGGTCTTTTCATGGTGTTCCATATTTCCTGGATGTTTTGTGTTAGGGATTTGTTGGACTTAAGATTTTCTTTGGTGGATGAATCAATTTCTCCTAGTGTATCTTCAACTCCTGAGATTCTCTCTTCCATCTCTTATATTCTCTTGGTTATGCTTGTATCTGTAGTACCTGACCATTTGCCCAGCTTTTCTATTTCCAGCCTTCCTTCAGATTTTTTTTTATTGTCTCTATTTCAGTTTTCAGCCCTTGCACTGTTTCAATTGTTTCTTGGATTTTTTGTTTGTTTTTTCTTCCATTTCTTGCACTTTTGGTTTGCTTTTTCTTCCATTTCTTGCATTTTTTGGTTTGTTTTTTCTTCCATTTCTTTGAGGGGTTTTCCTATATCCTCTTTGAGGGCCTCTATCATTTTCATGAAGTTGTTTTTAAGGTCATTCTCTTTGGCTTCATTTGCATTGGAATGTTGGGGTCTTACTGGTGTGGAGTCTCTAGAATCTAGCGGTGTCATATTTGTTTTTCTGTTGCTGAGTGTGTTTTTGTATTGTCTCTTTTCCATCCCTTCTTCTAGTAGGTGCAAAAAGAGCCTCTTACTGCCCTGGTGGTTAGGGGACCAGAGTTCCCTTTCAGTGGGTACAAGCAAGTCCAATACTCTGGTAGTTCTCCTCTTCCTGGTCCTAGTCCTGGTCCCCTGGGTGGAGAAGAAGACCAGGAAACTGGGGTGTGTAGGCTCCTGCCGGGAGGGGAGACTCTATGGCAGTCCCCAAGTACTGGAAGGCAGGCCCAGATACAGGGCCTGGTTTACCTGGTTCCCTGGTCCTTTGGTGGAAGAGCAGACCAGGAATCTGGGGTACGTAGGCTCCCACTGGAAGGGGAGGCTCTGAGGCAGTCCCTAGGCAGTCCCCAAGCACTGGAAGGCAGGCCCAGATACAGGGCCCAGTTCGGTTTGGTTTTTTTGTTTGTTTGTTTTTGTTTGGCTTTTGGTTTTGTTTTGTTTTGTTGCTTTTTGTTTTTTCAAGACAGAGTTTCTCTATGTAGCCCTGGCTGTCCTGAAATTCACACTGTAGACCAGGCTGGCCTCAAACTCACAGATCACTCTGCCTCCCGAGTGCTGGGACTAAAGACATATGCTGTCACTCCTTGACAACTGTCTTTAACTTTAGAGGCAATGAGGTACAAGAGAGACATGCAGATAAATTCCTCATTAAAATGACACTCTCTGACAAAGGATAACAATGGCTAACAGTTTCTGCTGAGTGTTTATACCTTGCCATTGCTTGTGCTGGCTACAAGAGATGAGGGTAATTATAGATCATGTCATAAAGACTGATTTAAAAAACGAGGGTGTTAAGTCCAAGACCAGCATGAGCTACATAGGGAGGAGGGAAAGGGAACCGAAGTTTACCTAAGCATCTTTCTAGCCCTGAATATGCTTATTTTAGGTGTTAGGTGGCTCAGGCAACTTTAGCTTTTATACTTAACATATGTTAAATAATTAAAATACATCCTAGCTGGGCATGGTAGCAGACACCTGTAATCTCAGCAAACTGGAGGCTGAGGCAGAAGGATTACAAGTTTGAAGCCAGTCTAGGCTATGTATAACAAGCACATGCTCCCTGTCTCTCTGTCTCTGTCTCTGTCTCTGTCTCTGTCTCTGTCTCTCTCTCTCTCTCTCTCTCTCTCTCTTGCTCTCACTCTCTCTTTCTCTCTCTTCTTTATATACAAATGGTGTATTTATATAAACCTTTAAAAATATGCTTGTTCTGAGCTCAGATTTCTGTTGCAGGGGATGGTAAGATCAACTTCTCTGACTTTATAGAGGTGCTGACAGATAAGAAACTCTTTCTCAAGGCTGTGGGTGAGTAGATGTCCCTGGGCAGCCCTGCCCACTGCACAGAAAACACAATCCCTTAGGCCGCCAGTCAGGAGACAAATCCAGAAGAGAGAGCCCAGGATGTGATTTTTCTTTGTACTTTCCCTACAAAATAATATCCAATAAACTGATAATATCGGAGTTGCAATTTAAATCCATCTAGCAGCTACTGACATCCTGCAGGAGACACCGCTTTTGTCTCTAATGAAAGCACTAAGGAAGTGACAGATGCAGAAAGTTTAGTTTTCTTTTTCTTTTAATTTATTTTTATTTTATGTGTATGGGTATCTTGCCTTGTATGTCTGTATCAGATCACCCAGAACTGGAATTACAGATGGTTATTAGCAGTCATGTAGGTGCTAGGAATCAAACCCAGGTGTGGTAGAATATTATTTTAAGGTGTGTGACTTTTATTTGTGCTGCATTTGTTTAACTCTGTGAAGCTGTTACTGTCTATCTAAAACACCTGATGGTCTGATAAAGAGCTGAACGGCCAATAGAGAGGCAGGAGCAAGTACAGGCAGGGCTGCGAGGCAGAGAGTATAAATAGAAGGCAAAAGAAAAAGGAGTAGTAAGAGAACAAGGAGAGGAGAACTTCAGGGGTTGGCCATCTAGAAACCCAGCCACCCAGCCAGCCAAGTAGTAAAGAGTGAAAATAAGATATACAAAAAGTAAGAGAAAGGGAAAGTCCTGAAGCAAAAGATAGCCAGGTTCATTTAAGTTGAGAAAAGCTGGCTAGAAACAAGCCAAGCTAAAGCCAAGCATTCATAACAAAGAATAAGCCTCCATGTGTAATTTACTTGTGAGCTGGGTGACCCCCCTAACATACATACACACACACACACACACACACACACACACACACACACACACACACACACACACACAGTTCAAGAAGCCAAAAAAGCAAAAAGTCCTTTAGAAGGGTAGACAGGGCTCTTAACCACTGAGCCATCTCTCCAGCCCCTTGTTTTCCCTTCGTAGCATGTGAGTTCTTAACCAAGCACATGCTCTATTTTTTTCTAGAGCTTGGGTGATTTACTCTTTCCACGCCCTGATGAAGCCTCAGCCCTCAGTGAGAGGCTGGGAAGGTTAGAAAGCTCGCTCTCACCTTTGGCCATCAGCCTCTCACGCTGCTTCTGAACTTAACAGGCTGTCTTGGAAAATCCAACCACTGTTCATATCACATGCTCTGGGGTCCCAGATTCCAAAGCCCACAAGCAGCTTTAAAAACATACCCATTCTTAGGCCACAGACTGTCCCCAAGATAAAGAAAAATTGGTGCTAATAAACACAAATGAGGTTTTCTCTTACTACTGTATTTACTTAGACAGTGAACTATGATTATCTGTCTACTCAATAATCAAAATGACCTTTCCCCAAATAGAACATTTTTAATGTCTTACCATATTTCTAGTCCCTGATTTAATATTGTTAGAAATTCTCAGTAAATTTTTAATAGATGGTTTTCTCAGAAGACATCTGAAGTTTCTCTTTTCTGTTTCCTCTATAGTCCCAGAAAGGAAACCATGTTTGGATTTAGCTAACAACCCAGGGATCTTATTATTTGAAATCCTATCAAAACTTGTAGAGACTTCAGCCCTGCACAGAAAAGACATAATAGAGCTAGTGAGGTAAGTGGTAATGGAACAGGGGAAGGCAGCTTACTGAGGATGTGTCACCAGCATCCTACTTCACAGCGTCCAATCCAAAACAAAAGAAAGGGTCAGGGCAAAAGGTTACATGCCACAACACTCTCTCCTGGTCCTGAAATCACAAGCCTGAGCCCACGCTATGCTGAGGCTCCAAGTGGGCATAAGACTTCAAAACCAGAACAAACCTTTAGCCATCCCTAACCCAAGACGAGCTAGTCCTTTTCTTTTCAGTCTCCGTTCCCTCACCGACAAAGCACAGGTAGTAACAGCACCACCTGCCTTAAAGAGCAATTGTGGAGCCGGGCGTTGGTGGTGCACGCCTTTAATCCCAGCACTCGGGAGGCAGAGGCAGGCGGATCTCTGTGAGTTCGAGGCCAGCCTGGTCTACAAGAGCTAGTTCCAGGACAGCCTCCAAAACAATACAGAGAAACCCTGTCTCGAAAAAAAAAAAAAAAACAACAACAACAAAAAAAAAAAAAGAGCAATTGTGGGATGACACAGAGTAACACAGGCGAAGCCCTCAGCACGTTACACTGCACAATCAGTGATACTTCTTACACTGTGGAATAAGTAGAATAAGGAGGGTGTGCTTATCACTTCATAGAGTCCTCACCGAAAGAGCACACAAAAAATCTGGAAAGCAGATCAAATGCTTGCCCAAGAGTGAGGTGCTGGGGGCAGAGGCAGGCAGATCTCTGTGAGTTCGAGGCCAGCCTGATCTACAGAGTGAGTTCCAGGACAGCCTCCAAAACAATACAGAGAAACCTTGTCTCGAGGGGGGGGGGACAAAAACAAACAAAAAAAGAGTGGGGTGCTGATGTTAGCCCAGGGACCTGTGCTCGTGTCCTCCTGCACTGCCTCCCACCCCTAAGTGGATGGGACACCTTTGCTAACACTGCTCTTTTTATTGAAAGTAGACTGTGTGGTTGTTTTATTTGGTTGTCTTATGAAGTTGTTCTTTACCTGCTGAAAAATTTCCAAATCCTGGGAAATAGAGACCCAAGATCCAAGAAGTCATTAAGACCCTTACTAGATACAGTGGAAAAAAAAGTCATCTCCAGGGAATCATACCGTTAGCCCAGCACATGGGAGACAGAGGTAGGCAGATTTCTGTGAGTTCAGAACCGGCCTGGTCTACATATCAAGTTACAGAACTACACAGTGAGACCCTGCTCCCACAACAAATAAATAAATAAACCAAAAAGTGTAAGACAAAGGAAAATCTAAAAAAAACACACACACACCAGCATCAAATCATATAAAGAAATCCCTAGGGGCTGGAGAGATGACTCAGAGATTAAGAGCACAAACTTCTCTTCCAGAGATCCTGAGTTTCCAGCAACCACATAATAGCTCACAACCATTTGTAATGAGATCTGGTGTCTCTTCTGGCCTTCAGGCAGGCATACATGCAGACAGAACACTGTATACAGAATAAATAAATAAATCTTAAAAAAAAAGAAAGAAATCCCTATTACAGTACCAGCAGACTTCTCTCCAGAAATCTTACAAACCAAGAGAGAATGGAATGATTCTACACCTAGCAAAGCTGTCCTTCAGAAACTAAACAGAAAGACCAACACTGAGAGAATGAATTGCTACCCAGCTTGGCAACTGTGTCAATCCCTGGGACCCACATGGTGGAAGGAAATAGCTCCTGCAAGTTGACCTGTGACCTACTAACATACATGAATGCACATGCATGCATATACATGCATACACACACATTAATTAATTAATGTATCCAGCAGTGTTGGCACACACCTTTAATCCTCCCAACACTGGGGAGGCAGAGGCAGGTAGATTTCTGTGAGTTCAAGACCAGCTTGGTCTACAAAGTGAGTTCCAGTACAGTCAGGATTGTTACACGGAAAAACCCTGTCAAAACAACAACAAAAAATTAATAAATGTTAACAATGCCAAAAACTATAAAAAGAGGCTGCGACTGTCCTTATGTAAATGATAAAGGAATCAGTAAAGAGGAAATAACAGCTGAGGCTACAGCTCAGCATCTAGAGTACTTGACTGGCATGCACAAGGTCCTGAGTTCAGTTCCCCACACTGGAAAAACTGGTCCTAAGCTTTCTAAAAGTAATTAAGAAGAGGAAATAGGGATAGTGCGTCCCTGAGTGGTAGCAGGCTTCCCTAACATGCACAAAGGCCTGAGTTTGATCCCAGAACATAGGAAACATCCAAATGCTGCAAACAAACATACCTTTCTAGGCAGGTAGAGTGGCTCATGCTGTGATCCCACCACCCTGGGGTCTGAAGCAGAAGGGATACCATGAGAACAATGCCAGCCTAGGATAGAAAGTGAGACCCTGTCTCAAAAAAGGAAAAAACTGCATTTTAAAACCCACTACAAAGTACTGCAGAGTAAGACATCTTCTTCAGAGGTGTCTCTACGAGTAAGGAGTCCATGCTCTTGTAAATAATCCTTCGCCAGGACCCTGTAAGCAACCCTAAAAACACACATGGAGTCTTCAAGCAAGAAAGAAACAGAGGGGAGAGGAGAGGGAGAAATTGAGAATACAGAAGGAGATGGGGAGGAAGGCAGGGAGTGAGGAGTGGGGGAGGAAGAGAGAGTGAGACTACAAAAGAAGGAAGACATGACTGCAGTGGAAAGAGAAAAGGGACCCAGAGGGAAGCATGAGAAGGTATGGAGTGAACATCATAAAAATACATGTGGGAAAATGCCATGATGAAACCTGCTATTATTATGTATGATTAACATATGCTACTAAGTTTTAAATAGGTTTAAAATAAACATTAATTAACATCTATAACTTGCAGTTTGATGTTTTTTGTCCTAACAATTCTTTATTCCATTTCTGAATTACCTGTATTTTCTCTTTAAGCTATTTCCGAAAAAAGTTCCAGGAAAGCTACTCAGAAACCCTGTACAGTCCGTATGGGAAAAGGGGCTTTAGGGCGGATGTATGCACCCCTCCACGCTCTAGCACCGCTGCCTTTGCCAATTCCGCCAGGATCTCCATAATGAAAGAAAGGGATTTGTATAAGTTTCTGGATGCACTCAAGCGTAAGAGCCGTTTTCCTTCTAACTAGTCAGAAATAAACCCCAGAGGCCCAGAGCAGGGCCCGAGGCTCTTGGAGTCACTACTCTCTGTCACACAGACAGCATTTAGAAGCAGAGGTCCCCCTGACGGAGCCCTCAGACACCAGATGGAAGTCTGGGGATAGGTGTGGAGTGGGAACAGGAGACTGAGGCCGAGAAGTCAGGGCCACAGCGGGAGCAGACGAAAGCCCAAAGCTCGCTAAGCTCGGCATGCTTGCCATTACGGGAACTTCTCGCATCACTTATAATGCCACTTTTGTTTTTATCTTTTTAGGGTGTGATCTTCCTACAGGTAGCCCGTACTCAAAAGTCCCTGTCTTTCCATTGTTCCCTGATGTGGACGGGGTGGTGATGGGAAGACCATTCAAAGACATACATAAGTTAGAGATGCTAAAGAGAAAGGAGCCTCTGAGTTTCTTTGAGGACTATTTTTTCCATAAAAAAGATTGGAAAGCACAGGTAAATTTTAGTCTGTCATACTAGATAATTTAAATACTTCAATTTGTAAGAACTCAACTCCAGCCGGGCTGTGTCTTTTTATAATTAATGTCTAAGATTAGCATACAAACTATTGGGTTTCACTGTGGCATGTTACACATATGTATAATTATGACAAAGACACAAATAATTATATAATTCAAACTAAAATGTGTTACTGATTTTTTTTTAACGTTGATAAAGGCCGCAGCTGTAAAACCTATCAAGTCTGCCTCAGGCTATTCAGATGACATCTTAGCCATTGACCACCTATTCAAGAAGAAGCAGCATTGGACAGTATCTGATGCAGCGGCCATCAAACAGCATGTGAGTACTTCCCAGACTGCACTGTCAAAGGTATTTTCTGCCAGGAAGACTCTACCTCCAAAAACAAACAAAAATCTCCACTTTTAGTGAGACAGGATGAGCTGTGTCACTCTCAGAACTCTCCAGAGATAGCATTACTGGAGAGGCTCAGGGAAGAGGAGAGGAAAACACAGCACACAAGGACTGAAGGAGTGGTCTGTAAAGGCCAAGGGAGTAGAAGCCTCGGGAGCGCGCTGCTAGCACCAAATGCAGAAGGAAGGGGGAACGGAGAAAATACATCCTGTCCTTGTCTGTGGAGTTGCGACGATGTCAGGCCATAGCAAGGTGGAAGAGTGTGTTGTAGAGCCTTGCTGCCCATGCGTGTGTGTGTGTGTGTGTGTGTGTGTGTGTGTGTGTGTGTGTGTGTGTGTGTGTACATGTGTATGCCAGAGGTCAGCCTCCGATGCTATCTTCCTTAAGTATCTTTGCTTTTTTTGGACAATAATCACGCTCCCGACACCAATCCCAGTTTTCCACTCACATGGCCATCATCGCACCCACTCACACACTCCTCATAAATCTGTATCCGTGAGTTCTGAGACTGGGAGACACCACAGAGAGAAGCACAGTCCCTACCCTTAGAAAGCCTGGGGTGACAGTAAAGTTACAGGAAAGTAGACAGCAGCAATGCGCCGGGATGTGTGAAACTTGAGAACACACAGCCGTGGGCAGCTGACTCCTGTCTCCATATGAACACATAAACACACAAGTAAATGGAGGCTGCCTGTGACCTCCAGCACCAGACCATCTGCTCCAAGGGCTAAGAAGCTTGAAAAGATCATTGGTTTAGCCTCCCTACAACTCAGCCATAAGAGAGCAGCAGGGATCTCTGTGTCAGGTAAAGGAAGCTTGTTTAGCAATGCCCAGCTGTGTACTAATCACTGCTCTGCCCCGCCCAGACTTCTTTCCGGTGCACTGGCCTCACCTCACTCACCATCTGATAACCCCCCCCATGTGCTAGGTCTCATAACACATCACGCTCAACATGCCCCATGCTCGCTCACCTCCTGCATCAGCCTGCATCAGCTAGGTGGCCAGGGGGCACCCTCAACGTTGCTTTTTTTTTTCCTTACTCCTCACCTCCATCAGTCACTAAATCTAGTTCAACTCATTCTGGGATGCTTTTCCCTTCACTCTATCCCTGTTCTCTCTGCCTCAGTCCTTCCGTAAGACTTGCCTGGACAACAGCTTCTAATCTGGTATCCTTAGTTCTTCGGCTTTCCCCGCCCCCAACAATTTTCCACACAGCCACTAAAAATCTAGCATGAAGATACAAACATGCCATTGTCCTGCTGAAAGGTGCGTGCTTGAGCTAAAGGTATAGCTCAGGTGTAGCCCTTGCCTGGCGCAGACAAAGCCCCAGGTTTAGTTCCCAGTTCTAGGGGCTAGGATGGGTGCAGTAAACACTTCCAAGTAGCACCCCAGAGATGGAAGCAAGAAAATTACAAGTTGAGAAGCAGCCTGTGCTGCATAAAATAATTCAAGACCAGCCTGGGTTACTGAGACTTCCCCTCCAAGAGTGGCAGAGTTTTCTACCCTACACAAGTGAGAGATTTGTCTCACTTCCCTCAGAAACAGCCCCCACAGCATGCTTTCTGTGAAGGGTTGTCCTCCACTGCACTGAACCCACTAACTCCTCCTCCATCACTTTCACCAAGATGCTCCAACTCTCCTGCCAAGTCCAGGGTGTTTATTGTCTTCAAGCACTTGTTCCTGTGGCCTCTTCTTCCTGGGACTCCTTCCCATCACCCCTTGATACCGCAACCTTAAAATCCTTAAGGATCCACTCAGCTCAGCATCTACTTACTCCCTGTCTTAGGATGAATCTGGTACCTACACATCCTAACTTGACCCCTTACTTCTCTCCTGGAACTCACTCTGAAGACCAGGCTGGCCTCTAACTTACAGAGACACACCTGTCTCTGCCTCCTGAGTACTAGAATTAAAAGCATGCCAGACTATACCCAACTTTCAAGTGATACATTTTGATTTCTACCAACTCCTAGCTCATAGTCCCATGCTAATCCATATGTTGTCTCGGTGGTTTTCACATGTCTAACTCTCAAGCCACGAATAATTATGGTTTATAAATCAAAGGTAGTTCAGGTAGCTATACTAATATCTGCCTTCTCAATGCAGGTAAAGAGAGCCACAGATACCTATAACTTAGGAATTGCCCTTGAGCACCGGAAAGAAATGCTGAATCTCTGGAGAAAGATCCGAGGGGATTTGATCGGGATCGAAACCAACAATGAGTCCTTTTACAACACCTTCTCTACATACACATGGTCCTGGAATGTCTGCCAAGAGCTGCTTTCCCCTAAGGACTTGCGGTTGCACGATGCCTACAGAAATTCCTCTGGCAATTCTGGATTATCTTCCCCATCAGATCTCAGTGAGTGTGACCTGGAGACAGGAAGGAAGAGGAGACGGAAAGGGTTCAGAGGTTTTCGGCAATGAAAAGTCTACATTTTCTAAGCAACTCTTCGAAAACTGCTTTCCATAGTTATCAAAATTATGGTTCCTTGATTTTATCTACTTCATTCTACCAGGTAGAAATTTTGACATCTTTTGGATCCCAACCAGTAAAAACCTTTAAATCACAGGATGGTTTCTCTTTCCCAAATCTTTGCGAGTTAAAAGTAGTTACCCTATTATTAGAGCCAATTGCTCTCTGCTACTCCCACTCAGCTTAAGACAGCCAAGACAGCAACAGAAAGGGGAAAATGCTGGCCTGGGTTTCTAAGGGCCCTCCATGCAATATGCATCCGAGTTTGGGGTGACTGTAAATGAGATGGGGTATATGAATGTTTGTGAAAGACACCAGATTCGCAGGGAATAGCACCAGCAAGCCCTCCGCCCCACCACAAAGAACCTCGATGAAATTTAGGAGTTCCTAGGACACACCTTTCACTTGGATTGTTCCTGCAAAAAAAAATTGAGCTCATCCATTACATTAAAGACATACATAGTTGGCCATGGTGGTGCTCCTCGTTAATCCCAGCACTTTAATCTCAGGCAGAGACAGGTGGCTCTTTGTGAGTTCCAGCTCAGCCTGGTCTACAGAGTGAGTTCCAGGACAACCATAGCTACATAGAGAAACCCTGTCTTGAGAAAAAGAAAACATAACTGTATTGCAAGTTTGTGGAGGATCACAATATTTTGTTTTGTACATGTGCTATATTTGCAAGTATGCACATGTATGAGTACACTCGATGTTCTTGCCCATGCTTGTGTGTGTAGAGCCTTGAGGTTGATATCAAGGTGTCTTCCAAAATTACTTCTCTGTTTTGTTTTTTTGAGTCAGGGTCTCTCACTGAACCTGGGGGCTCAACTTTCTATTAGAATCTGGCCAGTGAACCTCGAGAACCTGCCTGGTGCCATGTCCACCTCAATGCTAGATGTATAGATGCATGCCACCACACTCAAATTTCTACATGGATGCTGGGGGAACTTAGGTCATCATGCTTATACAGCAAGCATTTTACCCACTAAGCCATCTCTTCATGCAAAAATGTCATGATTTTTATTGTGATAAAACTTAACTGTATAGAATTTACCACCTTAAAAATATTTAAATGTGTATCATTTTTTTTGTTTGTTTTTATGAGACAGGGTTTCTCAGTATTGTTTTGGAGGCTGTCGGTCCAGCCCGGCCTCGAACTCACAGAGATCCGCCTGCCTCTGCCTCCCGAGTGCTAGGATCAAAGGCGTGCGCCGCTGCCGCCGCTGCCACCACCACCACCACCCCGCTAGTGTGTATCATTCTTAATATGCTTAGTTGCACTTTGGTCGTTCTTCCGGCATTCTGTGGATTTTGACAGTTTGTCAAAGGGAGGCACACAACTTTGGGACTCTGCAAACATTAAATCTGGGTTAACCTTTTGATCTATTATCAGGATGACAAAAGTATTTTATTTGCTCTGCAGACCCACACACACATTTCAGCAGGGAGGGTCATTCAACCCAGGTTAGCTAGCCTCAGGCTTGATAAATAGGCAATGATTGATGGGGGAAGTCCTGTGTATATGTCAATGAAGCACTGTTGGCCAATAGGGAACCAAGATAGGTGGGACTAGGAGTCCAGGAGGACTCTGGGAAGGAGAAACACAGAGAGTCAAGATGTAACGCCATGGGGTAGGAAGCCCGGAAACTTCTCCGGTAAGAGACATACTTAGATTAATAATTATGGGGTAATTACTTAAGTCAGAGCTAGCCAGTAAGAAACAAGCAAGGCCAACAGCTTCATAATTAATATAGCCTCCTGTGTGTTTATTTGGGATTGATGCGGCTCTGGAACCAGGCTGGCGGAAAGGCTTCTCTAAAGGAAAGGCTTCTCTTGAATTTCCTGATCCTCTCTTGTTTTCAACTCCTGAGTGGCAAGAGTGTGGAGATTACAAGTGTACTCCGCCATGCCCCATTTACATAGCATTGGGTATCAAAACCAGAGCTTCATGCATGCTGGGCAAGCACTCTGCCAGCTCCACTACTCCCCCCCCCAGTCCTCCCTCCTACTGTAACCCTGGCTGACCTGCAACTCACTTTCTAGAGCACACTCGTATACAATTTCAGCGGTTCTCGTGCTTCTGACCCCCAAGAGCTAGGATTACAGCTGCGTGCCATCATGCTCTTACACTGTTCTCATCCAAAGTTGATCAACGGCATCAACTATTTTCAAGAATCTTCTAAGAAACTGTTTTGAAGGTGTGTAAGCCAATCCCAATCAATATGCAGAACAGATTCTTCAGTCATTATTCTAGAAAAAAAACCATATCCAGAAGAGAGAGAAGAAAACGAGCAAGGCAGCACACACCTGTTATCCCAACTCACTGGGAAACTGAGGCAGGATTGAAAGAGTTCCAAGTCAGTCTGGGCTAGCTACGTAAAAGACCCTACCTTGGATGACCAGAAGTAAAAGGCGCGTTCAACGCTTGAGAAAACAGAGAACTGTACGAACAGTTTGTGTTGTATCTTCAGACTCACAGTCCTTCTGTATGCTATCATGTCAGGCTACAACATAAAACTATAAAATGCCAAGAAAATGCAAGGAAGACAGTCAGGGCCCCCAAAAGTGTTTGCTGGAAGTGCCCTATAGTAATTTTGTTACCTTGAGTATTCAATAGGCTGGCTGGTGACACACAGTGACTAAGCATGTGAACAATCTAGAGGCCATGCTTAGGAAAAAGGTACAAATCTGTTCACCATCTAGACACATTGGCACAAGCCTATATGCCTAACTACTTAAGAGTGAGGCAGAATCATCTGAGCCCAGTAATCTCTCTCTCTCTCTCCTCTCCTCTCTCTCCGTCTCTCCTCTCCTCTCTCTCTCTCTCCTCTCTCCTCTCTCTCTCTGTCTGTCCTTCCCTCCCCTCCCTCCTTCTCCCTTTCTTCCCTCTTTATTGCTAATAAATTCTTTCTCATTAAATATATCCTGGTTACAGTTTCCCCCATCTTCCCTCCCATCCAAATCCACCTCCTTTCTGCCTCTCTTTAGAAAAAAAAAAGACTTCTAAGAGATAATAACAAAACATTACAAAATAAAATATAGTAAGATAGCCAAGCACATGCTTTTAGTCCCAGTACTCGGGAAGCAGAGGCAGGTGTGAGTTCAAGGTCAGCCTGGTCTACAGAGCAAGTTCCAGGACAGGCTCCAAAGCCACCCAGAGAAACCCTATCTTGAAAACCAGTGTATATCAAGCAAAGTTAAACAAGACAAAACAAGAGAAGGAAAAGAGCCCCAAGAGAGCCACAAAAATCAGAGACCCACTCATTCATACACTCAGGAGTTCCATAAAAATACTAAATACTAAAGCTGGGCATTGGTGGCACAGGCCTTTAGTCCCAGCACGTGGGAGACTGAAGCAGACAGATCTCTGTGAGTCCAAGGTCTCCAGATTGAGTTCCAGGACAGGCTCCAAAGCAATACAAAGAAACCTTGTCTCAAAAAACAAGACATAACAAGAAAATACTAAATATTGGAAGCTATAATACATATGCAGAGGGAGGACCTGAAGCAGACTCATGTATGCCCTGTGCTTTGCTGCTTCGGTCTCTGAGTTCATGTGAGCTTTGTTTGGAGAGCCTTGTTCTCCTGGTGTCCTCTGTCCCTTCTGTCCACCTTCTCTTCCACAGGGTTCCCTGAGCTCTGAGCAGAGGGGTTTGGTGGAGACACCTCATTTAGAGCTGTGTATTCCGAGGTCTGTGTGTGTAATGTAATGAACCCAGTAAATCTAACACCATCCTGGACAACACAGCAAGACCTCAAACTCAAAATATAAATATGGGGCCAGAAGGAGGGGCCAGTGGGTAAAGGTGCTTGCCAGAAGAGCATCAGGTGGCAACTGAAGTTCCAGGAGGAGACTCTCTGATGGACCAGTCTCCTTTAGGCAAGGCCACGGGGCTGCAGACTCCCAAATGTCTTTTACTTCTGCTGTGCCCTTACAATGTTTGCTGCCCCTCTTTCTCTGTTATCTAGCATGGTTCAAGTGGATGTGGAAAGACCTCCACTGCCTGTAATATAGTGTTTATCTCCTGGAAACATCCCGTTCTATTGAGCATTTCTACCTGTGGATTGTCAAGAAGATGACCCCTCACTAAGTTGCACTGTCTAAACTGAGAATAGAGTTTTGATGAATAACAATAAATACAAGGATATGTTTCACAGCCAGGGTCTGTGAGTCTCACCTAAGGAGCTGCATAGATTGTAGCTCAAGTAAATGATTAACAATTGAGTCCTAGTAGCCCAGATAGTTTGAATTATTTTAACCTTAATGTTGAGAGATGTGTTCACAAGTTTCAGAGTGCATCACAAGTGACACAAAGCTTTGAAAATAACAGACTAAGATGTTGTTGTTAAATAGCTTTGAGGTAAAAAAAAAACCCAAGAAGACAATCTAAAGTTTTAGAAAGGCACACAATTGGATTTGGAACTCATTAAGGTCAGGAAAAAGAACAAGGCAGTCCAATTATCACTGGTTGATATACCTTTATTGTAGGATTGGTTGATGACCAAAGGTGATAATTATGCCCTTATACCCATATTTTTGTCCTCAATCTCCTGATATTAAAAACAATTATTAATAAGTGGATATGTAACCTAAAGATTTAAAGTAGAGCTGAGTGATTCTTTTTCATATATAAAAGTTTAGGTTTGGGCCAGGCGGTGGTGGCGCATGCCTTTAATCCCAGCACTCGGGAGGCAGAGGCAGGCGGATCTCTGTGAGTTCGAGACCAGCCTGGACTACCAAGCGAGTTCCAGGACAGCCTCCAAAGCCACAGAGAAACCCTGTCTCGAAAAACCAAAAAAAAAAAGTTTAGGTTTGTGATTCCTTTAAGATTTATAAGACTATCTTTCAAGATAAGTAATGAAGTAATTGGCCCTTTCTTTGTAGCTGCAAAAAGCAGCCTTCCAGGAAAAAACAAAAACTGACAATAGCTTGCTTACCCACATGGTTAATCTATAACAAGTTGTTTGAATATGAATGTATGTAGGTTCTTGGAATAATTTGTTTTTCACCTGTAATACATAAAATATTTACTCATGTAAGGGATATGGAAAACACGCTGGGTTTTTGTTTTGTTTTTGTTTTGGGTTTTTTTTTTTTT